TTCTGTATACAATCGACAATTGCTACACTGAAAAAAATTATTAAATTAATAAATATTAATTTTAATACCGCCTAATTAATTATTGTATTTACCTGAGATATAAAATATTTGATTAATTTTATCAAAGAGTATATAGTAAAATTTCAATAATTTTAAAATATATTAAAAACTTATGATTCTTTAAGCGTTTTAAGTACTTAGAACAGATGAAAAAAAAATTAAGTATATAAAACATTTGATATAAATTTTACAATGCAACATAATATTTTCAATTTAGCATAATCGTTCAAGGTACGTTTCGGCTTAAATTTGTAATGAATTTTGCAGTAAAGTAAAATTCTCTCCTTTTGATTCTGTGCTGGAATTTAAAGTATTATTTACCATCATCGCAGAATATTCTTGACTAAAAGCATGTGAAGAAAAAATGAAATGTTTAGAGGCTCTTTAGCAAACCCTCTTTTGATTCAATGAGATTTCTAAGTGCGAGCCTGCTCACAGATAGATTCGCATGCGAATGTTAAATACGTTCCATCTGTCTAAGGTGGTAGATTTAGTCGCCATTGACAGAACGCTCGAGCCGGTTTGAGTATAATAAGCGAGTGAGTCGCTCTCGAATAAAAATGATTTACACCGAGCGCGATGTGTCGACGAGATACAGCGGCGACGTGGATTGAATTCAGATGAGACCCCATAGAAAGATTATACTCGGTGTCCTTCGCGAAATCCTTCTCGATCGCGCCATTATAGCTTAAGTCAAACTTGTTCGTAAATACTATATAATAACGTTTTATGATTTGTTATGGCTGTCTTGTATTCCTTACGTTACTTTTTCTTCAGACGTCGCTGATAAAGTCGGAATACATTTGCAATTTTACGAAGAGGAAGCGAGGAGTTTTAAAAATAGAGTTAGCAAAATACATCACAACTACTTGAGTTTTTAAAGCTGCAAGAAACTTGATAGTTAATTGAAACTAGTTAATTCAATCCTTAATTATCTCGAGTTTACAGGAGCGAATAATTCGATAACGCATACTCCGTGACGTTGAAGTAGTTAGTTAACTCACTCGAGTAAAAAAAATATCAATTTAAATTCGCGCAGATATATGTTATAAAGATATGTATCTTGTGTAAAATGTCAGATGCACTATACAAATAATGTGACACGTGTTTCGCAAAATGCCGGCGCGGTCGTTTTAAAGAACCGAACATTCCAGCACAGGCGAATATCTTAAGAACAGATCCCAATCGAGAGTATATGCACTTAGACATATAATTACATCCCGGGAATTCCAATTAAATCCGATAATCCAGCGCTTATAACCGGCACAATTGCGCAAAGTGCCGCTGTCATCGGAGAGAAAGAGAGACGTAAAGTGTGACAGGAGCCTAAGGCAAGTGCATTGGCCATATACATTTGCGTCCCGCTGCGCGCGGAATGTCGGATCAAAGAGATCGAAAGAGGGAGAAAGAAAAAAGAGGGAAAAAAACCGCGCAAGATGCAGGGCGAAAAATAAACCGCCGCAAAATTCTGCGCGCTACCGGATACGCATCTCTGAGACGGAGAGACCCGTTAAGGATCCTCTTCATCGTGAACCATTCTTCATCTCAACCCTACAATCAACCCCCTTTTTTGTCTTTGCTCTCTTCGACGTAATGTACACTGAACAAAAATTATTGATTTCGAATAAATATTTATTTCAATACTACCTAATAAATCATGTATTTGAAACTAATGATATATTGATTTGAAAAATATTTATTTGATATAAGAAAATCCTTTTCAAAAACAGATAAATATTTGTTTGTTTCAAGTAAATACAATAATTAATTAGGCAGTATTAAAATTAATATTTATTAATTTAATAATTTTTTTCAGTGTAGCAATTGTCGATTGTATACAGAATTTTCTCTTAGAATTAATTCTGAAAATTATAGTAATCATAGGATAATATAGTTGACAATTGGAAGAATTTTTAAGAGTTTCTTCTAATCAGAGAAACTTTTATAAAATGATTACTATGTTTTTTAATAATAATCATGGGACAATATGGTATTGGAAGAATTTTATAAGAGTTTCTCCGAGTAATTTTTATCATAATAAAAATATTAAAATATTAATACCATAAAATATGTTTGATTAATTTTACTAAAATACATAGTAAAATTAATCGAACATATTTTTTATATCTTATTATAGTAGATATTAATATTTTTTATTGTGGTAAATATTAATTAAAGAAACTCTTATAAAATTCTTCCAATATCATTGTCCCATAATCACCATGATTTTCAGAATAAATATAAAGATGCAAACTAGAAAAAATATCAAGTCTCTCGGATTGATTAATCCAGATCGAATATACGTGATCTTGGAAGATATTTTCGTTCGCACGATACGGCCTGATGCTTTTTTCATCGTGTTATTAATCCTTCACTTATTCAAAATGAATATTTCGAAGACAGGTTTTCCTCTTTTATTACATACATGAATTATACATACATATATAAGCGCGAAGGTGATCATTACTCTGCATGGGATGCATTTTAGCTTGTCGTCTTGTTATCATCATTACCTCTTACACATAAATGTGAATTGTCGATATCTCGAAGTAATTGGATACTTAACACCTGGAAAACTTCATAACCGTATATCTTAAACTTTCATTTTCCCATCGCGTACTTTCATTCAACGTGGGTAGATTCGGATGAAGTTTTATCGTTCGCAGAAAGTTGAACCCTGGTTCTTCGGCGTGTTCTCGATTTTGTTCACTTCATATCTACAGTTAAGTTCGCGTCTTTTTAGCCTCAACATTGTTACCCAAGTTCGCTAGTGAGTTAAATAAACTTCTTACCATCGCTCGCCCGCTTTCTTGTAGCTTTTCTTTTTATTCGAAATAGATTCAGCTCCCAGAAGCTTTCACGCCATTAATGGCCTGATGGGATTCTATCAACAATTGTTGAAAAATTCTTACAATATATAAAAGTATTGCATTTATCATTGTCTCTATTTATTTTGACATGTTCAATTATTAAACTAATGCTCAAATATTTTTTTTTAATTTTTAATAAAGACTGATCAATTTAATTTGTTATATTTATTTAAATTTTCTTTCAATACCCTACGTATATTTTTTCAATATATAAGTTGGAAAACCGTTTCATTTATTTTTGCACTTTCATTTATTAAACTAACGTTAAATATTTTTTTACGAAAAACAGTTTTTGATTTTGATCTTTAATAAATGATTGATATACTTATTTAAATTTTTTTTCAATGCGTAAAATTGTTCAATATATTGTATAATTGGAAAACCGTTTTGTGTAATTTTCTATCACCGAGACACGGAATATCACTCATACATCCTTTCTCTTTCGCTTAAAAGTATTGCGCCAATTTGCGATTAATCCGCGTTATGTCATGCTTGAGTAATTTGCGCGCTTTGAGTGACGTAATCCTTGCGGTAGGTTAGCCACGTGTCACGAGGTTACCGGGGGAAAAAAAGACTCGTTTGAAATTGTGCCCTAAAGAAAGTGGCCGAGACGCCTTAGGGGATCGAGTAATCACGGCTGATCGTGAAGTTCCAGAAATCCTTGTTGCAAACTTGACAAACTGGCGACGCGACGGCGCAATGGATTTCCGGAATTGTGCTCCGAATAATAAACATTGTATCGACCTGTACTCGTTTAAATTACAAAATCGATTTTGCTCAAAGACTTTATTATAGAACCGTCCATTTCCAACGCTTTACACAAAAGCATTTATATGTATATCGAAACTATAAATCTTGATGCAATTTTTATTCAAATGTGTAATTAAATGTAAATTAGATTATTAATTCCACAGTTAGACCGAATTGTATATTATATTGCGCCAGCATTTCCGTGTGATATAAATGGCTAATTGCAAGTTATAAACACTTCAATTCTGGGCACTCCTAGTGGGCCTCTGAAACTGAGCAATTAGCTCTAAATGGTATGACGCGTCGGTGGAAATGAAAACATGGAGTGGAGGATTCTTAACTAGTCGCGATTTGTTCTCGAGAGCAGAATTTATAGCCGACGCGGTTGTTCCTCTAACAAGCTCCTCAATTTCCCGGAGCTCGCGGAATTATAGTTTACGCGGGCGCCCGCAGATATTCCTATATACACAAGAAGAATCTAAGAGAATTTATTTGCGGAATTAACTTGTGTGTTTCCTCCGCGAGAACTGTCGCGTTCGAATTTAGAATATTTTATTATTTCCCTCATTTTAATTCATATCCTCAACGTTAATTGTTAACAAACAATTTTAAGAAAGCCAGTTTGGAAAAAATTACTCTCTCCACTTATTACAATAAAAATACTTATTGCAATAAAATTACAAGATAAAATGTAGTACGGGAAAAAAATTAGCTGTTATAGCTGAATTTTAGCTATTTCTATATTGCACATAAAAGTCATGCATAAATTGTAGCTAGGATAACTAATGTAAAATTCTTCTTTAAACCGTAGCTGAAAAATATTAGTTACCCTAGCTGAAATTGAAGCATGATAATTCAATTTCAAGTTGTAATATAGGAACAGTTAAAATTTAGTTGTGATAGCTATTTTTTCTGTGAGGATGTTAAAAAAAGATAAAATAATTTAAGGGGATCTAGTATGCCTCAAAATAAGTTAAAAAATATGAGTCGCAAATGAGACTTTTTTGAGATATTTGCAGTATCTCATAACTTCATTTAATTTGCCAAATTCATAAATAAAGTAATAAAAAATACTAATAAATTTAAAACAAAAAATAAAAATATATATATATATAAATTAAAATGTCTCAAAAACGCGGACCCAATGTTTAATTAAGACTTCTCGACTTGTTATTGGGCATACTAAATCTCCTCGAAATATTTCACCCTTTTTTCCAACATCCTGTATACTTGTGCTCCAAAAAAAAAAATATATATATATATTTCCTTTTTTAACTGTTGTCATCATTTTACTATATTTGCATATGTTTTTTTTTCTAGAAGGCCGCGAGACCCCACTGTCACCGCCGCCACCCTCGAGTTCCTCGGTTCAGACTTCACCTCGCGGCTTGGGTTACACGTGCGGTCCCATAGATGGATCGTTATACGCCGTGGTACATCAGGGTGCTGCAGGAGGCGCCCGCGGTTCGCCACTGACAGTTTCCATGGACAGTGGCATAAGTAGTGCACCACCGCAAAAACCCAGTCCACCAGAAGCCGAGCCGGATACCCAAGCTCACGGAGATCTCGACAAGCTTCTCCATGATATGATGCTCACCGTCGAGGTATGTAGTTTCATATATTTAATTTATTTAATTAGTTATTATAATTATAATTATTAACAATTATCATTTTTATTTATTATTATTATTATTATTAAATTATAATAATTTAATAATTATAATTATTAATAATTGTGTATGCATAATACTTAGATAATTATTATTGCCTTCTCCGATAAGTAAAAAAATTGCAAAAAAAATCGAAGTTAGATAGAAAAAGATGTGACACTTGTTCGCAGTCTATGCCAGATCCTCCGACAGACGACTACAACCGCGAACGAAGCGAGAAGATGTACATTCAAGAGACGCGAAGCTACAGCAGCCATCCGACCTCTACTTACTCCACTTTGAAGGACTCCTACAGAAGCTACGGCAAGGAATCCAGCCCGCCCTACAACTCCAGCAGCAGCTACAGCACCCTGAAGAACAACAGTATCGAGCACCGAAGGGACGATTTTGACTACCGCGTGTCTCCGGATCGCAAGATAGAGTCCGCCAACGAGTCTTACAGGCAGAAGCAGGCGGATTCCTTCTCGCCACCCGGCAACATCGACTTCATCGACGAGGACATCCCCTATCACGCTAGGCAGACCAGTCAGCCGTTCTCGTACGGCGCCACCACCGACATGATCAAGCACCAGAAGCTGTCCTCGCCTTCCTTAGTGAGGAAGGCGTCTGTGCGCGGCGTGGCACCCGTCGTAGATTTCGAGGACATTCTCGGCGAGAATTCCAGGAGACCCATCAGCCCTCTGAGCCCGAACACTCCGGATCCGCCGCCGGAGTTCGCGAACGGACCCGTCAAGAGCGAAACCGATCACGTTAATGGGTAAGTGATCTCTCGAAATTTATTTATATCTACACGGAGAGAATTTTCCCTTGGAATTTATCCTGAAAATTATGATAATTGTGAGACAATATGGTATTGGAAGAGTTTCATAATATTTGCCACAATAAAAAATATTAATATGTACATAGTAAAATTAATCGAACATATTTTATATCTTGTTGTATAGATATTAATATTTTTTATTGTATTTTCTCTTACATAATTTTCTCTTACAATATAATATTAGAAGAATTTTATTAAAGTTTCTCTGATTAATATTTACTACGATACAATAAAAAATATTAATATCTATACAATAAGATATAAAATATGTTCGATTAATTTTACTATGTACATATTAATATTTTTTATTGTATTGTAGTAAATATTAATCAGAGAAACTTTAATCAAATTCTTCTAATATTATATTGTAAGAGAAAATTCAGTCTGTGTTGGTATTTGGAAAAATTACTTTTTCATGCAGGTATTTAAGATCTCATCTCGAGCATTCTAAAAATAATAATAGCACGGAATATATTCTCGCTGCGCTAATTACGCCTAAAATTACGCGCAACTCTATCCTCGCCACGAAACATCATTAACTATTCGCTCTTGCCTCTCTCTTTCTCTCTCGTTTCTAAGAGAAATTTACGCTCTTCGTATATCTCGTGACACACGATACCCACTCGTTTTGTACCGTCGACGACCGAAAACGGTTTCCTTGCGGTAAATAAATCCCGACGTTGCGAAAGCGGAGATTAGACCAGGTTTCCGCAAACGTCGACAGGGGAAATCGCGATGATGTGGGCCGTATACCTTCTGGCAAAGCTATATCCAGAGGATCGTCGCAATCCGTTGTCCAAAAGGAGAGAAGGAACTTGCAGATAAGTTCGTCGATCACGCACAATTCATTAATTGTCGACTTATGCCGCGAATGGCGAACGCGGTCGTTGTGAGTCATTTGCAGTTAGTAATGTAGAATCTAAAGGAGGAAATCTTACATCTTCGTTGACGGTCGATGGCATCTCGCGAATGACGCGACTTGCTAAGTACGGTCAATAAAACCGCGCAAAGCGCTAATTTAACGTTAATTGATTGCAGGAACCGAGCGCGAAAAAAGAGAATTTGTGTGATATAAATTTATCGCTTACTCACTTTTCTCATCATTTAAGTCTGTTGCAATTCCTTGAAGAAATTAAAAATTTTATCAATAACGATTTTTTCTACAATAATTTTCTTTTAAATTTTTCTATAATAATCTTAATAAATTAAAGACAAAAATCATATTTCAAATTTAATTAATATTAATTATATTTTATTAAAAAATTTTTTGAAAACGGGAAAAATATTTAAGTCTATATTAATTTTATATAAATATACACAATGACATAAATGGAATTAATATTACTCTCCTTTTGAATAAACCCTGGAATTTATTTAAATAAATGAAAATAATAAAATTAAGAAAAAACAAAAATAAAAAAAATTTAATTAAACTCCATCCTGGAAAAAATCTTGCGGACGCCCATGTGGATATTCAATGTTTTAAAAAGGATCGTTTGTTACGTCGCGTTTCGCCAACGCATCCTATAAGCGTGCAGTTACTATATAACGCCATTCACCTTGATGTCATCAATTTTTTGCCGAGACTTTCGCGGTCCAGACCCGCCTCGCACATTTCGCGAATGAGTTGCCGCGCCCGGAGGAGAAAGCATGCACGATCGCATTAAACGAGTCTGTTAACTCCGTTCGGCTCGACATGACTATAAAGTGACATACCGATTCACGCCGTCACTCTTTCACGGTATCATAAAAACGCACCAAATTGAGAAGATCGTTATGTGTCATGACATTATACGAGTCTTTCTTTGGGGCACGAACAATTTTACATTCTTTTTTTTAAAAGTGTACAGAGAAAAATATTTTTATTTCTTAAATTGTAAATTCAGGAAAAAACAGATTTATATAGGATAAAAAAATGATAATATTATATATAAATATAATTAATATTGTTCATCCTATAAATCTGTATTTTTAATATTGTTCTAGATTTTATTTTTGTGTCGAATTTTGAGGCATGAACAATTTTACGTTCTTTTTTTTAAATGTGTATAGAGAAAAATATTTTTATTTCTTAAATTGTAAATTCAGGACAAAAACAGATTTATATAGGATAAAAAGTGATAATATTATATATAAATATAATTAATATTTTCCATCCTTTAAATCTGTATTTTTAATATTCTAGATTTAATTTTTATGCCGAATTTTATTCAGTTCGTAAAAATTGGAAAATTCTCAAACTTCTGCTCAGTTGTTTAATCCCTCGCCCAAAGAGAGCTTCCATCCTATAAATCTGTATTTTAATATTGTTCTTGATTTTATTTTTGTGCCGAATTTTGGGTCATGAACAATTTTACATTCTTTTTTTTAAATGTGTATAGAGAAAAATATTTTTATTTCTTAAATTGTAAATTCAGGACAAAAACAGATTTATATAGAATAAAAAGTGATAATATTATATATAAATATAATTAATATTTTCCATCCTATAAATCTATATTTTTAATATTCTAGATTTGATTTTTATGCCGAATTTTATTCAGTTCGTAAAAATTGGAAAATTCTCAAACTTCTGCTCACAATCAGTTGTTTAATCCCTCGCCCAAAGAGAGCTTCCATCCTATAAATCTGTAATTTTAATATTGTTCTTGATTTTATTTTGTGCCGAATTTTGGGTCATGAACAATTTTACGTTCTTTTTTTTAAATGTGTACAGAGAAAAATATTTTATTTCTTAAATTGTAAATTCAGGACAAAAACAGATTTATATAGAATAAAAAGTGATAATATTATATATAAATATAATTAATATTTTCCATCCTATAAATCTGTATTTTTAATATTCTAGATTTGATTTTTATGCCGAATTTTATTCAGTTCGTAAAAATTGGAAAATTCTCAAACTTCTGCTCAGTTGTTTAATCCCAAAGAGAGCTTCCATCCTATAAATCTGTAATTTTAATATTGTTCTTGATTTTATATTTGTGCCGAATTTGGGGTCATGAACAATTTTACATACTTTTTTTTAAATGTGTGCAGAGAAAAATATTTATATTTCTTAAATTGTAAATTCAGGACAAAAACAGATTTATATAGAATAAAAAGTGATAATATTATATATAAATATAATTAATATTTTCCATTCTATAAATCTGTATTTTTAATATTCTAGATTTGATTTTTATGCCGAATTTTATTCAGTTCTTGAAAATTGTAAAATTCTCAAACTTCTGCTCAGTTGTTTAATCTTCCATCCTATAAATCTGTAGTTCTTCCGAATCATGAAGTGTGCAGAGAAAAATATTTATATTTCTTAAATTGTAAATTCTTTATAAGATCTGATAATATTTATATATTGTATCCATTCTATAAATCTGTATTTTTATATTCTAGATGCCGAATTTTATTCAGTTCATTGTAACAATTCTTACATACTTTTTTTTAAATTGTGTGTGCAGAGAAAAATATTTTTATTTCTTAAATTGTAAATTCAGGACAAAAACAGATTTATATAGAATAAAAAGTGATAATATTATATATAAATATAATTAATATTTTCCATCCTATAAATCTGTATTTTTAATATTCTAGATTTGATTTTTATGCCGAATTTTATTCAGTTCGTAAAAATTGTAAAATTCTCAAACTTCTGCTCAGTTGTTTAATCCCTCGCCCAAAGAGAGCTTTACGAAACGCGAAGTTATGGAGGATGGATGGTAGCTCGTTAGAGTACGAAGCAAATATCCACGCCGTAAAATTCGAGGCATCGTATTCCGCGCCACACGAAACGCGCCGTGAAAATAAACGCGCGACTTCCCTCCGAGAGATTTTGCGCCGGGCGCGAAATAACCGCGAGAGCTGATGCGGTTATTTATGCAGAGACGCTTCATCTCGGCCCAAGGGAGAGGAAACGGACGACGTTTACGGTCGAGGAGATCAACGGATGTTCGGCAGGTTCCTCGGCTTTCTTGCGGGCGAAAAAAGAAACGTGACAGTTTCTAGCAGGCGTGAGAACAGATCGGAGATCTTTATTTTTATTCACCCTCGCTAAGATAAAATGCGATGTAGTAATGTCGCGTTGCACTTAATGAACACATTTTCGGGATTCTTAGGATCGTAATATCCTCCGAAGCGATTGTATCGTCGAGGAAAAATACGAGGGAGCTTAAGAGATGAAGGAAAATCACCTATTTTTCTTCCTCCTTTTCTCGCTCTTTCACGAGAGACGTCGGTCGTCCTCTGACATAATTATATAAATATAGAACAGCCGAAAGAGAGACATTAAATCGCCGCTGCAGAACCATGAATACTCTTCCTCCACATCTTATTTATCTTCATTTACTCACACAGATATTGAAATGATCTCTATTCACCAGTGAGAGATATATTAAATGTTTCTAGATTAGAACAAAATATTTCTTCGTCAAAATCTTTTTCTCAAAATATGTTATAATTAATATATAATATTATGTATGATTGATATATTATTTTTTAATATATCTGTTATTAAATCTCAAAACGAAATTATTAAAAGAAATAATTACCTATTTCCATTTATGCACTGTTATATTAATACGAATTTTTTTTAAATAAAATTATTAAACAAATTATTACATATAATGTATAGAATTATGTATTTTTTTTACATTAAGCTCATTTCAATTTTAATCGCTAAATTTTTATTTTCTCTGCAGCATTGCTGCCTTTTTCTTTCCATCAAGTACGTTACATTGTGGTCCTGTTTATTTTTTGGTAACTTTTATTTGTCATAACTGCAAAGATATACAGGAGAAACAACACCATCGGAAACGGAAGTTGTTGGAAAGCGAGGTACGAGCACGAAAGTCACACATAAAGCCTTATATAATTTCTGCGCGAGCTCATTTTTCGCGGATAGACGAGATTTTTTTTTTTATATCGCGGACCAAACTTTTCTATTGCACCGGAAGACTGTTTATTCAATGGTTTTTTATCATACTTTTACATATTCATATACTTAAAATGTAACTCCGCAAATTACTGCGACAGATAAACAAGATAATGTTGCGCAAAAATACATAATGCAAATAGTAAATGATGACAACTGATAATTCAGAATTAATAGAATTATAACATTAAATAAAAAGTTTAATTTTTGTTATATTATAGTTTTCTGTTTGTCACTATGTAACGTATAAAAGAAGACAAATCTCATAAGTTTTATTAATAAACTTTTAATTAAAAATAACTTATTAATTTTTCTTTATATGTTACGACAGATGGAAGTAAATATGAGAAAATGACATAAAAATAAAATTATGAAATAAAAGTTATTCTTAAATTTAAATTATATATAATATATAAACATAGAAATTTATAATAAGTTTACATAATTTATTCTTGAATATGCAAGCTTGTTTTGGTATAAATTTATGATCCTTATTATTAACTTTTTTAATTAACATAAACGAAGCTCATTTCAATTTAAAATCTACCCATAGGGCGAATTGACGTATGTTGCGTCATTATGCAAAAGAGATCTAGATTCATACAATTGCGTTTTATTTCACACAAATGGTTTGAATACATTATTGTTTGTTATAATTTCTGTTAATATGTCAGCCTTGAGATATAATCATTTTGTGTGTTATCAACAATGAGAATTACGCGGATAGAATAGTGATGCTAATATTTTTCAATAATTTCTCTCATGTTTTGAAATCTAAAAATGATAAATTACACATATATGCCTGGCAGAAAAAAAAGTAAAATAAATTTTGAGCGAGACGCGCAGTAAACTCTCTGCAATTGAACGATCGAAGCAAATCAACAAAGATAGAATTGTGTTTGCTATTCATCATGAATAATAGAAAAGAAACGGAATTCCATGTTTCCTCTTTGTTTTAATAATACGACGTATCGTGTTTGGACTTTCCAAGAAATACAAATCAATATTTCAATCAATTGATGCAGTTAAAATAAACACGGAGAATCGCAAAAGATTCGAAGGATCGGTCAAGGTTGATGTAAACTCACGATTCCAATCTCTTTCATATTTGATGCTTTTAAAGTGGTCTGCATCAACTATGTGAACCTGGCACTCGACTTTTAAAATTCAACTTTTAAAGTTAAATTTTTCAATACGAAAAATGATAGTATTTCGTTTGTAGTTGTTTGTAGTGACAAAAATTTCGTTTGCAGTTTTATCAATTGAGAAATAAAAATGTTTTAAATGACCAGCACCCGACTTTCAGATATTTCAAATCCGCTTACGCAGTCGTTTTTAAAATCGTTGACTTATAGTTGCACGGTTTAGAAATTGCAATTATTTAAACAAATTGTCAAGAGTGAAATGTATCAATTTTAAAAACTTTTTAAATCTATTATTTTCAGGTGATTTATTTTTTTATTTATATTGATACAAACTAAAAACAATTCTGAATCGCCTAGAAAAAACAGATTTGAAAAATCTAGAAAATTGACAAAGTTCACTTTTGACTATTTGTTTAAACAATTGTATTTTTCAAACCGTGCAACTATAAATGAAAACAGAATCACTACTAACAACTACAAACGATTCTAAAACAGACTGCGCAAGCAGATTTGAGATATCTCAATGTCGGGTGCGATTTATTTTTTTTATTTTTTAATTTAAAAAAACTACAAACAAAATGCATCATCATTTTCCGTATAAAAAAAATTAATTTTTTAAAAGTCGGGTGACACTTTTACTTAGCTCTACATTTACCATTCAACGAATTCTTGCAGTTAGATATCGAATTTAGAACGAGAAAAATTATTTCTTTCTTTTTAAGTTAATTTATTATTTTTTACCTGAAAATTCTCTCTATCTATGTATCTATTTCTACCTCTGTCTCTCTCTCTCTCTCTCTATTTTTATTTTCAAAAATTTATTTTTATAAAATATTACCATTCTTTCAATATGTTATGTCATGTATATGTTTTCTCTCTGCAGTAACATTTTTCATGTAAAAACAATAAAATTTTACATAATACACTGTTGAAAAATTTGTGTTAAATTTAACAGATATGTGTCATGTCCCAACCGATTCACAGAAATTTTTGTATAAATTTACCATTATATAGATATGTTAAATGAAGACACAAATACTATGTTAATATTTTACACAAAATGAACTTCAAATAATTTAAAATAAATTTTGTGTAAAATTAACATAGAGTTTTAAAATAAAAATTAACTAAAAATATGTTAATTTTAGATTTTATCATTCCCACTTATAAAAAAAAGAAATCAACATTTTTTCTGTAAATTTGAACATTTAATAGCTGCATATTGTGTTATTTTCACATCTTTTTTCAGTTGTTTTAATAATATAACATTTAAGTTCAATTAACACAATAGCAATATGTTAAATGAAAACACAGGAATGTGTGAAATAGTTAACACAAAAATTTAAGCGGGAACCGTTTTTAATAAAAAAAAAAACCCCCGAAATTTTCCTACTATACAGTCGGAAGATCTAAATCGACACGTCTTTATAAACTAATACTCTTCTCGAGCGACAAGTTCGCTCGCAATTTACAACCCTCCCGAGGGTTGTGCTTGTTCGGGCACCTAGTATAAATTTCGTTATTGGGAAAAAGAAATCCACCGTGACTTACGCTGATTGGCTACCGAGGCCGTCGTTTATTATCTCGAGATGTAACGCGGCTCTTCGGGCCGGTGGCCCGAAGCGACCTCATCGATCAGGGTGTAATTATCGGCGTCTATCGCGGTAGGAGGTCCAGAATCTGGCGTGGCAGAATTCCGCGACTCTATATTCGCGGGAAGGAGTTTCTAACGAGCCTTTGTTACCGGAGCCTCGCGGTCTCGCGTTCTCCGCAAAGCCTTCGACTTCTCGCATTTTCATGTAACGCGATAAGACTCTTATTGCGAGGCATGAAAGCGAGAAACGTCGCTGCGAGAGATCCGGTATTACTTGCTATTCAATGTATTTTGATCTGCTGTTAAATGTGTTGATGATATAACGATATTGGAAACTCGACTCTGTCACCGACCGAGAGTTTATAATGAAAGCAATTTATTGAAGATATATATATTTAATATTTGTATTTGATAAAGTAATTCTCGGTTTTTTTTTTTTGCCTTGTGCTTGATAGAAAAAATATCAAAAGCTCGCGGTAAAATACTATAATTATTCTTTTTGTCAATCCTTTAGATTGTCGTGGCTGAGACAACAACAGTTGAAACTAGCTGCCAGGAGAGATGAAAGGAACCCTGGCAGACTTTGGCGACAAGAGAGCGGAAACCGTGTCATCGGTGAACTCAGGAGCTTTCAAAGGGGAATATTGAGACACGATGGTTACGCGAGCGACTCGGCAGTTCTCGACGATGATGACGATACATGGGCAGCGAGTTCCATTTCTGGACAGGTGAGAAATTCTCAGAATATAAAGCAGCAAATTACAACTATTAATCTACTGGTCAATTCGTCGTCACTTCTTTGTACATGAAAAATTCTTTATGACAGAAAATTAATAATAAGAATTTTTTTATGTAACTGTACTAAATGTATTAAATAATACATATAATATATGTAATAATAATCATTATTATTATATAATTTACTAAATGTATTAAATAATACATATAATATATATAATAATAATAATTATGATTATTATATATATTATATGTATTATTTAATACATTTAGTAAAAATTAAATACTTTTTTTTATTAAATACGTATTTCGATTTTACATTATTTCTTGCATTCTAGGATTAATGATTATTAATCCTAGAATGCAAGAAATAATGTAAAATCCAATAATAGTAATAATTATTATTATTATTATTATTGAATGTAGAGAAAAAGATAATTTCTTTAGATTTCTTAAAATCATCATTAATCCTAGAATGCAAGAAATAATGTAAAATCGAAATACGTATTTAATAAAAAAAAGTATTTAATTTTTAAAATATTAGCTACAAAAAAAGTATATATTTTATGATTTTTTTAAATATTTCACTGACACACACAAAGCGGTTATACGATTTAATTTTCATTAACGCGTAAAAGACTATAAAATCGCGCATTCTAGGACTAATTTAATTGACATACGCCATTTATCGATTAGCCATCGTCGAGAGCTGTTTCGTACACCTCCGCACCAGCTAGTCCTCTACTTCCGCAGAGATCGAGCAGCCGGAAGTACAACGGCAATAGCGGAAACGGCGTCCTTGGCAGACCTCGAGCGGAGAGTATGAACGAACGACCGTTCGTCTCCGTGAAACGCGCTTACGAATACCGGAAGTACGACAGTCAAGTGAGTACACGTGTGCAATTTTTGAATATAATACTCGATATAATACTGCTCATTAGATCGCTGGGATCATTATCGTACGTTCCATCGTTTCGAATTATCGAGATGTATGTTACGATCGTTTTAATTATTTTTTTTGCTCATTAATTTAATTACACTATATTTTTAAAATGGTTAATTGATTATGTTTTCTCGCAACAGCCATAAATTTTATGCAACATTTCAAAAATTAAAATGAGAAGGTTTGACTTTACCCATACTTTCATTTTGCGTTTAAATTGCATATTTCTTGGATATTAAAAAATTTGCGATTAATACGGAATATTATTACAGACCTGAAAATGCGGTAAGAATAATATTGAACGAAATAAACAGTTACTTTGCATGGAGTTTTCGAAACGATGATACGATCGATTCCGCTTTACGCCAATAAGAGAGCGGCAGCACGAAAGCTACAATTTAGTATCCATAGATATCAAGGGAACTCCCCACAAACAACGCTATATTTTATAACAATACCGTATAGTTAGTCCCTAAATAGCAAGAAACGATCTCTCTAAAACGTAGACCGTAAAACGATTATTACCTGTCCGAGATAGAAATTTCCTTTAATCCTTTTCCGTGCTATACTTTCAATGCGCACTTATCAAAGGAGAAATGAATTGCACAGTAAAATCTTCAATCTCACGTTAGCAATTTAACTATTCAATTAATACATGTATAATTTTATTGTAATTTTAATTTCTATAATAAACAATATTATTTATATATAATAAATATATATATAATAAATATTATAATAATATTTATTATAAAATATTATTTATTAATAATCATATGTAATAAGTAATATATAAATTAATTCTGTTTCAATAACTGTTCAATAAATATTTAATATCAATTACATTAATGTACTCATCTCGATTATAAGAAACACTGCTTCGATGATTAATATACGATATCTCGCATAAAAAAATAACTTCAGACTCACGTTAGCAATTTAATTATTCAATTGATATATGTATAATTTTATTGTAATTTATAATTTCTATAAAAAATATATTTATATAATAAATATTATAATAATATATTTATATAATCAATAATATTATAATTTCCTCTCATTCTGTTTCAATAATTATTCAATAATAAATATTTAATATCAATTACATTAATATACTCATCTCGACTAAGAAATTCTGCTTCGGTGATTAATACACGATAAAAAGATAACTCTAATAAGATTATATATACATATATACGACTTTCATGGTTTTAATTGAAGTATACGGGAAACGTAGTATTATCAAAAAAAGGTCATCCTGCTCATCGTTTTGGCGACGAGAATTTCCAGTTGACACGGCAGCTGCGTTACGACTCCATCGCGTTAACTCGCGCCATTAATTAGCCCGCGCAATTAATTAACAACGATTCGGGGCTTAAAGCTCCCGCTGCGCGGCTATAATCGCGAGGGCACTCGGGAGCATAGCACCGAAAGGATTAAACGCTCTTAGTTCGCCGTAGCATGTAGCATAGCGCTTCGCTTGCATTCCAGAGCCCTCCGACATCCCCACGCTCAGCCTTAGCGACCGCGCCACCGCCACCCTTAGGGTTAGCGAGCCAGCAATCGAGCACCAGCGGCGCGGAGAGACCGCATCATCATCATCATCAGCATCAGCATCAGCATCATCAGCCACCTCCGCCACGACCGGAATCGCGGAGCGATAGTTTCGCGCGCGCGGACGCGTTGTTGCGCGAGCACCGTCACCACCAGCTTCAAACCAGCATCGGAAATCACGATCACGTCGAACGGAAGCAAAGCACGACCCAGGAATACGGGACGCCGAGTCGAAACGCGCGTCCGGAGTCGCGAAACCGCGGGCTCGCTTATCAGAGTTACAGCACCGAAACCAGCAACGGCGACCAGGTGGACGGCGGATTGCTGACGATGGTCGATCATCAGCCTGACCCTCTCGTGAGCCTCATTCAGTCGCTAGCCGAAATCTCCCCGAGCACGCCTAAAGCCGAAAGCGAGCATTCCGCAAGCAGTCACGCGCAGATATCCGCCGGTGTACCTAGCAATGTCACTAATTGCTCCCCTAATCAGTCACCAAAAGCATGGCAGAATTGCAGCAGCCAGGTTTGTCACGTCTCCTCACACGCAAATCCCGCGCCAAAGTCCTCGCTCGCCAGTTGGAATCATATATTTCACGTAACAAAGCTCATCTGGTCTTGATTTTTTATACGTTATTTTGCTGATGATTAATCGCTAATTCAATCAACTTCTATATAAAAAACCGGTGTTTCGAGCAGCTTATCCAGCACGCCTCGCTTGGCTGGTAGCGCATCAATTAGATAGAACGATGTGTATTTTATTCACTAATCGATGTTTATCAGTTAAGATTCCTGCACTGTAAAAAAAATTTGTTAACTTAACTAAACCTTTCAATTAAATCACTATTTTGTTAATTGAACATATATTAGTATTTAAGTCAAATGTACGTTTTGTTATATAAATTTAAAATGTTACATTTAAAAATATTTTTATATGTTCAAGTTAACAAATTGTTTTTACAATCTGGATCTTCACCGCGATCATGTTAGATTGTGACGTCAGAGGCAAAAAAGGCACACGTTGAAAATTCTTAGATGCAATTTTTAAATGAAGATATTTCGACGAAACACAATTTCTTTCAGATGATTTTAATACACTTTTAAAATTGATTATAAAAGATAATTTTCGAGGTATTTTAAAAGTGTGTTAAAGCTATCTAAAATGCTGCACACTGAAAAAATTATTAAATTAATAAATACTTATTTAAATACTGCCTAATAAATTATTAATTTGAAACAAATAAATATTCATCTGTTTTGAAAAAGATTTTCTTATATCAAATAAATATTTTTCACATCAAATATTATTAGTTTCAAATAAAAATTAATGATTTATTAGGCAGTATTGAAATAAATATTTATTTAAATTCAATAAATTTTTTTCAGTGTGTTTCATCGAAATATCTTTTTATTTCGAAATGGCATTTATAATTTAAGAATTTTTAGCATTGTGTTTTTCCTCTTTGACGACACAATTCCAACACGGTCGACGAGGAGTCAGAAGCCCTTCAATTATACTTCGCCTTACATGTGTAATTATTCGTAATAATTGTCTTGACATCTCCGCAGCCACACAATGACTCGGCGTCATCGTGGACCGAGAGAAGCGTCAGTCCCGGAAGTGCGGTCATCAGCGGCGCCTCGCGTCCGCAGACGCCAGCGTTTCCGGTTCATCCGCGAACGCCGTACGTCAATAATGCATCACCAACGGTGACGTTCGCCAGCGATCGTACTTACATGACGTCCAACAACAGCTACAATGTCAATAGCAACAACAATAATAACGTTAGCAGCGAGGCTAGCGGTAACAATAACAATAATGTCGGGAACTACGGCGCCGAACGAACGATATATATCGAAGAACGAAGAGAAGCCTCGAAGGAGACGGGGCTTCCACCCAAGAGTCCGACAACACAGCGGTAAGTTTGACTTCTTATTTAATATATATTTTATTTTATATATTTCTTTTTATTTTATATATATTTTTCATTATTTTCTCTACATATTTTTCTCTAAATAAAGTTTTTCCTCCAAACATATATATATTACATATCACTCAAAAAATTTGTTCACTTGACTAAACTTTTCAACTAAATTACTATTTTGTTAATTGAATATATAATATACGTTCAATTAATAAAATAGTCATTTAATTGAAAGATTTAGTCAAGTTTAACAAATTTTTTCAGTGATATATATATATGTATAGAGAGAAAAATTTATTAATTTAAAAAAATTTGTTAATTTGACTAAACCTTTCAACTAAATTACTATTTTGTTAATTGAACATATATTATAATATATGCTCAATTAAACAAAATCATTTAATTAAAAGGTTTAGTCAAGTTGACAAATTTAATTTCAGTGTATATCTCTTATATACAATATATAGTTTTATCGTTTAATCTAACCTTTTACCAAATATGTATAATTACGCGCGAAGCAAAGTTTTATTATTCTTTGGTTATAAAATGTTCAAAATTGCAACACATAGGCTTAGAAATATATTTATCAATTATGCAATGCATAAAAATTTCATATTTAAATCTTTCACGGAAAATGCGAAACAAAGAAATCAAATTTTCTTCAAAAATCTTTCAATATAAATACCTGCGATATATACATGTAAATACCTTCCATTAAACTCGCTCGTCTCCGTACATCCGCCATTACGCTGCACATCTTACCTCAAAATTCCATACGTTCGCCAAGTTCCACATCTCGCGTGAATCCTCGCGAATCCTCCCCCGAGATCTTCGCTCAACTGCATTCTTAACTGTAAAAGTCACAAGTTACGTTTCAATATTGAAATCTTTAACAGAAAAGGCGAACGAAGAATTCGAATTTTAGACAAGAATCTTTCGATATAATTACCTGCACTTCTATTAAAGACTCACGCTTATCTAGCTCTACACATCCACTATGCCGCACATTTCGCGCGAGACTGACTCTCGCTTGACTTCACGCTTGAAAATGAAGTCAGGTTTCACCGCCAGGCGGCGCCACCGCTTGGCTCAGAGTCTGCACCGTCGGCAGTCAGTGATCGAGATCAGTTTCGCGCGAGACGCGCACCGTGTCAGACGTAGGGGGTATACGAGTTTTGGTATTTTAATCGAAAAATGTAATGCATTATATAATTAATTATGATATTTTTAAGCATACGTTGCAACTTTTAAAAGTTTATTATCAAAGAATAATATAACTTTGTTTCGCACACGTATTATATATAATTATATTCGGTTAGATTAAACAAAATAAAAAAAAATTTATATATATATTTTATATATTTATATTTTATGTATATATATATATATATATATATATATTTTTTTTTTTATTTTTATATATATTATCATTTTTCAATATACTACTACTATATGTATATTACTACTCAATAATTTTCATTTTTATTAGGTAACACAAATTTTAATTAGGTAATAAAATATTTTAATTAGACAAGATAGAAACATTTTTCTGCCTTATCAGAATCAGATTTTAGTGAGAAATATTGGAATATAAAATGTTTAACTCTTAAATATTTATTTTTATGGGAACATTAGACACTCTCTTATGAATATATCGTACAAAAATATTTCTAGTAATCCAGATATGACATAATATAGAGTAAAAATTATTTCTTTGAACACGATGGAGGATTGTAAAATGCAGAATGATATTCGTGATTCTAGACGCTTGAGTTTTCCGGCAAGCGGGCCGCTTAAACAAATACATAACAAACGATGGCCTCTCACTAACCAATCGGCGTCGTTCGACTATAGGTAATATACACGAAGAATTGCGCGAACAAGCGATAATCTCTGTAATTAAACATGCAATTAACGGTGTTAATCACAGCAACGGACAGCCCAAATTATGCACCATGAATGTTTTGTGTCATGTTACTAACCGCGCGTGTTTATACGCACGGAATGCAATTACATCATATCACAGATAATAAAAATCATTTTTATTTACATGATATTATATACATGAAAAATATTTTCTGTAAATTAATTTTTATTTTTTTGCGTTTCGTAATTCTAATAATAACATTTATTTTATATCATTTTATCGTTTTTTTATCTGCATTTTTGATGTTTATTAATACTTACTACAAATTTTGAAAATTTTTCGAATACACAAAATTATTAAAAGATCATATCTTACTACATTTTATCTCAATAAATTATTTTAATTAATTAAAATTATTTTAATTATCATATTTTATTTTTTGATAGAATTATAAGAGAAAAATTTAACTCCATATCATCATGAATATACAAATATGACATATATATGTGTGTGTTGCACTTTCAAACTAACAAAAATTCGCGTTTCCTTGCATCGTGTGTCATAGAAATCTCATAAAATAACTACATCGTATCGAAAAATAATTTATATTATTGAAGAACTAAGAAAACTTTTCCATACATCCTCATGAAAAATTCAGAGAAGAATGTCTTTTCTATCAATCCTCCTTCCTGCTTTTCACATATTTATTTCATTTAACATTGAACACTCCTTTCGCCATTTCCACATATCTGTGTACCATCTTTTCTCCAGTGTTTTCCTCACGATGTATAGCACTATGCACGAGTCAGCCAATACACGTCTGTCTGCACGGAAATGTGAGTACATTTTCGCGAAATATCTTTTAATGTTATGCTCGGTTACTCGTTTTGCAGCAAGGACCGACCTGTTTCTCCGCTAAGCGAATCGTCCCAGCCGCAGGCTGTTTCGCGCAGTCCTGGAACACCGACTCATATAGAATTCGCCCAAAGCCCCAAGGTAAGCATATATTCCTACATATTATGTTACATTCAAACTGTACAGCATCGTTGTTTTAATTCTTTAGTTATTGTTTCCTCTCTATTAAGATGCTAGAGAGAAGAAAAAATTTTTTTTAATATAAATATGATTAAATTAAAACCTTATTTAAGTTCTTAATTAGAAAGCGATATGATTTTTTATCACTAATTTTCTGCAAAAATAATTTAATTATTAATATGATAATTGTGCAAGGAAGTACTAAAAATATTGTGTGAGAAAATAAATTTGATTAAATTGAATACTTAAAACGTCGCTAGTGGTATTTAAAATAGGAACGATATATTAAATTCGACCCAAACTAGCCAAGAAATTTTTATTTTATTTCCACAACGTTTCGATCATCTGTTTTTGGTCCTTTTCAAATGAAAAAATCCTTGATAAAAGCGCAGTTAGTTGACACTGTTGTCATGATTATTAAACAATATGATTATCGGAATTTTTTAAAACATTTAAAATAACTTTTGAAAGAACTTTTGAAAGAAAGTAACCGCATCTTATCGTTATGATAGATCGTCAAAAAACCACCACCAGTTTTTTTGACGATCTATCATAACGATAAGATGCGGTTACTTTCTTTCAAAAGTTCTTTCAAAAGTTATTTTAAATGTTTTAAAAAATTCCGATAATCATATTGTTTAATAATCATGACAACAGTGTCAACTAACTGCGCTTTTATCAAAAATTTTTCACTTGAAAAGGACCAAAAACAGATGATCGAAACGTTGTGGAAATAAAATAAAAATTTCTTGGCTAATTAGGGTCGAATTTAATATATCGTTCCTATTTTAAATTTGATTATTTTTCTGAATTTTATAGAGTGCTGTGTCATACACTTCGATCAATAGTGGTGGCCAATCTTCACCACAGGTCCAATATTATGGCTCGAGACGCTCCAGTGTTCATTCGAACACCGAACCCCAGGAGGTAGCCGATGCCAACGTGAAATTTGTACGTGACACCAGCAGAATCTGGTACAAACCCAATATATCGCGAGAGCAAGGTAATCTTTTTATCTTTTATATTCGAACAATTCTTCTTTTTATTATCGTAATAAATATTCTAGATATATTTGAGATCTGAAGAAAATATATAACAATTTATATAGGTTCCTTTATCTAAATCTCTTATGCATGCAGTAACTTAAAAAATTGTGATGTGATGTATAAAATATACAAATTGCAAAATTTTTTAGCAATTTCGATGCTGAAAGACGCGACACCCGGCACATTCGTAGTACGAGACAGCAACTCATTTCCGGGTGCCTTTGGGCTAGCATTGAAAGTGGCAACACCACCCCCTGGCGCACCCAGCAGCCCGCGAGATCCTTCGAGCGAACTTGTCAGGCACTTCCTGATCGAGCCAACGTCACGTGGAGTTAGACTAAAGGGATGCGCAAACGAGCCTGTCTTTAGTTCACTCTCGGCACTGGTTTATCAGCATAGTCTAATGGCCATGGCGTTACCTTGTCAACTTCTACTACCGGAACCGGAAGCAGCCGCTAGAGCCTTGGACTCACCTGGTACTAATAGCACTCAACAACTTCTCGCTCAAGGAGCAGGTAATTTATTCAGCGATGACATTACTATGTTTTAAATTGAAAAAAAAACCGCGTAAATTTTCTCACCGTCGAATAAAGGATCTTAATTTGGACTTTTATTCGATCAATTTTTATTAATTAAAAAAAAAAATAAATTAAACAGACAAGATAAAATTTTAAATTTTACAAATTGTCTTCGATTTATTAAGAAAGAAATTTTATAAATATTTTAAATATTGTTGCAGCTTGTAATGTTCTGTACCTCTTTACAATTGATACGGAATCCTTGACCGGACCGCAGGCCATTAAAAAGCTATCACCAGCCTATTCGAGCAGAAGCCTCTACCGATTGCCACAATTGTTCATTTCAAGGTTTCCACGCAGGGCATTACTTTGACTGATAACGCGAGAAAGCTATTTTTCCGTAGACATTATCCGACAAATAATATAAGCTATTGTGGACTAGACACCGAGGAACGCACGTGGGAGTTTGCCAGCGAAGATACCGGAAGACCACTTAGCGCTCAGTATGTTTTTGAATAGCAATTTTAAATTTATTTAGTTTATTGAATTTATAATTTATTTTCAATATATATAATTTATAGAGTATAAATAATAGGAAAAATATATATAAAATTTTATGATTTCAATTTTTTTTAAATTGTGATAGATTTTTTATCCTGTTTATTCTTTCCAGTCGCTGCTTCGGCTTTGTAGCGAGGAAGCCTGCTCACAAATCGGACAATCAGTGCCACGTATTTGCCGAACTGGAACCAGAGCAACCGGCCACGGCCATTGTAAATTTCGTGAATAAGGTCATGATGGGAAGCTCCATTGCCAAGGCCAATATCGTCTAAAGATCACTACTCGCTCGCCACAATCAACCCGGGCACAAACATGTTACTGCGAATTATTTGTCAACGATTCCGCCTTGAAGATTTGACATCGACTACATATCTCTAGCGCAAAATCAAGTTGAGAGCAAAAAGCGACCGAAAATGAATAATAATCGATATGATCGATTGATAAAATTTATCATTATGCCGCTGACACGCCGAAGATACGCGCGAATTTTTTGGAAGAACCCGCCGAAGAAAATCGGCGTCGCACGAATTAATTATTATATCGTTAACTGACAACACGTAATAAATCCTCGTGCATTTCGTAGCGTTGAATCAGTAGAACATCCATGTTACAAACACGATATAATTATCGGTAAAACACCGGAAAAAAGTCGAGGACTCCTCTCTTCAAGAAAAAAAAACGAGAGGCTATGCATGAATCGATTCCATCCTCGCGTCAATATGCAGTCAGGATAAGAAAGTTATTGTTATAATTATCGTTATTGTTACGATTTAACGTAGCGAATAGTAGAGTAACTATAAATGGGTGGTCTAAAGAGAGTAAGGTGGTCAAATGACTGCGTTTGATATTTGTAGTGTATGTTCAATTTTTAAAAAATCATTAAAATATCTTGACCATTATGTAATGCCTTTTAAAACGTAAGAAATATTATAATTATAATATTTAGCTTAATATAATTTACCATTTAGTAATTATCAAAAGCTATTGCAAATTTCAAATTATACATATTTCTGCAAAATATATTTATTCATATATACATATAATATCTCGAGATTTTATATAAAGATTCTTTTTTTTTCTTTTTTTGCGAAATTGCTGAGTTTGTGATTTCGCCACCTTCTCCCGCCTAAAAAATACGATCGATTAGCCATCAACACACGCGAATTTATAGCTCGTAGTCATAGTTGAAGAGAATCAACCATGCTCTTCGCGCAACCTACGAAGGGCATCGAGCATTCGAAACGAGCGAAACATTCTCGCGCGACATTCAATATTCGTCCTCGGTTTCAGAAACTATATTTACGCACTGTGCACGTACATACACTTACGCATCGTTACGCATATACATATAACACTATCACACAGAAGATAACGGGATACTCGCGCATTATTTATACATAAGCAATATTATCTGTATAATTTATCTAATTTCTTTAGAAAATTTTTCAATTTTACTTATTCAAAGAAGCCCGTCTTGACAGAATTAATTTATTTTAAAATTAATAAGATTTTTTAAGAAAAAGAACACAAAGTTTTTTAGTAGATCAAAATTTTAGAAGAATTATGGATTGTTAAATAATGCGCGAATATCTTAAATTCATATATTACCACGTTATACTTGAGACTCTCGAGTAATATTTGACAGAGAATGTTACATCCTTTGCAGAGCATATTATACACACATTTACACGTACATATACATATACATATATAGAAGAAAAACCCCTGTGTCATGCTCCCTCGATGTACGAAAGAACGATGTAATAAATATAATTGCAAATGTGCTACCGCTCGAGATAAAGTCGCCTTAAAAAAAGGCCTTGAAGAGACACCATGAGGAGAATCATCGTGGGTACAGTCCTAATAGAAGAAAGCAATGTTACGTTTAGGATTAGTTAAAAGATAACGCAAGTTGTAATGAGAGATATGCTACTGGAAACGAACCCAGATAGCCACAGTGATTATTATAACATCATTTTCCCATTCAAAATGACGTAACTTGATGTCAAAATGACTACTTTGGCTATCAGGGGAAGTATGCATACACGACGAGACAGTATCGCGCGTATTCTTTCGGTAAAACCATAGATTTTCTTGCCATTTCGGGCTCGTGTACCGTCGACCTTCAAAGAGAGTCCGCTCCGACGAGCAGTCAATTATTACGGTCGAATCGATGATTATATTGTAATTACGACAATACGGCGGTGCGAGAGGATCATCGATGCTCGCAACAGTCGGTTCTCCTCTCGACACGTCGCCGATTTCTTCTTTTCTTTTTTGTCTACTTTTTGCGATCTTTCTTCTTCTACTTTTATCTTCCGGATGAAGGTCGGTCGAAGCTTCGGCGTTTCTTCCTACTCTCTACGAATCCTTTTGCGATTGAGGGAGAGAGGACTCATAGTTATTCATTAACGTGCTAGTCAAAATTCGTACTGTATATTCGATGGTCAAGAAGTAGATTAACGTTGGCCCTAATAAGAGTCCTTCTTGGATATGCTTGGTCCTTTTAATGGCGACAGGTGCGAGATACATCGCCTCGTACTGAGAATAAATGTTTATAGTAAAACGAGTGTAAGATTTCTTATCTCGAAGAGATCTTGAAACATACATAAAGATATGATTGATCGCCGCTGAAAGGATTAATATAATAAGGGCTCGCTTGAGAGAACCGACCGTGTCTTCCTCTTTGCTATCTTCTTTCTTCTCTTCGTCGTCCGTCTACGCTTTCTTATTCTCAAGTTTAAATTTTCTTTCGTATACGTGTCTAATAAACCAGACTAACTGCGTAATATTAATTTAACATTCAGTCATTATAATAATTATTAATATTATTATTTGTTTACGCTCTATATTATATTCTCTGTACGTTTATGCAATAATTATTATTGTATCGTGTTGCGTGCCGCATGGGTACGCGCGTATATAGTTGTAATAACAATAAATCATATTCACAGCGTTTCACAGAGTTTCTTATTCATCCTGACAAACTTTAAACCAACATCAAGAATTTTTTAAATAATTAAAGTAAAATAATAATTATTTATTAAATTGATGTATATCAGATTCTCATCATTAAGTTTAATATTTAGATTTTATATAATTGAATCATGAAGATTCGAACAAAATATACATTTAAATCTAAAAATATTATTTAATGGTGAAAAAAATTATTGTTCATGAAAATCGCTATAAAACAACATATTTTAATTTGAATTTACATGTCACTTAGATTCTTACTTAATTAAATATAATTACATTAAGCGAAAAATATTTTTCATATATATAAATTTTATTACATTAAATTATTTTATCTAGGGTTATATTTAAAATATTTAGAATATTTTCAAGTTTATTTTATTTTTTCCTTTTCTCATTCATATATATATATATATATATGATCATATTGTATTATTGTTATTTATACATAAATTTGACATATTGTAAGCTTTATTCCAAAAATGCAAATAAAATTTACACATATAATTAGAAATTTAAGTACAGTTTTGGCTATTACAAGCCATATATATATATATATCCGAAAATTGCATTTATTTCATATTTATTTAAATATTTATATAGTTACACAATTATTCGATTTTATGAAAAATAAACTATTATGAATAAAATTTTGCCATATTGATTATAAAAATATGTATTGTAAACAGAATTTCAACTTCATAAAGTATAATATACATAAATTTAAGTCATGTAAACAGTTGCCTTATTGTTAGATGAAATATTTATCACAGACAGAGTCAAAAGCTACGATATAAATCGGAAGAAAATATCAGTTCAAATGGCAATCTCTTACTAAATATGTCTAATTACATTCTTTCACATATATTTGTATGTGTGTTTGTGTATGTGTTGTATATAATTATTTGCATCGATAATTTTTGCCTTCAGTTGGCTTCATGATCTTTTTCTTCATTTTTCATTTCCTATATTATTCTTCTTATTTATCAATATAAGAATACACTTATAATTATTAATTTGTATAAGTAAACACTGGTACAGTTGGTCTTGACATATATATGGATACATGTACATATGTATACATACATATATAGCTTTCATAGTATTGGAAGAAATATTCACAAATAGCTAAAGTCTAATTGAATAGTTAATATTTAAACTGACATTTATGTAGTTTGAAAATTATATATTAATATAATTAAATAAATAATTTCAATAGAATAACACATTCTTTATCTTACTTTTTAAAAAATACCCACATAAAACTCGCTATAAAATGATTCTATTGTTAATTATTTAGTTATGTAAATATTATGTATTAAAAACATTTTATATTAATAAATATTCAATTAGATTAGCACAGCAAAGTCCACTCTCTACAAATAAAGGAAGCAAAAAACAGAGAAGTAAAAATCTCAGTGATGTGTCAAGTGATGTTTCATAGAGGAATTGAAAAGTTTATAAGTTGACATTATGGTTATCTCATCATCCTGCGAAATCTGTCCAACTCGAAAATACTTTCCGATAACCTGTAAAATTGAGATTATTAATAAATTAGATCTATTTTTTTATAATAAAAATAATAAAAATGAAATCTACCTTCCAAAAGCATTGACTAAAGCAACAATTTCACTTCTTTCTAAGAAAAACACCTTTCGATTAAAATTATTAAGTGTCGGTTTCCATCTATCAAATTTTCCAGAGAATAATATCTTTAATGCAGTGCCCAGGCCATGGATTTGCAATTTACCCCATAGCTTACATTTATCACATCCCACACAATCCATAATACGTGAAATATTTCTGAAATGTTGCCTAAATTCTTCTTTCAATAACTGTGCTTCTGTTCCAGTGAACATCACAGTTTCATTGAAATGTTCCTGAAATGACCTAAAATAAAATATAAATTACATTTTATTATTATTTTATATATATTGTAACATATAAAATATTGTTATATTATAATAATATATATATATATATATATATATATATATATATATATAAAATACTCACTTGATAACATTCAATATATCGTTCATCGCCAATCTTGTATCTTCATCATCGATTTCATTACCTGTATAATATTCTTCTCTTTCTAAATAAGGTGCTGCTTTAGCCAGAGCTCTTAATTGAAGTAAATAAGTGAAATACAAATTCTTTAGCCAATTTGGACCTTCATCACCTGTTGTTTCAGAAGAAAATCTTCTTTGCAACTCTTCCAAATTAGGACCCCATTGATTATCAGATGATACTTGCAAACCATCTTGAGGAGCTAACAAATATTTTGAACATAAATGTATATTGATGCTAGCATGCAAGCCAGATATGACTCGGTAAAAGACTCGTTTCTCTAAACACATTCCTGAAACATAATTATATATATTTATCTATTTATATATATTTATATTAAAAACATAAACTTGCAAATTCATATAATTATTTAACTTAATATCCTTTCTTTTTCAAATTAAATAAAGTTGCATTTTTTTATATAAATAATGTAAATATTAGATATAAGACTTACTATTTATTTTAGAAGATGGTATAAAAATTTGTGGCGAGTTTTCAGGTCTGAAAAATAATAATTTTGTTATAGTAAATTAAATAAATTTCATAATAAAATAAGAAATATAAATAACATTTGACATAAATATAGTTGTATACCTAAAACAATTTTCCATATAAATACTTCGCCATATTCTATGTGCACTAGTTCCTTTATATCCTGTATATCTTTCAGGATTAAGTAAAAGATCCACATATTCCCCAGGATTAGATTCCTTTACACAAAAATTGTCTTGTGCATCATCATGTCGCTGCCATCGTTCAAATTCTTTGTAATTTTCTGAACTATAACAAGATGTTTTTTTTTATCTTAGAATTTTAACTTAAGTACTTACTTAACTATGAAGTATTTTTATATTACCTAATTGTTGTGTTCAAGAAACCAAGTTCCATATTATGATCTTTTGAGCAGTCAGCAATTTGCGCATTTGATTTATATTTATCTACAGGACTTTCATTAAAGTGAATATCTCTTGGAATCTCTCCCTTTAAACCTTCCGGGATATCATTCTGCAATAGAGTGCAGGAAATTAAAGAATTGAGATAATTTTTATTTAAAGTAGCATATTTAGGACAAAAAAAAGAAATACTTACATCTTGACACGGCAATACATGACAATACCGAATAGCACATTTGCTATCATCTGCCCAAAATGGACAATTCTGGTTCAAGTTTACTTTATAAAATCTAAAATAATCTCTGACTAGAAGACTTTGAATCCTCGGATAAATTCTCATATTGTTAAAATAGTCCACGGTATCCACATTACAAGTACAATCATCTATGTATCCTTTCAACTAAAATTTTAATTAAAATGTTTAAAACATATTTAATCAAATTACAGCAAAATATTGAGATATTTAATATATCTCAATGCATTAAATATCTCAATATATAATTAATAATATTACTAAGTATTGAAACACAGATTTATTATTTATATATAAAAAGGAGAAAAGGAAAAATCTTTATAATCCAAAAATGATAGACATGTGAAAGATCATAAAGCATTTTATTCACAAGAGGTGTGAACATAGAATAATATGAAAACAAACAAAATCTACAATACCTTGCAGAAACATTGGTCATCTTTCTTGGAGTTAGTTCCAAAATAATTTGCATCTACTTGCAGATAAAAAAGTAAAATTGCTAGGAATAGCAAATATAATATCCTTTCACTGTGTCCAAGATTCATCTTGAACAAAAATCGCTGATGAGACTAATTTGTCGCACCATTAATTAAAGGTGCGTAATTAAGAAAGATATTTTAAAACTATTTTAAAATATTCGAACGTCGAACTCTGCTGTTTTTCTTTTTTCTCAAATCACATAAATTCACTTATTGCATAATAATATCTAATTAGATACGATATTGTAATATTGCACGTTTCACGATATATTTTCTTGTGTAAATAATTTTCTTAAATATATATAATTATAAATGACAACTATAAAAAACCATACAACGTAGACACGTAAAAACAGTAATGCCCCTAATTTTTACTTTTAATTTCGACAATATAGATTAAGATTTCAGATAATATCTTACTAAACGTGGAAAACGTATGTAGCTGTTATATGACATGATGTTATCATATATGCATACATATTCACATGAATTATAGGATACGTGGAATACTTGGGATAGGTTGATTTGCACCCAGGCATGTAAATGTATAGTAAAGGACATTGCACGCATTATAATCTAATACAATCATAGATAATGTAAGAAGGTAGATAGCTAACTCCTTATCTATCTCATTTAAACGTCATCTGGACAAATTAAATATTTCTATCGAACATCCAATCGCGTGACACCTGTCACTGACAGCTGCCGATTTGATTTTTCAGGGTTGGCTACTCTGACGTTTGGAGCTTCGCGTTGCTGCCGCGCGAGGGCGCCACCATCAGCTCGCACAGTTTCGTCCGTCACTCTTGTCGACGGAGTTTGTTTGAAGTGGTCCTCCAGCAGCCTTCAGAATGCGTCGTCTGACGTAGCGCCGTACGACTGAATAAGGATTCCATCGAACTCTGGAATCGTAAGAGGAAATGGACGGTGGTAGGTGTGTGAGCGTTTATATCTGTTCGACGATGAGCACGATCGGGTCGAAATAGGTTCGGGATTTAGCATCATGTGAATGATGATGAATGCATCCCATCGGTATTTCCATGGTGCGTGCGTGAATGGTTACACACATACACACACACACACCCCGTTCGCCCTCATCTAAATAACGCCCGCATCTCTTTCGTTCCCTCGTCGTGTATAGTTTTGTGAGCAAGTCGACGACTGCGAGTCCATAAAAAGGAAGAGGTCGCGCACCGCAAATTCGCTAGGAGTCTTCTAATATCGTCAGTCGTACAATTATACGCAGCATGACGCAGCCTATCATACACGTACGTATATGCATAGCACACACACTTATGTATTTGTGCATTCATAAATTCATTTAAGTATACAGGAGCAAAAAATGTTCACTATCATAACAACGCTTATACGTCAATTATGTCAATTAAATGAGCTCACGCATGTGCGTTTATGTTATTTATGTACTTAAGTGTGTGTGTATTTATAAATATATTCAAAAATATAACACACACACACACACACATATATGTGTATAAAATTATATAAGGCATCTTACAAAAATGTATGCCTGGATATCCTTTTAATAATAGATTTTCATGAGAACGTCAAAGCATAAAGCGTAAATTGTATTGTGAGTTGTGAGATAATAAAAAAGAATGACAAGATTCAAGTTGATTCATGGAAAATATTCTATTATGATTCACAGATTAATTTTTCTTGCAAATAGTAGTTATAGAACTTTTGGAGTTTTGAAGTTTGCATATTTCTTTGCTGTCAGAATATTTACATTTTTTCATATTGTATATTTATGTCCATAATTTTTAGAAAAATACAATTTTTTTTCAATTTTATCTTTCGATGATATAAAAATCAAAGATAAAATAACAAATAGTGTAAGAAGTAAACTTTGAAACTGTTAATTTGAAAATATGTTCTTTCTTTGTTATATTTATACAAAATATATTTCAATCTGGAAAATATAAATATATATCTTATTTATATATATCTGTTTTGTAATATTTTAATACATCTATTTTTTGTGTATTCAAATTTAAAGACAATTTACATACACACACAATTATCTCAATATATCTATGTTTTAATATCTTCAATTCAATTACTTTTTGCAGGAAATGACCATATAATCTTAAATAATAAAATATATATGAAATCGTCATATATTCAGACACATAAAATAGTATTTTTCTATTTACTTAATATGAAAAATTGTGTAATTATTTTTATATTTGTACACGTTTTGATAATATAAAATATCTGTTGAAGTTTCTTTTTTAATGATTTTTAAACTTTTATGCACAATTTCTTTCTTGATATTTTTGTCCTGATGTTTATATACATAATATATAATAAAATGAATTAATTAATATAGAAAAAAACATATAATTGTAATTAAAAAATGTAGTTGCTTATTACGCTGGTGTGTTGAGGACATCTATGCAAGAAAATTCTGATTATTAATTGATTAATCTTATTATTCTACAAAAATATTAAAATAAAATATTAAATATATTCTATAAAAATATTAAAATTTAAAAAAATAAAAAAGATTATTGAAAAAAGTAAAATCTCTTTGAGACTTCATATTTTATATCAATATAAATTAGAAGTCCTTTATAGCTCATTTCAGAACAAAAAAGTTTTAGCTCCTTTTGTTCTGACTAGTCCAATCTTTAGTCAATATTTAATGAGTAATCTGACCTTTTTTTTCTCTTGGCGTTCGCAACATTCACATAGCATTATCTATCTTTATTTAACTGTCGATAAACAACGAGAATGGAATGATTCTACGATCGCCAAGTAGAACATAGCCTAATAATAAAATCTATCTCACAATGCAAAGGTACAGACAATAGGAGCAGGAAATAGAAATATATATATATTCTCTGTGGATATCAATAGATAGATATATCTATCTATTGGTATATTTGAATTTGATAATTGAATTATCTTTAAATTTGAACACACAGTTAAAAAGTAAACGTATTAAAAAATATTACAAAATAGTTTTTTTATATTAGATATTTAAATAATAATATTAAAAAAATTCTTTATATTAAATAATATTTAAAAACTTATTTGTTATATAATATTTTTCTCGATGTGTGTATACAAATAAATTAAATAAAATTCAAGTAAGAAAAAATAAATGAGTAAGCATGTTGTAAGAATATATTATCTATATTTTTAAAATTTATATTTAAATAAACTATGTATAGTCATTGATTTCTTATCGGTACTTTTTATATACATTATATATATGTATGGCTTTTATTATAAAAATCCTTAATCTAAATATACTACATTTTTTTAAAGGTTTTACATATGATTGATGAAAATGTGAACTATGATACAAATTGGAGCTGTACATTCAATCATTCTTTTTACAATGACTTTTATTAGCAATAACAATTCTTTATCACATAGTAACATGCAGTAGTTTTATGCGCATGGGTGAGCATCATAACGCATTAAATTATACAGCAAGACAAGTATATATTTCTCTCTCTCTTTTTCTTTCTCTCTGTCGCAGAATTTTGACGAAATCACTGTTATATCGTGACCTTTAGTAGAGAGTCTCAGTATAAATCATTCTGATTTTCCTAATTTATTCAATTCTATATTATTGAAACTGTTGGCTGAATGAATATATTTTAATTGAGATTAAAGTAAATTTTAGCATGTTTTCCCTTTTTCTTTCCTTTTTATTTTCTTTATTTTATTCTTTTCTTTTTTCTAAATTTTAAAATAAAATCTGATCTCTTATAATATATTAAAAAATTTGACATTACTTTATTATTCTATGCTACATTATTATATGGCAAAAAATGTTATTACTAATAAAAGTAATTGTAAAAATAATTAAATATGCAGCTTTATTTTGCAAATGATATTTTAGATCGCCTTTAATTATACATAGTTTATTTAACTACAAATGGAAATATAAATAATATTCTAACTATAATATTTTTACTCATTTATTTTTTCTCGCTTGAATTTTGATAAATGTATTTGTATAATTTTTCTTTTAGTAATATTTTTTACAAGAAATGAGATAATAGATAGATGAGAAATTTTAAACGAATTTCCGGGGGATGGCAGTTTTTTATATAATAATGATATAGACGAGATGGATACATTAAATATATTTCATGCTATATATAGTCGCAAATAAGTTGATTCATCCTCACGATGAACTATTGCCAATAAGAATATTTTATCATGTGCTATTTTCTCACGACACATCATACAAAGTATTTTTATTGTCAACAATGAATTAATTGCATTGCAGTCATTTCTGTTTTTTAAGTGCATTATTAAAAAGCTCTCACGTTCATTACGCACTATTTCTTCAAACGAAAATGCTTTGATATAATATTTATGTGCTCTTTATCGCAATTTGCATGGAAATATATTATATATTTTTTTTAAATAACAATGCTGGATTATATAAAATTAGTATCAGTTTTATTGAACACTCCTTATCTTTAATATCGAACATATCGCTCACAATCAGAATTTTAGAAGATATTGATGACCTTATTTTTTTCGGAAATTTATTGCAAAAAATGTTTGCATTTCCGTTTTTTCTTCGGCGAAATGTTGAGCGAATGCAACGAGACGAGCTACAAAGTTATCAGACCGTAAGTTCAACGAACTGAAGAAGAGCAGCGGACTTTCGGCATCTTCAATGCAAGATTATTACAGTTCGCAAAGACCGCGAATAAGTGAGAGTTATCTCTTAATAGAGTAGATAATAGGACGGTTTTTCATTCCTTTAATAATTAGTGTGCATATTCTTTTTTGCTGTGAACAAGATGAAAAATTATAGGTCGAGGTTTATCCCAATGTTTTTATTTGCCTTTTTTATAAATAATATTTTTTATAACACATGTAATATTAATATACTGAAAAAAATTATTGAATTTATTTTAATAATTTTCTTTGCACATTTGTTTGAAATAAATATTTATCTGTTTTGAAAAAGGATTTCTTATATCAAATAAATATTTTTCACAAATCAATATTATTAGTTTCAAATAAATGATGTATAAAGAAATAATTTAAATAAATATTTATTTGAATAATTAAGTAATTTTTTTCAGTGTACAAATAAAAATGAGAAATGTTGTTGAAAAGTAGAGTTCTCTTTTTCTAATAGAGAGAGAGTTCTATCAAATATATTATATTGAAAGCCTAAGAATGGAATGTGCTAATTTTATATAGCAGTGCAACATAATTTTTTTATTTATTGTACGATTAAAAATGATTGTTATTACAAGACATGTCATCATTAGCCACACTTTCAGCAATATTTGATTACATTAATTAAAATAAAACACTGTGTATATAGAATATATTTAAAATATGAAAAATTAAATTAAAACTTTTTTGTAGGTAATGAAGAACTGATGAAACTGAATCACAATTACGAGATTGAAGGCAAAGGACGATGGACCCAGTCAGTAAAAAACAGGCGGTTAATTCGCCAGAAATTGCGTTGGCTAGCGAGGTGTTCGATCAGTTTTGCAATGCCACTACATTAAAGTCTATCCTGGGCTATTACAGACATTTGTGCGAATTGCTAAAAGTTCGACCGACCGTTATTACTCAGTTTTATCCAAAATTGAAGGCAAAGCTACGATCATGGAAGGCACAAGCGCTATGGAAAAAATTCGATCAACGAGCTAATCACAAATGTTATAATCGTGGTAAAGCATGTCCGAACACAAGGGTGAGTTTATTTATTAATTTTTATTTTCTCCAATTGTTCTCTTTACGAGAAACATTTAAAAAGTGAGATATTTTAAAAAAATCCCCTTCTATAAGTTATATTTGATAATTATCTTTTTTTTACAGATTTGAATTTTGAAAATTTTTTTATTAGAATAAAAGAATATTTAAACGATAATTAAATTGAAACATTTATTCATTGAATGTTCTATTTTCAAAAATATGCTTAAATATAAATTTAAAAAACTATATTTCAAACAAAAATTGTTTAATTTTGAAGAGAAAAAAAATTAAGTCTTGAATTTTGACTGATAAGATTATTTTTCAAGATCAATCTAGTTTTTTTAATTAATAAAAAATTTTAAATTAATAAAAATATTTGAAACGGAAAAATTGATTGTATTTTACATTGATTTATACATTATAATTTTATCCTGACAATATAAAATAGAAAAAAAGCATTTGTCTTAAGAATATTTCTTCTTCGTTTCTAGATTTTGATCATCGGTGGAGGTCCATGTGGCTTGCGGACAGCTATAGAGGCACAACTATTAGGAGCCAAAGTCGTGGTGATGGAGAAAAGAGACCGAATGTCTAGGAACAATGTTTTGCATTTGTGGCCCTTTGTCATCCAGGATCTGCGAGGTTTGGGAGCAAAAAATTCTTTGGAAAATTTTGCGCAGGTGCCATTGATCACATCAGCATTCGACAATTGCAATGTATTTTACTGAAAGTTGCTTTGATTCTCGGTGTCGAGTTTCATGAAAGCGTGAGCTTTGATTCCTTGATTCAACCACCGGAAAATCAAGAGGATGGCAGTAAGCATATAATTAATCAGTATATAATTAAATTAATTATATATAATTTTTGTAAAGTTCAAGGTGCAACTACATAATTATTTCATTATATATTAGAATATGCTTTGAAATTCTTAAATATTTGATATATTTAATAATCAGATATGATTTTATTAATATATACAAATTATAACAAAATGTGTTTATGAGTAATATAAGAGAAGAATAATTTATATATATATATATATATATATATATATATTTTAGAATTTTTTAAATAAAAAAATTAATCTACATTTTATTTCCATTATTGATAGATTTTATCTTGAAATTTAATAAAAAATTGTAATAATTTTAATTATCTTTTTCAGAGATTGGTTGGAGAGCAAAAACGTTACCAGTGGATCATCCAGTTTCTCAATACGAGTTTGATGTATTAATTGGAGCTGATGGCAAGAGGAATACTTTAGAAGGCTTTAAGCGAAAAGAATTTCGAGGGAAATTAGCCATTGCAATAACTGCGAATTTCATAAATAAACGAACCGAGGCAGAGGCTCGTGTTGAAGAGATCAGTGGTGTTGCCTTTATTTTTAATCAAAAGTTTTTTAAAGAATTGTATCAAGAAACGGGAATTGACTTGGAAAACATTGTATATTACAAAGATGACACACATTATTTCGTTATGACTGCTAAGAAACATAGTTTAATCGACAAGGGAGTTATTCAGCAGGTAACAACAATTTTTATGGTCATATGTTAATCATAAATAATGTTTTATACATTTGGAATTAGAAGTATAATTTTATATCTTTTAGAATTAAAAAAAGAGAAATTATAATATAGAGAAAAATGTTTGCTTTAAACAGATAAATAATGAAAACAGGGTAATACATTTCTGATTTTATATATTACAACTGACAAAACAAAAAATTCAGCCATGTGTATTTCATATAAATAATAACGATAAATTGCTTTTATTTGTATAGTATGGCTTATTTATTCAAATATCAGAATATTATTATATTATCATTTTTATCATTTTATATATTAGAATTATAATATTAAAAACACTGTGTTTTAAATAATTATTGTTAATATCTAATAACTTTATAATAAAAAATGTTATAGAATATTATTTAAAATTTTGTGATATAATTAAAATTTTGTAATATATTCTGAAATTACAAGCAAATGAATAAGTATAATATAAATTATAAACAAAAGATAATATGAAAAAGTTTAAATGTTTTAATATTTATTTGAAGAATAGAGAACAAGTTGTATAAGCAAAGCTATATCACTTTTACTTGTTTCAACAGTTAAATTAAAACTATTATTGATTTCTAGGATCATGCTGACACCGCAAAATTACTCGCGAAAGAGAACGTGGATCGCGAGGCATTAATGTTGTATGCACGAGAAGCGGCCGAATTCTCGACGGAATATCAAATGATGAACATGGAATTTGCTGTGAATCATTATGGCCAACCGGACGTAGCCATGTTCGACTTTACTTCAATGTACGCGGCAGAAAATGCGAGTCGCGTATTGCAACGTCATGGACATAAACTACTTATGATTCTTGTAGGCGACAGCCTTTTAGAGGTAAATGATATGTATTTTTTGCGATTACTAAAAATTACGATTTTTTATTTTATTTTATACATTTATGACACAAACTTAAAGTTAGAGATGTGTATACACAAAAAAAGAAGAAAAAAGAATAATAATTGCTTTATTTGTTACTTGTTTTTTTTTAACATTTATTTTAATTTTTGGAAATTTATATAATATGAAAATCTAAATTTTTCAGATTGGTCAACTTTAAACATTTTTCATTTAAAAACTATTATAGTCTCAATATTTTATTAGAATTTTTTATTTTAATTTGAGATACATTATCTAAATTATTAAGTTTGCAAATTTTTGAACGACATTATTCTACATATAATATATATAAAATAATATAATAATGGTTTATATAAAAATATACAATAACAACTGTACGATTAAGCAAAATTCTATTAATGTCTTTTATTTTATATATTTAATTCTTAATTTACTCCACTTTTTGATACTTTTTCACTTTTTTTTTTTGTATATTTCCATATTTCTCCATATATTCAGGGTTTTACATTTCAGCATTTCTTATTTTATTTAATCTTCAATGAAAAACTGAATGAAAAATTGATTTTAGCCATTTTGGCCCACTGGTTCTGGTTGCGCGAGAGGATTCTTGAGCTCTCTGGATGCTGGTTGGGCAATCAAGGGTTGGGGTGCTTCACTTTCACCATTAGAAGTAATCGCTGAGCGCGAGTCGATATACAGATTGTTGGGACAAACAACACCAGAAAATTTGAATAGAGATTATGCTGCGTACACCCTTGATCCTCACACTAGGTAAGACTCTCAACTATAATTTTTATTTTTCACAATAAGTCAATTGATTGATATTAAATAATTTATAGAAGATAGAGAAAATAACTTTTTACATATCAAATAATTGTCAAGTGTGTTTTAGAAAATTATCGTCGCAGATATTATATGAAGTTTTAAGATTTTTGGAATTTATTTTCTCTCTTCTTATATCACATAATATTATAATATATAATAACCAATATCGTCATAATATAATATTAATAAATATCAATATTAATATATTAATATTGTTATTAATATAAATATATATTAAATATGTAATAATAAATAATAATAATAATAAGCACTAATAATCAAATAAATTTGTTATTTTTTTTTCAAGGTATCCAAATCTTAATGTACGTTCTGTAACTCCAATACAAGTATGCAGTCTTCTTGATGCAGATGATCTTGAAAGTATCAAACAACCTGCGATACAGTCTGAGGCTGATGTTCCAAAGAAACGAAGACGTCGCGGTAAGTTTAACTATACACATACATATAATATCGAGTTTTATAAGATTTTTGGATTAAATTGTAATTATATTAAAATGTCAGACTGTTACTTTTAATGATTGAATTACGTCTTTTTTTTTATAAAATAAGTAATGTTGTTTTATGTCATATATAATGAATTCAATAGAAAATTGTACAAGAATTAACTAAAAAAATTGAAAAATATTCTGTATTTAAAAGTACAATTCTCTCATGCTATCAGTCAATGATAATTATTATCAATTCTTGATTCATATAAGAGAATGTATTCTTGTGTTGATTATAAGTAAAATTTTAAGTAAAATAAATAATAGGATTTATTAAAAATAAAAAAGAAAATTTAATGTAAAAAAATCTTTTTATTTAATTTCAAGAAATTATAAAAAAGAGTTAAAATAAACATATAATTATAACTTGCTTTAGACATGAAATAAAATGAATATTATTAATAATGGTGTTCCTCATTAACTTTATAACAGTATATTTTAATTTGATATGTTATTTCTTCATATTTTTTATTAAACTTTGTTTAAAAATTTAATATTCTGAAAAATTCCTATTTACTATTTTTATATATAAATTACACATTACACATATTATGGATCAAAACATATATTTTTTTATTATTTTCTTTGATGTGAATTTAAAGATAAAATATTTTTCTTTTATATAGAATTGAGAGATGCTCAGATTCATCCAGACACGTTACTTCGTTGGCTAAAAAAGCAAGTTGCACTGTACGATAAAGTTCATATTGAAGATATGGGTGCCTCCTTCAAAGATGGTTTAGCTCTGTGTGCAATCATTCATAGATACCGTCCAGATCTAATAAATTTTTATAGCTTAAATGCGGAAGATGTAGTAAAGAACAATCAACTCGCCTTCGATATGTTGGAAAAAGAATTGAATATACCATCGGTAAGCATATTACATTTTTTTCTATTTGCTCTAATATCAATTACCTATATTATATTATTATTAATATGTATATATTCTTAATTATAAATTATTTAAAAAGGTATTCTGAATTCAAAGTTCCAAAAATAGATAATTTTCGTGAATATTTTTTAATAAATAAAAATAACCACTGTATAATTTGAATCTTTTTATAATATTTTTGAATATCCAATATTTGATTATTATTCACGAATTTTAATATCTGGGTAATGGCTAAAGTAATTAGCTACTTCATTATTATAAAGACATTATTATTATTTTTTATAGAGAGATTACCAGGATAATATTGACATTATCAATATAAATTACTGTATAATATTGTTTAAAAATTATTTGTATAATGTTGTTAATCTAAAAGAAGAAAAAATAATTATATTTGCAGATAATGACAGGAGAAGAAATGATTCAATGTGATGTTCCTGACACACTTACTATGTTTTCTTACTTAACACAAATATATGAAGTTTTCAGAGGCGAGATTCCGTATGTCAAGCATCCAAAATTGGTAAGTAACTTTAAAAATAACTGAACTCTCAAATTATGTGTATATAAAAAGATTAATAGAAAAAGCGAGATCAGAAAAATCTAATATTTTTTAGTATTTTTTGTCTTAATTATCTCATTGCTAAGTAATAATTTACGAGATTGTAATACAATTATTCAATTAAATATTTTAATTAAAAATTTGTAACCTTTCTCTTTTTTTGTTAATATTAAAGTTAATATTAAAAGGTCAGTATTAAAGTTTGATATTAATTTAAGCAATTATTAAAATGCAATATTTATTAAAATAGGAGCCAGAAGCAGAGGAATGCAGCGCACATCCAAAACAACTGAAACAATTGACACCTGAGGAAAAAGCTATGAAAAGGCACTCGCGCTCGCGATACTGTAATGAAAATGTACAGTCTTACGTAGACAAGAAAGAAAATGTAACTAGTCGACGTTCTCGAAAAAGGCGCAGTACTGAGAAAATGAGTGCAACAATGGTAAGTAAAAGAAATTTTCTGTCTTTTTCTGTAGCTCATGAATGATAGCTAATTACCTTTATTTATTTATTTAACAATAAGACAAATGCATTAATGATATATGTTTGATATTTTATACATTACATATTATATTTCATATTATTTTATATTATATTTTATATGTATTTGATATTTTTTACTTTAATTGTCTTATATTGTTTATATATGCTTCATTGCAGTTGCATATAAACATATAATATCATTATTGCAATTGTTTCAATTGATAAAATATATAAAAAAAGCAGATATAAGAATACAAAAAGAATAATATGTGTAAAAGTCTTTGTATTCGTGTAATCATATTACAAATATTTTTCTAAAAGTTTTACAATAATTTTAAAGTTATGGACATTTTAATATAATTACACAAGAGAGGAAAAAAGAGAGAAAGTGGAATTATGCAATATAAATCACTTTAATATATTTTGTATATATTTTAACATATATATATATATATATATATATATTTCTAAATATTGATTATATGCAGTAGTACAATCTAATTATATGGAGCAAATTGATTTTTATTTTAAAGATATTTTCTTATTCTACTTTTAATTTACATTATTTATCTTTAAAAAAAACGAAAGTTTTAAAAGAAAATAATTTTTTTTATATTATCTTGCAAAAAAGGCACTTATTTCTCTAAAACGATATGTACACCTTTCTACAACAATTTGGATTAAAATAATAATAAAAAAAATAAATTATCAAAAAATTCTGATTTACTAAAAATTAATCTAATTTTTAAAGATATTTTATTGGCAAAAAAATACAAAATATAGAACAAAAAATATTTAAATTTAAAAACAAATTAATTTTATATAAAAATATACGTAGTAATTTACATCTAGAATGACTGAAATGCTTGAATCTTATATAGTCACAATGGCAGAAAATCGAAGCTGTTACATGCCGCGGGATATTCATATCATTGTTAATCATATTTGTCGGACTTATCCTTACCGTACTTCAGGAGGAATAAATCTGTACTGAATATGCATAATCTTCACCATAGAAGAGATGTCCAGACTGTTAGTTATATCATTTTTTATACAATATTTATATAGTATATAGGACGTTGTCATATAATTGCTATCAATTTAAACTCTTAGGAGGCCATTTAAAAAATAATTACAATCTTTCAATTGTTGCTGTATGCATAAATATTGGCTAAAGCAATAGTATAGTATATGATTATTGTATCAAATTTATAAGCTAGTACCCAGTACTTAAAAAATAGTATAGGGGTTGATTTTATATATATATATTTTTTTTATAATTTTATTTTTTTTTCCTTTTTTTCTTTTTCCTGTGCATAAAATTTTGTTCTTTAAATAAAAACGGTTTAAGAGATTATGAATCTTCTTCGTCACTTCATGCTGTTTTGCAGTAGCATAATTTGATATAGGCTGTATAATTAGAAATATGCTGTATTATAAGATAGAAAAAAGATATTAGCATTTACGATTTTACGATTGGTCGATTCGACTAATGGCTATTCTCAAATTCGCATAAAGGACGAAAGACAGAAAAAAATCGATGAGATCGAAAAGCATCGAGCCGAGCGTATGAAGAAGCGTCAATATTTGCGTAAGATGGCAACGCAACAATTCTACAAAAGCATGCAAATGCTGCAAGCCAATGCGAAACACGAGAAAGACGGGCCGTTTGAAGATTATGCGATTTTCTTATATCGTCAAACTGCGCCAGATTTCAAGGACAGAGTAAAAGATCTAGAGCAGAAAATACTCTACCCAGTAAGCTAGAGATCGATCACGAGTGAAGATGTTTGAATGTTTTTTTCTTCTACTCATCAATAAGAAATCAATGTTTTTCAATTCTGGAGATAACAGAATATATTCTTGATAAATATATATGTATACATTAGGGGATTTATTCTTCATATAATCTTGATCTTAATAACATATGTCAAGATGGTATATTGTATGTTATCAAGATCAAGATTATTGAAAGTCCTCTAATAATATCATATTTACTACATTGTTTCTAGAAGGTGCTCGGCATGATAACTATTAACTAATTAAACTTGTTTGAAAGATAAATTATGTATGTTATTAACTACTTTTGATTAATATGACGCTTAATAAGATTTTTGCAATTATATAGCTATGGACTTTGTCAATTTATTTTTTTGTACGACGAACACTTTATTTTGTAGTCGTACTTCGTAACTTATTGCACTTATAAGATCAACATTTATATGGAAAGAAAAAGAGTATTACGAAATGAAGATAAAAATAACAATATATATTTAAAAAATAATGCTTATATATTTTTTTTTTCAATCTTAATTTAAACAAAATTAATTTTTTAAATTATATTATTTGCATTTTTGAGTTTAAAGAATTATGTTTGAAATCAAAATGCATCTATTTATAAAATAATAATAAATCTTTAATTATGCTACTAAACTAATTAGATTACGTGTGTAATTTAATTAATATCACTAATTCAACGTGCATATCGCGCATATGCTTAAATTATTTAAACATAAAGTGTTATTAAACTTGTTAAATTATTGAATATTTATTGATAATAATTAAATTATACTAAAAAGCTCTCTAGGATTATTTAAATTAATTGTGCAAAGTATCTCGTAACTGATGGAACAATGAAAATATTTTAATAATTTTATATTTTATTAATTTAGTTTAAATTGGCTTAATTATAATTAATTTTAATTAAATCAAATCTCCTATCTGTTATTCTTGTTAAAATTTATTTTATTTAATTTTTCAGAATTTTCAATTCTAATATTAATAAAATTCCAATAATAAAAAGAAATCTAAATGAAAAATCTGATGAAATTTGAACTAATCTTCGAATTTATTTGAAAATACTGCTTTATTTTATTCTTTCCGAAAAAACCCTGTATATCTGTATTAAAATTACGCTTCATGAAATATCTTCCTGTTATTTGCTTGCAATATTTATATTCCCTGTGATTTTCATTCGTTTTTGTGAAAGGTTTCTATTAATTTATCAATTATTCCTAGGACAGACAACCCAAGATACACATCGGCTACGAAAAAGGAAGTGTGGACGAAGAATTTTCGGGAAGAATAAAAGATTTTGAAGATAAATTAAAAGGGGCAACATCTTCCGAGAAGAAACCTAGAGATCTTTTACGTGCCATCGGTTTGTATATACTTTTAATTTTTTATTTATTTTTTTTTTTTTAATGTTATTACAATTTTCTTTGGCGTTTATTATCGTCATTTTCGAGATATTTTAACATTGATAAATTTTTTGAGAATTCTATGTAACGGAATTATAAAGAAGAAAGAAAGGAGAAAAACTTATAGCTTTGAAGTAATTTTCAAAAGAGATTTTCAAACTTTTTACTAAAAATTTATTGATGTATTAGAATAATGCCATGTCATGTCAGATCAAATAATAAGATACTTTTGTGTACACATAGGTAAGATCGAGAAGACGGACTGGAACGTGAAGGAGATCGAGAAGAAAATCGAGGAAAACAAAATGGGCCGTGCCATTCGTCAGGATCGCGTAGAAAGAGTGCCAAAGTGGAGTCGCGAGCAGGTTGGCAAAGAAACTCACAATAGCACCAACATTCTCGCACTTTTTTAGATGTGTATATGTTTCATTCAGTTTTTAGCTCGGCAGATCAAGATGGAAAAGCGAGGCAACGATCAAAGGGACACCTACAGTAAGTACGCTGATATAGATAATACCCTGAAGAATATAGGGAAGAAAATCCGAGAGGGTAACGTGCTCGGACACAATAAAGTTTCAGCTATGGCTGAACAGTTTTTGAATAAAAATCAGGATACGGAACCCAAGCTGCAGAAATCGGTAAATACAATCTATCTTTTCTCCATAGGAAAAAATAATCAACGCAATATTAGAATTTTATCTGTTGGTGTATAAATGTTTATTATCTTATGTATATGTCGATAATCTTAAAAAAATTCTTCTTAATCACGAAATCTTTTTCAAAAAACTTAGATTATTATATTTTTACAGAAATATTTTTAAAATATATTTTTTACATTTTTTAAAAATATTTTTTCTAATTGTATAAAAATATTTAAACTATTATAAATATAAATTTACAAAATAGCATCTAAAATTGATGCATATATCATGTTTCAGTATTATAACTAATTATAAGTTATAATTATAATTTTAAAATCTTAGAAATGGAAACTTTTAAAAATAGTCACATTTATGTAAAAAATAAGAATATCAAAGATGTCCGTTTTTGTCTAAATAAAATTATTTATAAAATTTTAATTGTATGAGAGATATTTTACCAGTTTAAAATATACATTTTATAATTAATTATTAGTAGTAATTAACTAATTATTACATATAATAATAACATAAAAACTTAAAACTGTCTTGTTAAAAAAATCTTGCTAATAGCTTTAATAATTTTTTATATTGTGAAAATCGTAGCATTAATAATTATACTAAATTATACAAATTATTTGTATAGAATACTAAATCCACCATCGTGCTACCGGTGCAAGGAAGTTCAGAGATGTGCCATTTTTGCAATAAAAGGGTTTATTTAATGGAAAGACTGAGTGCGGAAGGCAAATTCTTTCATCGTGGTTGTTTTCGATGCGAATATTGCTCCACTTCCTTAAGAATAGGTAATAGTCTTTTTTCATATAATATTTTAAAAATGTAGGGAAAAACAAGAGCTTATACAATTATTTTATATAACAATATGAAAACCAATATATATATTGTACATATACATATTTCGATATAATGTAATTGAATGTAATGATAAAAGTAATAATAAGAAAATATATGCTATAATATCATAAACATATATATTAATAACACATATATGTTTCAGTAATTTTATAATATTGGCTATAATTTTTGGTATTTTTTTATCTTTTATAGGAAATCATACGTTTGATCGAGAGAAAAATGGAGGGCGTTTTTATTGTACTCAACACTTTGGATTATCAGGAACGATGAAAACTAGAGCGGAGAAGAAGAGAATTAATTTGTTGAATAAAGAAAATGTACCTAATGCCGGGATTACATTGAAAACTCCAGAAAAGGTACAACATCATACATTATATAATGACATAACAAAAATGTATCAACACTATAAACATAGAAAAATTCTAAATAAAAGGATACTTTTTAAAATATTTTGAAATCTAAATTTACTTAAAAATATATACTAATGAGCAAATATATGCATGTATTAGGGCAAAATACCATTGGAAGGCATTGTTGGGCTCGATCTTCTTGATCGTGGTCAAACTCCAGAGAGAATTGAATTCGAAAATCTAGCAGAAATATCAGATCCTGAGGAAGCTCACAGTCAAATGGACGAAGACGAGTGGACAGACAGAAATTTTGGTGTTTCTACTGCAGAAATGGGGTCCAGTGATGATATTTCTAATATGAGGCAAGTTGTGTATATACACACACATACACTATGAATGCAATAGTCTTTGTATTACATTTACAGTATTTTTATATTAATTATGTTTAATTTTGATACAGTGATTCTGACGAAGATGATGAAATATTTGAAGAAGCTATAGACCAGCCGCTAACAACCGAAGGAACTCTCGAGTTGGCTAAAAATTGGACACTGCGCTATTCTTATCCACATGCTACAATCGGACAATCGGACACTGGCAGCAACGAATACGAAGACTCTAGTGATGAATATACTAGCGAAGGTATCATTCAATCAATTCAGAATCAATGGATAATTTTCTAGTTAGAGTTTTATACACATAATATATATTAATTTTAATATATAATAATTATATACATAATAATACTTATAATAATATATAATAATTAGATATATAAATATATATAATACTATTTATAATTTCTTTATTAGATGATGAAAGCGGCACTGCGACCGAAGATGAGGAGGACATACGTGCTCGAGAACTTCGAAAACAAGAAGTGTGGTTGAAGGTGCCACCCCGCAGTTCTGATACCGATACTGGCTCGGAAACAGAGGTGAAACATTCTGTTCAAGACTCTGTAAATCCCGTTATAGCTCAGGAATCACTCATTTCTTGCGAATCTGAAGTAACAATGCCCTCAGTATCCAACATAAATGGTAGCGAATCATCATCCTGCAGAAATGATCTCGAAAAATCGCTAGAATCTTCCAACGAGATTGCATTAACTTCTAGTGAGTCAGGTATAGGTGCATATAATCAGGACACTATGACTTCCGCCGACAAAAATGGTACATCTCTCAATATTATTCCGCAAACTTCTGAAAGCGTCACCAATTCAACCCCTTTTTTGACATCGGTCCATGCTGATGATGACAGCACCTCGAATCTAGATAGATCTTTAATTTTTTTAACAAATATTCCTGTTAACGATCATTTGAACGAAGAAAACTATAGCTCCGAGTACGAAAGTTTCGTAGACGAAAACATTCAATTAGATTTAAACGGTTCAGAAAACAAAGTCAATGGAAATAGTTCGCAAAATGTTGATACGATAAATTTAAACCCCTTTGATTTAAATACAAATATTAATATTTCCAGCTTAAACGATGTAATTAATAATTCGTTAGATCTTTCTATAAATAATTTGAAAGAAGGCTTTGCACAAAGTAATGAAACCGATTTAAAACAAATTACAAGAACACCTTGCACTGATACAAGAATTCCTTACACGGATCCCAAGGTTTCTGATAACGAAACTATCTTGAATGCTGATTTGTCTTTGAATAGCAGTAAAAACAGCCCATCTTCTTCAACGTCAGAGATCTATCGATCGATTGAGATATTGTGTAACAATTCAGCCAACGACAATCACCTAGATGGCCTAGTGGAGCACTCGAAATCTAATTTACCAGAAGAAGTAGGGACACATAAACATGAAAATATTAATCAAAGTGAAGACAATCTTATTAACAAAAATAATATATTTATCGATGATGATAATAATATTCGCATAAACGATGTTACTGATAAGAAAATTGATGTAATTCCTGCGAGCGAATTACAAAACTTATATCCAGCAGTGACAGTGACGTCATCATCTCCAACACAGGAGACGCAGCTCGAAGAATTATCCTTGGACGCGAAGTTATTGGCTCCTCCGAAATCACATGACATTTCGAATTTTGGTAACAGCGCGTTTGATAAGCTGAAACACGATGTACAACAACGAAAGGAAAAGAACAGAGCCATAAGAAATGGACTTCGACCACTGTCGACCGAAAATGCCCGGTTGAAGATGAGTAAATATTTCACCGAGAATAAAAAATCGGTCTTGAAATGTCGACCGGCGCAAAAACACGAGGAAGCCAACGACTCATCTAAGATAGAAGTGGTAAAGTTGAATATCAAGCCTAGATTATCCGACAAGATAAATACAGAGGAAATGTTGAAGTATTTTAATAAGACCGATTCTTCAAATAGTTGTGACAAATGTCAAGTTTCGGACACAACTGAAGCTATTAAACCAGATGAACATCGAAAACTGGAAATTGAGAATATCAAGGATATAAGCAACGAGACAATTAATACGATCGATCGCCAATTTGATCAAATCGAAGCGCAAAATAGAATTGATAATAAGATAGACCAATTGCCTTTGTCGAAAGAAACTATAGATGATAATTTAGACTTTATGTATGATGAACTTCTTGAATTGCAGCCTCATTTAAATGATATTGATTATGTCGATTCTCCGATATCAAATCATAATGTTCCTAAATTAGATGATGATAATGCAAATATCTTAAATTCAGATATAGACGTAGAAACTATTTTGAAGAATGACATAGATAAAATATATAAGGAAGAAGCTAATATGAATTTAAATAGCAACATGATAGATAATAATATAATTAAAAAAGAGAATGTAATTAAAATTAATTCAGAGAGCAGTATTTTAAATAGTGGAGTAAATGAAGAAACAGATAATAATAACAAAGAGATGGCGGAAAAAATAAATATTTCGAATAATGACATAGATAAAATATATAAGGGAGAAGAAGCTAATATGAATTTAAATAGCAACGTGATAGACAATAATATAATTAAAAAAGAGAATGCAATTAAAATGGATTCAGAGAGCAGTATTTTAAATAGTGGAACAAATGAAGAAGAGACAGATAATAAGAACAAAGAGATGGCGGAAAAAATAAATATTTCGAATAATGACATAAATAAAATATATAAGGAAGAAGAAGCTAATATGAATTTAAATAGCAACATAATAGATAATAATATAATTAAAAAAGATAATGTAATTAAAATGGATTCAGAGAGCAGTATTTTAAATAGTGGAGCAAATGGAGAAGAGACAGATAATAAGAACAAAGAGATGGCGGAAAAAATAAATATTTCGAATAATGACATAAATAAAATATATAAGGAAGAAGAAGCTAATATGAATTTAAATAGCAACATAATAGATAATAATATAATCAAAAAAGATAATGTAATTGAAATGGATTCAGAGAGCAGTATTTTAAATAGTGGAGCAAATGGAGAAGATACAGATAATTATAACAAAGAGATGGCGGAAAAAATAAATATTTCGAATAATGACATAGATAAAAATAAGGAATTAAATAAAAATTTATCATTTGAAAATAATGCACATATTAATGCAACGTTGACCGTTCCTTTATTGTTAAATATTAATGCGGATAAAACTATTAAACGTAATATAATACATAAAAGTGATACTAATTTAAATGAGAATACACCGCGTTTATTTTGTAAAAACATTAAAGCTAATTCAAAATCATTGTCTGAATTAAGAGATACAATAAGTGAGGATGTAAAAAGTACAATTATCGACAAAGTGACAGATACGAAAATCACGAATGATGATTCAATGGAAAAGTGCATCCTAGAAGTTCCTAAGAGGCTGAAACGAAAACATTTGTCTAATGATATTAAGTTTACTCAAATTGAGGAACCTCCGCCTGAAATCCCAGTAAGAAAAAATTCTGCGAAAAGAAATTTGAAGCTTTCATATCGAAATGAGGATATCGAGGATACATTGGAACCGCAAAATCAAACTATACCTGAAATCCCGAGAAGAAGAAAGTCTTTAAAAAGAAATTTAAATAAATCTTTAAATCAAAATCAGGATGTCGAAGATGTATTGAAGCTGCAAAATCTAATTATTAACGATGCTTCAAAAATACGTAGTCAGAATAGAAATAGTAATAATGTTCCTAACATTCAAAGTCAGAATGTTAAGCTTTCGGAAATTGAAGCACAGAATGCAAGAGACGTCGCAACATTACAAAGTCAAGATATTAATAATATCTCGAAAATTCACCACCATCAGGATGTTTCAAATATTCAAAACTACGGTAACAAGAGCATTGAAAACCTTCCAAAATCAAATGTCACAAAATCACAAAACTTAGACAACGAAATTAGAAGAGATAAAACTATGGCAGAAAATCGAAATATTACAGATGTAAAGTTACAAAATCAAAGCCAAAGTGTACCTTCGAGTCCAAAAATTCATCATTCTACACATCGACGTTTGCCAAATAAACCCGAGGAATTTGCAAAATCTATTTCTGATACTAGTCACTCGAAGAAAGACAAATGCATAATTTCGTGATACTAATAAAATGACACATTTAAGAATTTTATGATATAATGTTTGACAAAAAAAAGTTTAACTTGAATTATATTTAGTTTGATGTTTTAATTATTTCTCAGTTATCGAAGTTGATAGTATAATTTTCTATAGTTTTTTTATATATAAAAAAAAAACTTATGAAAAAATTATTAAAGTTTAGAAATACATTTTTAAAAAGTCATTAAATACATAGTTTAACAATTGGCAAATTATTAAACGACTGATAATATAGTTTTTCAATTAAACTTCAAAAAATATATAGCAAATTCTGATTTCTGTGTGATTCATGTAAAAACATGAGAACCTTAATTGAAAGCTTAACTGTGTTAAAATATTTTTTTTAATATTAACAATTAAAAAGTTGATAAATATGCACAAAAGAGATTACATCTCTTACCACGATTATATATATTGAAAACAATCTTTGTTATGTGTAACTGCATACTTATTTTTAAAATAACTATATGTTTTTTTACAGTGATTAGTCAGATGTAAGCTTTTACGTATATTTACCAAAAAGTTTAATATTAACAATGAAAAATATAAATATAAACAAATTTTTGATAACTAAAAATTGGCTTCAAATTGAGCAAAGAATTTCTTTGTATACTAATTTAATACTATAATACTATATGTGTTTTATATAAATGGATTATTAAATATTGATGATTCTATACTCTGCTTGAATGAAGTTATCGATGAAGCTATAGTTATCTAACTTTTTTTGGGTGCTTTCTAGTTATACACTGTGTGACACAGTTTTACACAGTGTTGACTTATAACTGAAACAGTATTTGAGCTTTTTTACTTTATTTGTAATAATTTGAAATCATAGAAGATACTTTTGCTATAAAAAATGGGCCAAATGTAAAAATGTTAATATTCATGAAATGACACAAAATGACATAGTCGAACACAGCATTTTAGTTGTATAAGATTGTGTTGAGCACTGGAAAGTACCTCTTTTCAGATCTGCAGTTCTAAAATCTGTAGATTTATGAATCTATACAGATTTTGATTTTTACATTAACTTATAAAATTGGAAATCTACAATTATATTTTACAATGCTATGGATATTTATATGTTTCTAATATATATTGTAATTTTGCTTTTAAATTGTGATTTTAAACTTGAGAAAACTGTGTGGAGATGTATTAATAAAGTAGACAAAAAAAACAAAAAACATATGTGTAAAATTTTGGCTGGTGATTGATTCTTTAATTCTCAAAGGGGATAATTTTTAATCAACTGAATAAGGAACACTAAAGAAAAGGTAATAATTTTCTTGTGTATGAATGGAGTGTTATTGAACTAATTTATCATTAACAATAACTCAAATTATTAATTGTTTGCGTTTGGATTTAGTGCTCGTGTTAAAAATAGCAGTTTACTCACCAATTTTGTTGACTAATTTGTTGAAAAATTACCACCAGCCGACTACTTTATTAAATATCTCATCACATTCTCATTTTAATTGCAAAACTTAGATTTATTATATAAATTTGATATACTAGACATATGCGCAGTTAATGTACAGGTACATGCATACAATATCAATTGGTATCATAAAATGCATTTTTTTTAACAATGAGAATAAGAAATCTTTTGACAAACTTTTTCCTTTTAAAGATTTTAATACAATCGTGATATGCTAATGTTTTAAATTGCAATATTAAGACGTTAATATAATTTAGATAATATAATTAAAATAATAAATAAAATATAAAGTAATTAAAATAGAAAATATAATTTAAATTTAATTTAAAAACACATAACATGGTAATATAATGTGATAAATTTTAGTTTTAATTTTCTCTTATAAATTAATTCATTTCTTTTAATTTTTTTGATATGTGTGAATCTTTAAAATCACTCATCATAATGCGCGGTTATTTTTACCTAATAAAATGTAAGTTTAAACTAACAACACTTACGAAAAAAAAGAATTCTGTGATATTATATAATTAAACCAATTAGTCATAATATAATTGATTTAGCATTGATTAAGGCAACATTTACAGAAGTAACAATTTTTACATTTACATTGCATTTTTAAACACTTTGTTAATTTACATACAATAATACAATACACACTATAAGCTGAAAATTAGCATATTTGTGGCTCCACATTTTCTTCTTCTTCACACTAATTTACTAAAATTTAACTAATGCCTGACTCTGTACATCCATTTATATTTATATGATATTTATTCAGCATAAATTTGTTTGAAATAGGTTGCATCGTCGGAGGAGGAATCGACCGAAGAGAGCGCAGAAAACTCTGCGACGGAGATCTCGACCGATTCGGAATTCGAGCACGACGAGGCGACTCCGACGCAGCACGAGATTCCGGAGATCACCATCAACGACTCGTACGTCCGGAAAACGAGAGGCACTTACGTTGAGCCGAAGAAGGTACAAATAAAGAGCAAGATTATCTCCTCGATCAACAGCAACCTGAAGCAGGATAAGAAGCAGGAAGAAAACATCATCGAGCAGCTGACAAAGGACAACGATAAGTACCAGCCGAAGGTCGAGGTGAACTGTAACACGTCGGCCAACGTCGACACGAATACCCGAACACCATTGCTGAATCCTCGAAAGGGCGATTATCTTCTTAATCGCACTCATTCTACTGGAGGAATTGCCTCGAGGCTCTCTTTGGAATTGAAGAAACGTTATCTGCTGGGCGGATCAGCCTTGAGCGGCTCCGTCGTCAAGTCAGGATCGACGTCGAACGTGGACACAAAGCTGAGAAACTTCACCGACGCGATTTCTCAGCACCAGAAGCTGCTAAACCCAGCGCCAGAACCTAGCCCCACCATGCAGGCGTTTCTTCAAGGTTCAACTTTATTATTTTATTACATATTAAATGAAGAAAAAAGTTTATAAGTCAAATCTCATAATCAAAAATTATCAATTAATTATTTCTATCTTTGCAATTATACATAATTTTTTTAGGTACTAGTAAGCTGCGAACCAACAATGCGCCACTTTCACCGTTGTCGCCTACAATTTTATTTTCCCGACAAATTTCAACCGATCGCTGCCGAAATTTATCAAACGACATCGCGTACAAGCCGACGAGCACTCCGACAGAAATGTCCAAGGCACAGCACTTACCTGACTTGGTGAAGGAATCTAATATCTTGAAATCAAAGACAGCACCTGTTATCTGTAACGAGTCCTTGACAAAAGACAGAGAGTTAATCGACAAGCCAGGCTTTCATCAAACTAACAATTTGACAAAGGATTCTACGGAGGATACAAAAAGCTCGCAGACCACGGAGAAGATTCTTCTGAGCAACGTGGAAGAAGCTAACAACGGTTTCCGACCGCGTAGTCCCCTTCACGAGACATCCATTGTCGTCCCACAAGTGGACTGGAACCAGAAGAAGAACGAGAACAAAGACGCCAGTTCGGACGACTCCGAGATAGACAGCGACTCGTTGTCCTCTTCCGATTCTAACGAAGCTGTTGAGAACGATCAGTTTGCCCCTATAAATCTTTCGCCGCCCAGATTACAGATTCATAGCACCGACGGTGATCTTCTGCTGGACGAGGAAGCTGATCGATACAAGCATTACGATCCTGACGACGGCCAGACTTTCGAGCCGGACTCCATCGAGGTGTCCTTTCTTCAAGATCGTCGATTGAATCCGTCGAGTATGGATTCATCGATAGACAACGCTTGCACTATCGAAACGTTGAACAATAATATGGAACAATTGGGCTTGCGGGACGACAATAATAAGAAAGACTGCAGCAGTTCTTCCGAGGCCTCGATGTCCAACAAGCAAGATGACTCCGAAGAGAACGACATCACCACCGCGGCGTTCACTGAGACAGAATTCTCCGAATGGGCTCGCGACGGGGAGGCTTTGGTCTCCGACGACCTCCGCGACGTGGAGCTCGACATCAATCCTAATTTCATCACTGTGCGAAGAAATAATCTCAGGTTGACTTCCACGCCTGTCAGAATCGCCAAGGAGGAAGACACGGAGCTTGAATATTCCAGGCTCGATCAGCTGATCGATCAGTGCTCGTATCCGAACAGCACGTCCAACTTATTGGTCAACGGCGAGGACATTAATTACATGGATACGGACAATGAGTCTCTGTTGGATGACAGTCTCCAGGACGCTTCCAACATCGCGATGCTGAGAAACCGAGGTTATATCGAGTTCGTGAATGTCAAGACGGCCCTTTCTAATGTCCCTATTACTAATAAGACGTCTGATGCGCCTATAGCGAGATTGGATCTGGAAAACGATTCCTACAGCGAAGAGGAGGAGGGTTACAAGGATGCCAATGTGATCGAAATTGATCCTGTTACCATGGAGGATGTGATGGGCAAATTAAACGAGCCGGTGAACAAATTGAAGACGGAAGTCGAGCGAGACGAAGAGAAGTTGAACGAGGAAGACGCCAGGCAGGAACCTCTGGTTGAAGCTATAAACAGGGAAGTTATGTTTCAATCGATGGAGGAGGATAGTTTATTGATGATGGAGCCAGCGGAAGACACGACGACCAGTGAAGTAGTCACGATACTCGCCAGCCCGGTGAACCCTCAGGTATCTATAGTTCCTCTACAGGTAACGGAGAAGCGTGAAGAAGAGTTTCCGGCTGGCAAAGCGGATTCCAGCAACCCAGATTACCTGGAATACGTGAAGAGGCTGCAGTTCAGAATCGCGGAGTTCAGCAACGCGAAAGATTCCATTGACGTGAGGAAATCAAAGAGCAGAAAGAACTCGAAGAGCATCGCGCAGGCTTGCAGCGCAGAGATGATCGCGGAAGAAATCAAGTGCCAGGAGGCAACGGCCGCGAATAACAGCAGTATTAATTCACCGGCGACCTCAAGGAAGCTCGAGGAGATCACCAGGGAGCGGTCGAAGCAGAAGAATCTTATTCAGGACCTCTTGATGGACAAGCTCGAGGCTCACAAACAAAAGTCCGCCGAGAAGAAGGCACGACGAGCCGCCAGAGCCTCGTCCTTCACCACGATGTTGTCGCCGGTGAAACTGGAAACATCCGTTGCTTCTACTGGTAGCAAGTTCATCCCTGCCTCTATAACATCGCTAACAAACAGTCCGAGTGACTCGACTTCCAACGGGACGAATAAATCGCTGGATTCTCCAGCGTCTTCGCGTCCGCAGGAGCAACGTGATCAAGTAGAAGCCAAAGAAAAAATTCCAAAGAAGGCCGATCAGAGCCAGTCGCAGACGACGGTGAAAAGACCGACTAGTCTGGAGGATATCTTCAAGACGCCGATCGCGCCGCCAAGATTTAAGAACGAAGAAGCGAGGAGGACCACCGAGAAGGCTAGGCAGGACGCCAGAGAGCGAGCTAGATTAAAGAGCGACGAGGATCTAGGTTTAAGTCCCGAAGACAGGATCAAAGAGTTGAGAAGGAAGATGTGTCGAAGACATCTTTCGATGGATGACGCGAAGAAGAGTGATACTTCAGAAACTGAAAGGGCCAGCTCCAGCACGACAGATAATTCCGAGTTGAAATTACAAACCAGTAAGAGCACTGACAATATGAAGAATATGACGAAGAAAATAAATTTTCAGAAATTACCGGCAGCTAGCGCGAAATCCATGGACGAATTGTTGAATACCGCAGGTTTATCGCTTTCGGATAACAATAGTGTAATTAAGAGAGATAAGAAGAAGCCAAAAGACTCGGAGAGAAGAAAAAGTATCATACAAGCGGTGTCTGATTTTTTCTTCAAGAAGGATACCAGTCCATCGCCCCAGAAAGACAAGCTCTCAATGTTTCGAATGACTTCGAAATCAAAAGAAAAAGTAAATAATATTTTGTAAATTTTAATTCATAGAGATTCTCATGAATTGTTTAATTTTTTTTATTTAATATTAATTATTAATATGTTGCATACGTACATTTATTATTTGGTTCTCGAATTCGTTTATGATTTTTTTTAACAAAGCAAATCTTTAATAATTATGGATATAGCAAATATTATGATTTTCAATTTTTATAATACATTATTGAATTCTTCTCTTAAGTTTTTTTGTTTGGAAATAGCTTTACTATATTAAAATATTTTGATTGTGACATAAAATAATTATTTATAATTTTATTAATTATTAATAAATAATAATAATAATTAATAATAATAATTTTATATAATTATATTTATATATTTATATATTATTTAAAATTTTAACCTTTCATTTTGTAATTACCATGTTAAAAATGTTTACAGTTTGACAAAGATGTCTCGTCAAAATCTGATGACCTAAAAGCTTTAAGACCTAAAAGTATGTGCGAAGACATGCTTGTACGAAGTTTTCTTACTGAAAATTCACCACCTGTGCCACCACCACCACTTAATTACTCTACATCTACCACTCAAGTATCAGGTACGAATTATATAAATATTCTTTCTTTGATAACTTTATGAACATGTTATACAATTGTTTAACGTAGCAAAGTGTGATGCATAGATCATTATTTTTTCATAAAAATAGATATGCATATGAATTATTTCATTCCATTATTTCATCAAAAGCCGAAGAAAATATTATATAATATAGTTAAATACCAATTTTAGAAATTGCAGATAATAGTTTGTCAGATGACGACACAAAAACAGCTGCTTTGTCAACATCATGTACGCAAAAAGTTACCGCAACTGAAGAATCATGCAGTAGCGTTCCACGTAAATCAAAGTCTGCTAAAAAAGTAGCTAGACAAGCCCAGTTAAAGAGGTAAATAAATATACTTATATAATATAAAAACAAAAAGAATAACATGCACAATTTAAATAAATTAATTTAATTAAATTTTAATAAAATGAAAATTTTTAGGAGAACTATTAAAACAAATTTTACAAAAAATGAATAATGATACAACAATCATAGTCATTTTACTTATATATGACTTATGTTTTGAAATCATTTTGGCGAGTCTATGCCAAGTCTATTTTTTGTTAATAAAAATGTTAAAATAAATCGTTTTTTTGTGTTTCATAATTTTATAATTTTTATGTGAAATCCTGTACAAGATAATCCTCCTCGACAAATGGACGAGTTAAAATTCATCTCATTCTCGTGCGCTTGATATACACATGTTAGAAAAATAGCTTTAATTTGAAAGCGTTGTTAATTTAGATGTATTTTAAAGATTGCGTATGGCTCAAGAAATACAAAGAAAATTAGAGGAAACCGAAGTGAAACAGAAGGAATTGGAAAACCGGGGTGTGAGTGTCGAAAAAGCGCTACGTGGTGAAGGAGGTAATAAATCTTCTATGTACATCCTGATTCTCTTGAAATTTTTATTGTAGATATATTTGATATATACATGTGTAGATGAATCAGTAGATGTTTATGTGTACTCGAGTAGAAATAGAATTAATATTTAATCTTTGCTCATTTAAGAATGTAATGTAATTGTAAACTGTAATTTTTCCAATTTTTATTTCGTTTGATATACATAGATATTGTTTCTTATACATTTTTTATTTTTTAATATAAAATAATTATAATTTATTTCTATATAATATCTATATATTTTATATTACAAATTTTTATATTTATATATTTGTAATATAAGAAATAAAATATTATATATAGAAATAAATTATATATATTTTTATAGAGGATGAGTAGCTAGAAATTGCCTAGATAAATAATAGTGATTACAACATATACAATAAAAATGTGTATATATAATAATATAATATATGCAATAATATTGTTTGATGTATTAATTTATATAATAATTCAACGAATCTAAGAGAAGAATCAAGTAAAGAATATATTGCGTAATTGATATTATGCATGAAATAAATATGTATATTGTATGTAGAAAAGAGGAAAAAGAATGCAATCTGAGAAATGATACAATTTTATTTAGATTGTTCCAATCATGAAGAAGCCGATTTACTTAGGGAATGGTTTGATCTTATGAAGGAACGCACAGAGCTGCGTAGATATGAAAAAGAGCTTTTAGTACGTGCACAAGAAGTTCAATTAGAAGATCGCCATGAACGATTGCAACAAGAATTGCGTGAACGCTTGGCTAATGACGGTAAGTATTTTTCCTTCCAATATATTAATCTATAAGATAATTACAATTAATTGAATATACATTAAATGTTCTGTAAAAGAGATGCATATGAAATTTTGGTAATGATATAAATTATCTAAACGAAATAAACTGAGCTTTTTATATGTCAATATAAATTTCCAATGTATTAGAAAATAATAATTCAATATTAATTTAATAATAAATTTAATTTGAGATTTATTTTTAAGATATTTAACAGTTAAAGATTCGAAATTAGTGCGGTCAATAATATAATTTGTCAATAGTTTTTGTAAAGAAAAATTTAATATAATTTATTTTTTTTTTTAAATTTCAGTATTAAATATAAAGAATAAAAAAATTATAAAATTACACTCTGTATATGAGCTCGTATATTCTAAAAAAATTATACACGTAAACACACTAAAAGAGATAAAATAATTACATGATAAAGACTAAATGTTACTTTATAGATGATAAGAAGACTAGTGATGATGTTAAAAAGGAAGGAGAAATCTTGACGGAAATGTTGGAAATAGTAGCAAGGAGAGATTCCTTAATTGCTGTACTAGAAGAAGAACGACAAAGGTGGTGTAAATTATCAACATATTTAGCATGCATTATTTTGATATATATAAATGCATGTTATATCTATATTTTTGAAATATCTTCGCATACTTTGCAATATTCGTCTTGTATTTTTACATTGTTAACTATTTTATTTATGTTTATTTTCTTATTTCTATACAACAGATAATTTATCAATTGTAATAAAGAGTTAGTATGTTTAAATTTTAAAACATTTAATATTTCAAGTTATTTACTGATTATGAATAATTGTGGTAGTTTTCCCTAAAATATAACGTTATCTTTTCTAAAAAAATCTATTGTATGTTACATAAATTGATAAGTGTTTTTTATATAATTATTTTATTTTGTTTCTTTTATTTACTTGTTTCACTGTTATTTTTTATAAATTTTTATTTTTGTTATTAGTAGATAGCATGTTGCATGCGGCTTGGTAATAAATTTTTTTTAATGCACAAAAAGAAAATGTTTTTTTACATATCCTGATGATTTGAAAATTAATTTTTAATCATGTTAAATAGCTGTGACAAATCATTTGCTATAACAAGTATATATTATTAACCATGTTAATTATTAAATATATATTATTAACTAAAATTATAAGAATACATATAATGTTAAATTATTATTTTGTATATTATTTTGAATGTAAATAAGATCTTAGATAATATATTATAATAAATATTTCATTATATAAATTATAGCTTTAGTAGATTAATAAATCAATAATAATGAATCTAAATTGTTCTATAAATTCAAACTTTTTTGTTTGACGATAATTAAATTGAATATCAATATGTTTTGGAAAATAATAGTGACATATTTGCATAAATCTTTTACTCAATATTTTATATGCACACACAACTTTACCAAATAAAATTAATTAATACAACTATGTTATATATATAAATAGAATATATGTGTATATATTTTTAGGTACCAGAGTGAAGACCGCGACCTCGAAGCTCAAATGCTAGCTAAAGGCCTGAGATTAACGCCAATAAAGAAATGTGGTACTAAATATTCAGTTTAAAATATGAGAATTACACTGCTGTATATATATATTTCTGCTACAATTTTTTTATTGTAACACTAGAGAAAAGTATAAATATGTATACGATTGTAAATAATTTAAGCTATTATCATATGCAACATGGAATTTGAAGATAGAAGAATCATGTATGCCTAGAACTCTTCTGCCTGTTTTCAATATATTCAATATATATGTAAAAAATAAACATATCTTTTTTACACAAATATAACTGTTTATTTTTAACGCAAGAATAAATGAAGTATTTATTTCATTTCATGTATTTATTTCGATATACAATTTAATGAGTAAAATGTATTTTTGTGTAAAAAAATATGTAGTATTATAAATCATAATCTAAAGTAAGCATAAAATTGTTGTGAAAAATGCGATATTGGACATAAATAAGATTTGGTTTTAAATTTCTTTACAAAATTTAAAATCAATTTTATTTTTTCTCTTTTTGTTATCTATATTTTGCCATCAAAAAATTGTAAATAAGTTCAACAATCATTTTTTAGAATAATTGAAAGTTTGTTTTAAATATAAATCTATGTAATATAATTTATAGATTCTATAATTAATTAAGTATTTAATTCATTTGGTTTAGAAAATTTTGATCATCAGAGAAAGAAATTTTTGCTTCTTTTTTATCTGAATATTATATTAATAAAACTTAAAAAACTTTGAATAAAAAAAGATAATGAAAATAGGACTTTTAAGTGTATAATGTTTTAATAAAAAATTTGTGATAAAAATATTAATTATATTTTATTAAATATACAAATGTTAATATATGATTAAATATGTAAATTATAATATATTAATTATAAAAATATTATTTAATATAAAGAATAGTGATTTTATAAGCATCGAAACGTCAAATAGACTGCATCTTCAATTTTGCACATTTCAAATTTCCCGCGCTCCGCTAATACTCTATTCTGATTGGCGGAGGAGAGCGTCTCTGCCCACCCTAAACATCGAATGAAAACGATACTACGCGCGCTTCACAGCATCGCGTCAGTCGCATTTAGTCGATCGTGTAGTTACGTTGCCTGACTTATTACGTTCCCACTTTGCTCACCTCCGTACAAAAAGAGAAGAAACAAAAGGAATTGCGCGCGCGCTTACGACGTTTGTTTCCTGCGGATCGAAATAAGTGGTAATTTACGGACTGGAAAATAAACATTGGGAACGTAAATATTAGTGAAACGTGAGACCGCAAGATGAGTACTCCGGTGAAGAAAGTGCCCATTCATCTGCAGGTGAGTACATTATATTGAACACCTGCGAATATTTCGCAGTGGTCTCCCTCGGTTTTTCGAAGAAAAAAATGTCATTTTTTGTTATACATGTCGCGCGAGATATGGTGGATGAACGAAGAAAAAATGAGGTGGTGATAAATTGTGATAAATCCACTTCCATTACTGTTATTTGTCGTACGATAAAATGAGTTATTTCATTCATCGTATTTGTATTTTATTTTGTTAATATCACACGTTTATTTGCGATGAATGAATTATTGTCAACAACGTGATAAATTGGAGCATCTTTTATTCAAGATGTACGCATTATCGCATTTAATATATGTGCGAGCAGCATTTTATTGATTTTTGAATACATTTCTCACTTCCTTTTTTATGCATTTTTTGCTCTCCTTTTTTTCTTGTAAACCTATTATTTTCAGTTATAACATTTATTTTTATTTTTATATTTATTTTAATTTTATACATCATTTTAATTTTATATATTCATATTTTAATTTTATAAATAATATATATAAAATTAAATAGAGTTTTATTGTACAAAATATTCTATGATGTTATTATCATTAAAAATAAAAATGTTAATTATAACTGATATTAGTCAGTTTTTACAAGAAAAATATATGTAGATATATATAATGCCTTTTTTACACGTTTATGAAATTTTCAATAACATATATATTATGCATATATTTTATACGTATTTACTATATTGTGTAGCGTAAAAGTCTTGTGAGTTTTCCCTTTTTTGCAGCAGGGAGAAAAGCTTCGTAAAATTATACGCTATTTTCACCTCTTATTTGCTTTGAAATCTCATTTCCGTTCTTAAGTAAGGTTTCGTTTCTCTTTCATGATCAAGTGAAAATCGTTAACATCATACATTAGATTTTACACGTTTTTCTTTTATGAACAATATTTGATACAAGTTTTTAAATTGTATGTTGCAATTGTGTGCACATCAAAATTTTGTATTATCAAAAATCATTTTCAAAAGGAAAAGGAGATTTTCGAATAGCATTCAGATTAAACATATACAGTTGGAAAATCATTGATTCATCAAAAAACTTGCATTGATCTTTAATATTTATTGTTATAGCTATTCAGTTAGCTTAATTTTTATTTGATTTTTTCAAATGAATTAAAAGCCATTTCTTAATTTCATATTATTTCTTAATTTTAAAGCATATATATATATATATATATATAATGCTTTAAAATATATATATATATACACACATGCTTTCTATTATATGTACAAGGAATTATTTTAAAATCATTACCTATAGAACTAATGATTTTATATTTACAAAATTGAATTAGTCAAAATCTTTATCTTTCATACAATAGTAAGTTACATTATATTTTCTAGAATTATTTGCTTTATTACCTTTGACATTCTATTAATAAATACTAAGATAACTTTATCAATTTTTATCTATATTTGCAATCGTTGGAGATACAAAACTACACAGAAAATTAATACGAAAAAGAAGATTTAATTAAATACGTACACAAGTTTTCTGTTAGTTAACATTAAAACAATTAATTTTTAGCAATTGTAATTGTAAAATAGTCGCTATAAATTAATCGATAATTGATATTTTGACAAACATAATTTAATCGACGTGATTCTGATTATGCTAATATTTTTGAGATTTTAAGGAGGAAAAAATGATGTAATTATGAATTTTAATTAAAGTCATTAGTCGAAGTCATTTAAAAAGGTCAATCTTTTAATTTTTGTATGAAATATTTTATTACATAGTTTCAGCAATATTCGATATTAATTAAAATAAAACATTCTGTGTACGTTTTATTAGATAAATGCGAGGAAATGTGTGTATATTGAAATTGACTTTTGATAATACTAGCATGATTTATTCATGACGTGCATATTAAACGGTTTTTAATCAACAGAAAGATAATTCTTATAACGCTTGACTTGAGATAAATTTGTGATGACATACGAGTTAAGATACACTATTTCATAATTTGCGTAAAAATAAGTTGTTATTTAATAACAACTTTAATGAATAAAGATGTAAAACTATATATTTTTTGAAATAAATTCAATAAAAATTATTATTGTTTAGATACTTAAATAATTATTGAATTAACTTAAATAAATAAATAAAAATATTAAATAAAAAATATTTTGAGGAATCTTCATACATTCTTTATATCATTATTGTAGAATTAGTATCAATGCAAACTTCATAAATATTTTATGAAGCGCATGAAATTATTAATTACGTTCAGTCAATTAAGACACTGAAGAGCTTTGATTAATATTCACTAGTTCTAAAAAAATTGATATTTGAATATTAATTGTTATACATTAATAACGTTACATCAAATTGTAAAATTGCAGTTAAAAGTTAAAAATAAAAGTATTAAAAATAAAAAATTTCGAGCAATGTTACTTTTATACATTGTATTTTATTCGAACAACTACTTATTATAATTTTCCCTCGCCAAATTTTAAGTGCTCAATTTTTAAACATAGAAATGAAAACCGATCCAAATTTTAACTTATTTTATATTAATTTTATATTTTATATATTAATTTTATATTAGTTCTACCTGTTAATGATGCTAAGGAATGATGGACTCGATGTTGCGTTTAATTAGCACGTTAAATTAGCACTATTTAACGCTAATTGAAAGCAAAAAACTCCCATCCTCTTTCTCACCGATTCTGCGAACGGTATATACGAATAACCACTATATATTATATTAATTTTCAAGCACTAACTGTACTTAATATAATGTATCTATTTATAATAATCATATAAGAGATGTATATCAGATTTTCAATATATGCTCTTTTTTTAACTTACAATTAAAAATATTAAAATTAAAATTATATACAATTACGAAAGCTTCTAATCTATCGTACAATAATGATTTTTTTCTTTATAATTATTGAAATTATTTATCAGAAATCTGCGTGTATACCTCGATATTTTTTTTATTCTGCAACAAGATTTTTAATGCAGATCATGTATGACACAAATTGAACAGAAAAATAATTTTGATAAATCTAAATAGATTACTGTTGGAAAATGGAAGGTTCAAAAAATTTTTCCAAAAAATCCTTAAATTAAAGGAAATACGCAGAGAGAATTTTCTCTTAAAATTTACTCTGAAAATCATAGTAATCACAATATGGGACAATATGATATTGGAAGAATTTTATGAGTTTCACTGATATATACTAATATTTCAGAGATTCACTAATATTTACTACAACAAAAAATATTAATATCTTATTATTTAATTTTACTACGTGAGTAAAATTAATCGGACATATTTTATATTGTGATAACTTATATTGTGATACAGATATTAATATTTGATGTCGTGGTAAATATTAATCAGAGAAACTCATAAAATCCTTTCAATAGCATATATTATTATTCCACGACTACCACTTTTAGGATTTTCAGGATAAATTCTAAGAGAAAATTCTCTCTGTGCATAAAATTACGTACGAAAAATGTGTATGAAGAAAGTAAAAATTCTCGACGTTTTAAAAATATGTTATATCACTCTCTAAATTTCTTGAAGTGAAAACTGAACAATCTCATTCCAAAAGGGTGGAGATTCTCACTCTTTTGGAGTAAAATTTTACTCTTTTGGAATGAGATTGTTCAGTTTTCACAAGAGTGAGATTCTCACTCTTTTGAAGTAAAATTTCACTCTTTTGGAATGAGATTGTTCAGTTTTCACTCCAAGAAATTTAGAAAGTGATATAAGATATTTTTAAATAATCTCATTCCAAAAGAGTAGAATTTTACTCCAAAAGAGTAAGATTCTCATTTTTTGGAGTAAAATTCCACTCTTGAGATTGTTCAGTTTTCAAAAGAAATTTAGAGAACAGATTATAATAATATTAACAGTGTGTAAAACGGGAAATGGAACATTGGGGGAAATCGTACGGCCCTGCGATGCAGGCAGAAATAAGTTGAGAACGTGAAGCCGGCGCTGCGCGCGAATCAATAGTTCGTCGACTCGCCTCGTCGACCTAATGTCGGGAAAGCTCTGCGACATTTTCTCCTGTGTATATATAAATTTTTGTGCGTGTCACTACGCAAATAGAAACGATTCTATGCCATTTCGATTTATTATTCAACCACTAAATCGTCTCGAATGACAGTGAGGTCTTTTTCCCCGAGAGAAAAAATACATTTCTCTTTGTACTCTCACGAACATGAGCATTTTCCTAACGTAATGAAAATGTCGTTAACATAGAAAGAAACCGCGCCTTCTTGAGCTTTGATCAGTCGACTCTTTTTTTATTTTAACAATGGTCGTGAATGAGAAGAGCGAACAAAGATGCATTTGTCGACGACGCACTGAAAACCTAGTATGATATCTGCAAAAGCATGTAATATGGGAAATTTGTAATTATCTGGGAACTGATCTGATTTTACAATATTTCTCACGTTACATTAGACGCTATTTTATTCAAAAACTATGTTATTTTTATGAATAATTATATAAAACCTGTGTTATTTATATTAGTACAGCTAGATAGCTGATATGACAACATATTTTTGTCATTTTAATGATTAAAATGGCAATTATCAATAATTAATAAGTTAATAATTTGTTAATTTATTGTATTATTAAGAAAAGTAAATTACACATTTTTTATTTAATTATTTAATTTCTTCAATATACTATTTGTTTCTTATTTAATTGTACAACAATTTATAGCAGATTTGTTTAGTATAATAAATTCCAGGCGGATGTTTTTTCACGTAATTTAGTCTATAACTTACATTCACATATCTTTTATTTAGCATTCAATATTATTTGATTCTTGAACGTAATATTATGTGTTATTTTTATATGGATTTAATGACATATTATGACTCATAAATTAATCTTGATCACTGAACTCTATCCTAACTGGAATGAGTGCAAATGGTGGTTAAGCTTAATTATTACCAGTTAGACCGAATAAAAAAAAGATAAATATAGTGTTCTCATTCCTTATTATTTCGTCGAATTTCTCACATATTTTTTATTAATACTTTGCTATTTAAAAATAAATCAGTGCTCATATAATATTTAAAAAGAAAATTAGATTTTCCCTTATATATTCAAAGTATTCCAGGGTCGTCGCATCATTTGCTAATTATAAATTATTGAGATCATTTAGAAATGATTTTTTCTCAGCGAAAATCGGAGGAGATCATCACTTTTTGCAAGTCTCCAATTTTTGCTATATATCTTTGTAACTAAACATTAAACTAAAATTCTTATTAAAATAAATTTCATTTAAAATTAATTAAAAATGTAATAAATATCTTTAAAGTTTACAGCTACTTTGGAAAAAATTTTTCTTTCTTCAATCACTTATAACTTCAAAATTATAGATGTCTCGACATCATGTCTTTGCTTAGGAAAAACTATCTCTATAAATGATGTAGCCGCAAAATTGAAAAGTTGACACATATGACTTTAAAGCATGTCGGAGTATTATTATTCGCGGCAATTTTCGTCAGCTATTTATTTCGCTCTGCTTGCTCTTCCATCATCTATCTTCAAGCTTTATTTACTTATTATCAATCATAATAATTTGACACAAAACTTTCTTTCTTTCTTTTTTTTTCTCTCACATCGAGGTATTAATTTTGTCTCGGCCACCTAAATTGGCTGCTAAAACCGTTAATCGAAACACGTGTTTTTCATCATTTATAAAATGCAAATGACCGCGATAGAAAAAGCCAGATGTGACTTATATGTATGCCGCTTCCGGTGCACACCGGAATGTATAAATGTAAAGTAGATTAGATATATACGCGGATTATTCGCGACCCCGTTTGCGAAGTTCGCGGGGGCAAATTAAAGGCGAGCACCTATATAAGAATATTAGATAAATTTCTGTTCTTTGAATATGTCATTAATTATTCAATTAAAAAATAACCGCAGTACACTAAAAAATGTATTGAACTCGAATAAATATTTATTTCAATACCTACTTATAAATCATTTATTTGAAACTAATAATAATATTGATTTGATGTGAACAATATTTCTTTGATACAAGAAAATCCTTTTCAAGAGAGAAAAATATTTATTCGCTTCAAACAAATATTTACCAGGCAGTATTGAAATACATATTTATTATTACCTATTTATACATATTTATTAATTTAATTTAATTTTTTTTCAATGTATATATTAAAATGTCTTGCTGTCTGGGAATGTATATATTAAAATGTCGGTGATCTCAAATAATATTTTGAGTAAGATCGACTCGAGATCTATTTGTTGTACGCTTCGCGAAGAAACGCGATCGTGGGATATGGATCATGGACGCCTTGATCGTGACGATAATGTTATTTCAAAGAGACTTCTTGTAGCTTTCATGCGCGGTTGCAAACTAGATGCTTACACGTCCACATACGGCATCTTTCATTAAGAAACGAGACGCAATTACATTGAGATTTGTTATGCAATGATTGTTCAGCAAGTATAACTACTGGTATATTTTTCAAACACTAATCAATTTGCATGCAAACATATTTGCATATATTATGTGCACTGGGAAAAAATAAAAATTACATGGCGTAATGCAATTTAAATTTAAGAAAAGCCTTTTCTCTAGAAGAGTAAAAATAAGATGTCATTTTAAAAAAATATATAATTTTCGTAGAATATATTTAAATATTAATGTTTAAATATATTCTAGGTTTTTCTTAAATTTAAATTGCAATAAAGAAAAGGCTTTTCTTCCATTTAAATTGGAATATTATATATTTAAATATATTCTATTATACGAAAATTATATTTTAAAAAAAATGCATCTTATTTTTACTCTTCTAGAGAAAAGGCTTTTCTTAAATTTAAATTGCATTACACCATATAGTTTTTATTTAAATATTATAATATTTAATATACTTAAAATATTTAATATATTTAAATATTATATTATACGCGCATATCAATATCATATAATTCATTTAAATCATATTTAAAATAAATATATAATGAATTTTGTGTTTTTAGGAATAAAATAATATTTGTTATAGGCATATAAATCTTTATTTTATAATTTTTTAAATTATATACACACACACATAAATTAATTATAATTAATAATATAAATTATATATTAATTATATATAATTATATTATGATTTGTGCAATCTAGAGCCTCGTTTTACATCTGAAAAATCAATATGAAACTATTTTTCATTAAATTAAATAATACATAGATAAATTACAGCTGCATTTTCTGCATGTGAAAATGACAGCTGTCATCTTTTTCTCTCTAATCATAGGCAATGTATATTGCATCTAAATTTAACTACAAGGTAACATAGTTTAACATAGTTTTGCTGGTCATACATTCTCGTGCCTTGCACCGAAAATCTAAAAGTGGAATCTGATTCTCATATATATATTTCAAGACCTTCGTTAAAGAAAGAGACAGAGAAATAGATGGATATAGATAGATAGAGAAATAGAAAGAAAATAACACGTTTTGACACGCCAAAGTACCGCGCTTATGCGATCTGATCGTGGAAAGATATTTGCGATAAGCGATTTCGCGTTAGTTCATACTGGCGGATTCGAGATGTATAGACAGGAAGTGTCGTTATTGATTTTAACCAGGGCCGTTCGTCTGGCTCGACGCAACCCGCATTTTGTGCGTCGTATGTCATATTAAATGTATACTTGTGTTCTCAGAGCAAATGCTGTCTAAAAATCATAATTCTGTCTATTAGGCCCTGCGCACAATAGAGGAATAAATATTAAATATTACAGAATTTTCTCTCAGAATTTGCCCTGAAAATTATGGTAATCGTGGGACAATATATGATACAGAAGAATTTTATAAAAATTTCTCTGATTAAAAATATTTATCACAAAAAATATTAATATGTACATAGTACAATTAATCGAAAATATTTTATATTATTGTGTATATATTAATAGTTTTTATTGTGATAAATATTTTAATCTGAGAAATTTTTATAAAATTCTTCCAATATATTGTCCCACAATTCATCAGGATTGTCAGAATAAATTCTCTCTGTGTAGGAATAGGAATTTTATTTTAAAATAATAAAATAAAAAAAACTCTGAGATATACAAATAGAAATTTGGTTTAAAGAGCTGTTCTTTATACCCGAATTTGTATTTTAATATTAGAGTTTTTTCGATTTTACTTATTTAAAAATAATTCTTATTTTTTAATATATTGAATATTTATTTCTAATATTTTCTCTATTGTGTGCAGGGCCATTATTATTAATAATTTATTTCTATCTATTTATTTCAAGACTGACATGATATTTTTAGCTTTTGTATCAGTCAAAAGACACGTAACAAATGTGGTTTTACCGTATATGAATCAAATTATATAAGAAAAAATATTTTAAAAATTTGACTAAGAAATTAGATTCAGAGGCGACTGTACTTTACTTTAATGAGACTTTATCGGTGTTATAGCGCTCTTATAGCACTCTCTCGAAGATTTCTCTTAAAAAACACATGATGCCGCATGCGTGGAGGGTGTATTATAAGAGCTTGCCAAAAATACCCGAAAGCCTGATCTCTAACATATGAAACACACATGTCTCGTTCTCGTTCCTTACTAATAACTACACTCTGAAGATGACAAGGTCTCCGCCTACATAAGTTATATTTGCAGAAGATTTCAATGGTCTTTCGACGTGTAAAAATCGAAGGTCGAGCATCCGGATTTCCGTTTTCCAATAAGACTTTGTGTAATCTACTTTATCTTCTAGTTTTATTTATTCATTATTTTATAATGCACTTTTTTGTTATATCGAGATTCCATTGACTTCTTTATTATCAATATATCAGATATATTCTTAATTCTACGAAAAAGCATACTTATATATTTCGATTTTTTATAAGGGATAAGAAATTTAGAGTTATTAGCCTTTATCACATTTGCTTTAAATACTATTAATTAATAATAGCATATTTAATTGATTATATAAGCTTATAAATTATATTTACACATATAAAGATCCGTAAGAAAATTGCAAAGAAATTGTCAATTTTTAATCAATGCAAAATATATACTTTTTGACAAGTCAGAAGAAAGAAAAGAGACCACCGAAGTCTCTAAGGGATTAAAATGGTTTTATGAACAATAATTTCTCATTCCATATTTTTGTTACCTGTTTCCTATTACCTGTATTTTTGTATTGTGTTGGACCCTTTAATATTTATATCCTCCCTGGTGCGAGGACGTAAAGCACACGTGACCCTTGAAAGGACACGCGCCTTATTCAGCAACAACCTGTCGGGGATGCATACACTATAATATCTCTTCTTTGTTCACCGCTTATTTTTCCGAGAAAATATCAATCGCACTCGATAATTAATACATTATGTCATCAATAATAAAATGAAACACCAATTAGAAAAAATAGTTTATTTTTTATTTTATTTTTTGTATATACTTGTCAATTAAATTTAATTATGTCGATTTATATATGTCATAAATTATGTATTATATATATTATGAAAGAAAAAATTATATATATATAAATTAAATTTATATTTTATTTATACAAATTAAAGGCGATATAAAAAGTATATGTAATTTTATACATTTTATATGTACAAACGTGCGTACGCATTTTTTGCTCATAAACGCACGAGGTAACTGTTCACTTATCGGATCATGCACATGCTCCCAATCTAGCATTAGCGGAAGTGCGTGAAGTCGTCATTCTCACAACGTTGATTGATATGATACAATACAACCGTATATAATGATGCACGTGTACGCATATTATTTTCGTACGCCGGATGTTGGAACTTATTCGTACGTTACAATGATCGGACGATTCATATCAAATCACTTAGTTAATCCTTAATTGAATCTTTTAAGTACTTATAAAATTATATCTTACATTAACTAATGCAAATGTTTTATTGTTTTACAGAGCGCGCAGAACAGATTGCTAATTAAAAATGGTAAAGTTGTCAATGATGACGGGATCATCGATAGCGACGTCTACATTGAAGATGGTGTCATCAGGTAACACATAAACTCATAATAAATGCATTTTTATTATATAATAGATATGTACGCAGAGAGAATTTTTTCTTAGAATTTATCCTGAAATTCATGGTAATCGTGGGACAATATATGGTATTAGAAGAGTTTATCTTATTCATATTTATCAATAAAAATATTAATACCTACCACAATGAAGATATAAAATATATTTAATTAATAATAATAAGAATATTAAGTCGGCTCCTTAATTTTTAAAATCAAGATCTACACTTCATTCCTCTCAGCCAATAGAGCCACACGCGATGTTATTGCGATACATAAGAAAGAAAGAAAATTTGGAAACTAAGGAATTTGTATCCTATGGTTGGGATCTCAGAAATTCCCCTTGTTCCTCTCTTAACTTCCCCTGTAAAGAAATAGGCGAGAAATCTGAGATCCCAACCATAGGATACAAATTCCTTAGTTTCCAAATTTTCTTTCTTTCTTATGTATCGCAATAACATCGCATGTGGCTCTATTGGCTGAGAGGAATGAAGTGTAGATCATGTTTAATTAATTTTACTAAATTATATAGTAACATTTTAATAATTTTAAAATATATTTTATATAAATTTTACAATTCAGCACAATATTTTCAATCCAGCCTTAATCGTTTATAATAATTTTAATACAGCATATTATAATTATTGGCTTATAAACATGATAAAATTTGTAGTGAATTTTGCGGTAAAATATAACGAAAAATTCTCTCCGTGTAATATTATTTATTCGTCATAATTTTAATTTATATTCTACTTATACATTAAAATGACCCATCTTGTATAACGCGCGCATCCTTTGGAAAAATCACTATTGATCACTTATTAAAGGGCAATTTATTAGATTATTCGCACGTTTTGTTTCTCAAAGATAACGAAATCTCTTACTGATATTACGATATATTTAGATCACAATATATTCAACTCACGTGTCTAACCACTTGACATACAAGCGAAACGCGATACACACGTCGTTATTTTATCACTGGAGCTGAATGAGGTGACAATCACAAAGAGTCTGATTTATCAAACAGACGTGACTGATCGTAGTCGTTAAACAGCCGCAAGCACGTTGTTAAGTCATCATTGTCAATCAAAAAGTGTAGATGTGGCTGAAGCTATTGAAATCATTTAAGCTACTCCAGTTTTATCTCATCGAAAAAAAATCAACTTGTCAAATCGAAGCACAGGAGACGAAAGAAAAATTTTTTGTTCGAAAAGAACAATTATATCTCTTAATGGGTCCTAGCAAATATAATTAAAAATATTTAAATATATAATAATATAATTAAATATATATTTAAATATTTAATCTAAATTTTATGGATTAAATATCTCATATAATATCAAATAAAGATTTTGCTAAAAATATTTATACATATATTTAAAAAAATATATATTCATAAATATTTATTATATGTATTGTGTGCTGGAAATTTGCAGGCAAATGGGGCGCAATCTTATCATACCTGGTGGAACCAGGACCATCGATGCACGAGGAAAATATGTGATGCCCGGTGGCATAGATCCGCATACGCATTTCGAATTTGAGTTTATGGGTGCCAAGTCGTTGGATGACTTTTACCAGGGTACGAAAGCTGCGGTCGCCGGTGGTACTACGATGATTATAGATTTCGCAATACCACGGAAAGAGGAGAGTCTCGTGGAGGCTTATGAGAGATATAGACAGACTGCGGATGAAAAAGTTTGCTGCGATTACGCGCTGCACGTCGCCATCACTTCTTGGAGTCCAAAAGTAATTTTTTTGTTATAATATATATATTTTTTCATATATATAAATGTTCTTGTTGTGACATTATAACATCTCCAGATATTTTAAACAAGTTTTTGCGGTAATTTATTAGATTTTTAAAATTACCGCGAAAAAAATTAAAATCGAGAATGATAGGATACATAAAATCTCTCTATCTTTAATCTTATAAGCTTTTATATGTATATGTGAAAACACAATGTGTGTCCTATTTTTACGGCACTGATGCGTCAATTAAACTCTCCCATTGTATAAGTACAGTATAATGTTTGCGCTAGATTATCTTGCCATGTAAGTACAATACGGTACTCTCTATTCCCCCTTTTTAGTCACCTGGAACGAGATAATTACAGCAACACGAAATTCTAGAAAAAAAGTGTAGGCCTAATTTTTTTCTTTTTTTTTTTGCTAATTCCAAGTTAACGCAAAAAACGATTTCACGATCTTTATTATTTCAGTATTACGTTGATGACATTGATCAATTGGCATAATGACATTTTACGTAACTCCGAAATAATAGCGAATTACGTGAATGCGTGTATTCAGAATTCAGAAAATTAATCCAATTGCAGCTTCTAATTATTAAGGGAGAGGCTTGTTGTATAATCTATAATATTCTTACGAATTCGTCGAATTTGACCTTATGTCTACCCAGCTTACAACTTTTATTTTTGAAAATTATTTTCTAAAATTGCATATTTTTGACATATTTGCCTGTTAAGATTAAAATGAATTACCCTGCAGAATTATATATATTTTATATTATATATAATTATATATTATATATAATATAAAATATATTTTATATTTTAATTATATTAAAAATATATTTAAAATTAAAAATATATTTTATTAAATTAAATATATTTTATATTATATGTATATAATTATATATAAATACACTCTGTTTATAAGAATCTCTGATATTATTAAATATCCGCGACTATCGAGCGCATTTTGTAACCTTGTATCGCGCGTGTTCTGATTGTTAATTAAGGCAATTAAAATACCGAACAGTCGGATGACGAACGAGGAAATTGTACTTACGTGCTGTCTAAGTAGGATCATCGCTATAGCAGCAAACGCGGGTCGCGCCTTATTTGCCGTACAATTTTCTTCAAAGGGAAGCCGCATTCGATTTATTCATCGACGTCTTGCTATTTCGTCTTCTTTTTGCAGATTAAAGAGGAAATGGCGATACTGACGAAGGACCACGGCGTAGGTAGCTTCAAGATGTTTATGGCTTACCGGGATGTGTTTATGCTGAGAGATCCGGAGTTGATCGAGGCTTTCAAAGCGTGCAAAGAGGTCGGCGCCGTCGCGATGGTGCACGCGGAAAACGGTGACCTTATTGAAGAGGTACGTATAATGATGATGAGACCAATATGGGGTTGTTTTAGGATCAATTTTAATTTTAAAAAAAGATTTCCATTTAATTTCGATTAAATCAAATCATTGTTGTTAGAAAGCACCAGTGAAAATTAGTAATCAGAATTATAAATTTATAATTATTTCTACAGTCTATAAAATTTCATTTTTCAAAATTGGCAGATTTTATTTTACTGATAAATAATAATTATTTGATTTTTATCCGAATTTTTCATTGATATTGGTAAATAGAAATCATTTTGTTTTTTTAATTGCTATAAAAAATCGTAGTTTAATATTTAATTTCTAATGAAAAAGTCGGAATAGAAAATAATTATTTAGAATCCTTTGATGTCATGGTATTGTGAATAAACTTAAAATTGATAATTGATAAAAATTATAAAATAGTTTTTTTTTTTACAATATTTCTTTCAAGTATTCTTCCTTTTTCTTAACTTTTAATTCTGCATTATTTAAATTATATTCGGGAAAGTTAAAAAAATATATTTAGAATAAGTTAAATTAAAAGTAAGTCAAAAAAAATTAATATATAATAAAATAAATTTCTATTTAAGACAATGCAAATCACACAAAAATGACTTTTTATTACATAATTTCAAAATACTACAATTGATAAATAAAACATTAAAAGAAAGTTGGGCAATAAAATTGATGTATGACTTAAAAATTACGTTGCGTAGTGAAGCTTTGCGTTGTTTGGAAGAATGTTAATACAAATTGAAATATACAAGCTTTCTCCTATCGCCATAAACTTGTTGCAGAATACGAAGAAACTACTCGCCGCAGGAGTAACAGGTCCAGAGGGCCACGAAATGTCACGACCCGAAGAAGTCGAGGCGGAGGCTGTCAATAGAGCATGCGTTATCGCGAATCAGGTAAGCTGGAATGCTAATCTGATGAATATTTATCATATTGTTAAGTATCAATGTAAAACGTTGATCTTTATTCTTAGTTCATTCTATTTGTATGTATTTGAGCTTTCTCTATAGGTATATATTTTTATATACTTTTTTATTTTGTCCTGAGCACATATACAATAATAAGCCTTTTATATTTATCTCTTTTCAAAGTTCTGTTACGAATGCACTTGGCATGCTACCCACCGTGGTATTCAGTTCACGAACGATCCTAAATCTCTAAATTACAATCCAAGACAAAAGCATAGTGCAACTATGTGTTTTGCTATGTGGCAGATGTCCAATTCTCAGTATATCCAAAATTCTCATTACTGTCTTACCAAAATTAGAAAATATCTATGTCATGAGGTAAAGTTCAATAACGCCCTCAAAAAATACCTACATATGTCAAACTTTTATCTTCATAAACATTCTTCATCTATCTTCCTTTTTTCTCTTTTATTTTATGTTCTTTTTTAACTCCTTGATTGTTCAATTCATAAATTTAGTAATTTTTATACCGAAAACATGTTTTTGTTTAAAAACATTTTTTTCGTAAAACAATCAAGGGGTTAAGGAGATTAATAAGACACGCAAAAATGGAGACACCATCGTCTCGCACATCCTCAATAGCTGTAGTATTAGCATCGAAATTTTGCTTAGGTCAATTGTCCGCTGTATGTAGTGCATGTGATGAGTGGTAGCGCAGCTGACCAAGTAAAAGCCGCGCGAAATCGCGGCGTTTGTGTCTTCGGCGAGACCCTGGCGGCTGCAATCGGCACGGACGGTACCAACTATTCGCACAAATGCTGGAGACACGCGGCCGGTCACGTTCTAAGTCCACCACTTAGACCAGATACGGATACGCCGCGAGTGCTCACGAACATGTTAGCCAAGTGAGTTGAAATCAAGCCATTAAAGCCATGGTGAATTCAGAACGACTTTGACATCGGGAGCAGGCTAGATCAAACAAAGGACCCCGTATCAAATACATAGGATTTGGACTTTCGGAGGAATTGACTGTCTTTTTCATATGTTACAAGATTTAATAGCTTCAAAGCTAGATATATTATTGTAATCAGTCAAACGATTTCAAGACTTGTAGACTCCAGGTTTTTCGTGTTTGACGGGCTGTAAATTATAGTAATCATCTATTATTTAGCTTTGGGCCTATTACAGTTTTCGTTCAGCAAGTTACAACATGTGCGAAAATCAGCTGATTATACTGGGATTCAATTTCATCTAGGATTTTATATAAGTTTTAAAATCCCTAATCATATAAAATTGAATCTTGGTAAAATCAGCTGGTTTTCTCATATGTTGTAACTTATCTGCTGAACAAAAATGTAATAGGCTTAAAACTAAATAATATATAGACAGTCAAACACGAAAAAGTTGGGCTCTACGAGTTGTTTGACTGTAACTTTTACATCTTTTGTTTAGCAGAACATAAGCTACAATAAATTAACATATGAAAAAACAACCAATTCCATTGAAAGTTAAAATCGTATGTATTTGGTGCGGAGTTCTTTATAAATCAACTTTTGTGTATAGAACCAGTTCAAGTGCTCAATTTACAAGATTTGAAAATTTTCTGATCATTGACAATTCGGAAATACTACAGATTATAAGTCAAAATTAAATATAGTTAGTACAAATCGCTCGAGTTGCGACTGTTTAAATATAGATCCAATTATATAGACATTCCCAGACGGTGAAATCTTCGCCAAATGGTTTCTTAGTCGCAAGAATGTTGACGAAAAAAGAAATACTGTCATTCGAAATCCATGCAACGAACATATGTGGCTTTCTATCTAAAAGGAGAGTTTAATGCACCGACCGGTTTTTTTCCCTAAACAACTGTACAAGTATATACACCATAAGGGAAAATGTATTCGCAGAGAAAGTTTCAGATAGAGAAACTCTAGATTTTGTCCATCGATCAAATGCATCATGATATTTTTCAAAATAATGCGGATATACGTACATGTATTGTATATTCATATATATGTACATGTATATTCGGTGTAAAGTATCGATTACACAGACCCTTTTATCGCGTTCTCCCTCGCACTTTCCATTTAACCGATTAGCGAAAATAGGCTGCAATTGCGGCAATAGCAATTTAAATTTATACGTTATTCAGCTAGAGGCTTGCGTGACAAAACTGCATAAAGTGCAATTATATATATATGCCTTTGTTCGTTATTGCCCGCACTGAAATTTATTTAGCGGTTTTGCACGATGAAATTTCATATGCATGTTTTGAAAATAAGTATCATTACTTTTGTTTCCACCGTGTTCTCTTATTTTTATTATGTATTAAATATGTATGTTACCTGGCAGCACAATTTGCTCTCATAATTATCTTTAATATTGCACGTTAGATGTTTGAAAATATTTATATAAAGTTATAGTTTATAAAAAAAATGATATAAAATTTGAAAAATTATATGCAGATAAATTGAGCACGGCTGAAAATATTTACGATTTTTTGGGTTAAAAATTATAATTATATATCAATCAATGAAATGTTGGAAACGTAATTCTAGTAAACATATGTACTTGAGAGATCTTAAATTTCTCGGACTAGGAAGAATATAGATTTATAACTAATAATGCAAAATCAATTTAAACTCAACAGTAGTACGGGAATTTTAAATTGTGTTTTACACGAAAGCCATATGAATTGCTATATTTATTCCTAGATATTCATGTTATATTATAATTCTTTTAATAATATAATATTTTCTTAAAAATATGCATTACAATATTATAATATTAATATACTAACGTAACAAAAAAATAATAGAATATAAATTACCGAATATTTTAACTCTGTAAAATACTTTCAATTAAATTTCGATGCAGAACTTTCAGCCGTGATTCGTTTTATCTAAGCATGCAGAATAGAAGTGAGAGAAAGAGGACGCACAGGTTATTTTAGTGAGAAGATAAAAATATCGCGTTTAGGTAAATAGTCCCCTATATGTATCGGCGATCTCGAGCAAGTCGGCCGCCGACGTCATGTCGGCGAAACGATCGGAGGGTATCATCGTATTCGGAGAGACCCTGGCAAGCACCATCGGTATCGATGGTAATGAGCAATATTCTAAAGATGTGGAAAAAGGGAGGCGTTTCATTACTAGTCCGCCATTGCGGCCTGATGCGACAACACCTGCTTATTTAACCGAACATCTGGCTCAGTAAGTAGTAGCTCGAAAGAAAAACCTTCTTCATGTTTATATACGGGTTTGAGTTGGCTCTATTATTTTTCAATTATGTATTAATGTAGTAATAGCTAGAAGAATTTATTTTGATATTTTCTCATTCAAAAATTTATTAATTTATTTAATTGATCAAAGAAAAGCATGAAGATATATGGAAGATATATAAAATGTGAAAAGATTATATTTATTGTATATTATTATTTAATTGTCATTATAGACATTAAATTATCCGCGATTTATATTCAATCGAGTTTTCAGGCTGTTTCTTCTCATTCATTTCTTCTGATTCAATGATGAATTCTTGAGTCTATGATGTTCAGAAGCGTTTTTCATCTTTAATTTACATGAAAAATGATTTATTCTTTCCAATCGACTTTTCTCCCTAAATAAGTTGTATAGAAGGAAATTTGACATTAAATTAAAACAAACGAAGATATTTTTAATTATTATAGTGAAGGCAAATCAGAAACAAACACATTAGATCTAGGAGTTTCATATATATCTTTTGTGATCTATATATTTTTTTTAAATTAAATTAAATTAAATTTGTTATATTAACGATATATCTAAGAAATAATTTATATATATATATATATATATATATATATATATATATATATATATATATATGTATTCTGTAAATTGAAAAATAGCTTATCAAAGCAGAAAATATTAAGAAATAATTACGTGGTATCAACTGTTGCCGACTTTCTTCTGTTGAAGGAAATATTAATAGTTTTAAATCGTCAATAGTCTTTCTTTTTAATAAAATGCATTTGGTACATTAAAAATTATATTACAAAAATTTATGCCATATCAAAAATAACAGTTTTATTTTTGCAAAGCGAGATATAAATAAATTCTCTTTAAATAATATACATACACAAAGTATTTTTTTCATAAAAATTCACTAAGTAATTAAAGAAATGTTTTCTCCAAAATTATTTTCCGAAAAGTTATTTATTTTATATCAAATACAAATTTTGCGAATCTCCTTTTAAAAGTTAATAAAAATTATTTAAAGATCTTTTCTCTCTTTTTAAATAAGCTAGAGGATTAGTAGAAAGATGTCTAAATTTTTAAATATTTTTCTAATACTTTTAAAGTTAAGTACATTGAAGATGTGCTACAGAATGATTTATTACTGCAATGTCTTAAATACGAATTCATTATTAGAAATAATAATCGCGTTTGCATGCCTCACATGCCTCACATGTTCACTTTCGTAGCCATGAATTATAATAACAACTCGACGTGAATGACATAAGACTTACAGTCTTGATATTAATAGTCGCGACGTCATCTATCATATTAATAGTGGGAAGTAACTATAGGTACAATAATATAGTACATTAATATCAATTAATACACAGCTAAAACAAAAACTGCCGATTTGATCCTTCCCAACATTAAACAACCCTAGCTTATTTTAGTCATTCAATATTTGGTACGCGAATTTTATTTCGTATTATTATAATTTTATATATTTTATTTATTATAATATTATTTATTATATAAATATATTATTATATTTTAATTACTTTAGCCTGCTCGATGTCAAGGAATCGTTTAATATTTGCTTCTCCTTCTGAAATCATCCCAATTAATCTTCGAATTCATATATTAATTATGGGCCTTTTTCAGAGATAATCTGCAAGTTATCGGCAGTGACCATTGCACGTTCAACTCCGAGCAGAAGGCTCTGGGTAAGGACGACTTCACGAAGATCCCCAACGGCGTGAACGGTGTCGAGGACAGGCTGGCGGTGCTCTGGGAAAAGGGCGTCCACGCCGGCATAATGGATCCCACGCGTTTCGTCGCGGTCACCAGCACGAATGCTGCTAGGATTTTCAACTTGTACCCTCGAAAGGGAGTCGTAGCCGTGGGCTCGGACGCCGACATTGTCATCTGGGATCCAAACAGGAAGCGCACCATTTCCGCCCAGAGCCACGTCCAGGCCGTTGACTTCAACATCTTCGAGGCGAGTTCAATTGAGCCGTTCGCTTTCGTCGACTTATTTTTTTTTCAACGCCTTAAAAAATTGTGATCTTCAAAAATTATATTTTTTTAATATTATTAACATGTTTTTTTAATATTATGTTTACAATACGAAATATATATGCGATTTAATTTGTATTCTGAACTGTTTGCATAATTTTTGTTAGAAAGAAAGTTAATTGTTGAAAGTAACTCTGCTTCGATCACAATTATAAAAATATCTTACGCAAATGCATTAATAATCAATTAATAATCGATTATTGATGTAGGGTATGGAAGTAACTGGCGTACCTGAATATGTGATTGTCAATGGACGCGTATGTGTGGACGAGTGTGAGCTGAAGGCTGTTCATGGCTTTGGGAAGTACGTGATTGCGGAGCCATTTGGCTCTTATGTGTACGACATGATAAACGATAAAGAAAAGGTATAAAACAGTATATAATTTTCTCCCTTCTCCTCCTCTTGGCGTTATTATTCTCAAATAATAATATTTAAAGTAACTGTATTATATGTACTATACTATTCAACTATATCGAATTAAATTACAAATTAATTGCTTAGACTAGAATTAAACTATCCCAAGTAGCAAACTGACGACATTAAATGTCAAAATGACATATGCTTGCTACTTGGGATGTCATTTAAAATTTATATCTGAAAATAACTTTGTATTTTTGCGTATATAGAGACCACGTGGAATCGCGCGAACCGAAGCGGAGGCCAGGAGATACGCTGAGGAAGACGCTGCACTTACGAGGGCTAAGGAAGCGGCGAGAGCAGCCGCCGCAGCCAAAATCGCGGCCGCGGCTAATCAGACCAACGGTTCGCTTCACGACAGTCCAAAATCAAAGTTTAAACCCAACTATGCGCCCACCTTGCCGGAATCTGCCGTGGTGACACCATCCACGAAAGGTCCAAGACTAGAAGGGCAGAGAAACCTACAAGATTCTACTTTCTCCATTAGTGGTGAGTTTTGCGTCAATAATTTTAAGTCTAGATCACAATGTATTTAAATTTTGTTTAAGCTTGATATCACATCTCAAGTATCAAACGTTAAAATGATGTACACTTACTACCTGGGATGATATTAATGATAAAAAAATTTTCTCTTACTTATATCTTCTTTCTTCATATTTCTTCGGAAATATTAGAAGCGCATTTTGTTCTTGCAGAGGACATTGATGAAGGACGAAGGGCATGCATTCGCGTGAATAATCCACCTGGCGGCCGCAGCGCAGGAGGCTTTTGGTAATTTGTATAAAAAAAAGAAAACATCAAGATTCGCTTTATATGTATAAGAGTCATTTAACGACGAAGAAATATCCTCTTTTTTTTCTTCCTCCATCTATCACATACATATATACATACGTCGCTTCATTCATTTCGAAAAATATCAGCTCGCGCTTTCAGGTTCGCTATTCATTAAATATTATGCTATCAGTCATTTTTTCATGTTGTATTCCCATCGATCAAGGTCTGTTCCATCGAAGGAGGATGTAGAGATCGCTGGGCAATAGGTTGTATGTTTACGTATATTCATCGTTCCACTCACTCGTCATTACTTTAGTGTTGCACTATGTTACTGACATACCTTAATCATGAATTTTGATCTGTTTTTCGATTTCTATATTCGAAAATCATCTTTTTCTTTGATAATGTTTATATCAAGACTTTCTTTAAAATCACTCTTGTTAGTTTCACTTTAAGATTTATTTATTGTTGTGCACATATATAAAGATATATATTATATAAAATTTATATTATGTCATAGAGCAAAAAAAATATATACATATTTAACATCTAAATATATATATTATATCTATCTATGTGTGTGTGTACAGGATTTAAAAAGTCCAAAACAATCTAATTAAAAAAGGCATTCTCTACAAGACAACATTCCTGAAATCTGAAGTTTAATAATAATAAAGTTAAAAAATACAAGAATGTATAATAAAAAAAACAATAGATCTCAATTCAAAAAATTCAAAATGACCTCGATATATCTTGTTGCATCTAACAAGAAAATCAAATTATTCAGATCATTATTAAATGAATTCTTTTGAACACTACAATTTTTGTCAGGAACACTTTTTTTAGAAAATCCTTTTTTTAATATTAGACTGTTTGTGGATTTTTCAAACATCCTGTGTGTGTATGTGTATATGATAAACTTCATTTTTTCATGCGATAATCATTATGAACTCTAAAAGTTGCAAGACCAAATTTAAGAGTATTTGTTGTCTGTATAAATTTTATGAAATTATTTGCTTCTTTCTACAGATATTAGGATTTATTTCAAAATTTGATTCAAAGGAAAGAAATTACAATAATCAGATGAAAATATTTAAAAACTAGAAAATAAAGGCAATTGTGATATTAGCAAATGTCACATAATTATCACTATTAATATTATTATTAAACAATAAATTATTATTAACATTATTATTATTAATAATAAGATAGTGGCTTATTTATTGTCAGCGATAAGAGGACTCGCATTGGAAAAGAGTCGTGGCTCAAAGCAATGTAATGAAATACTTAAACACTTACATTGAGCCATAGTTAAAAAGTTATATTTATTTATAATATAACGTATGTTACACAAATATATATATATATATATATATATATATATGCAATTAATTCATATATTGATATACATATATAAATTAATTGCACTCTATGGCATAATTATATATAATATGCTTATATATAATATGCTTATATATAATCAAAAAACTATTAGAGATTCCTATTTAATTTTTTTTAATTTTTACAATAATCATTCTCAATTGCATATATAAATTGTTAAATAAAGATTCTCTACATTTGGACAATTATCATTAAGTTTTACAGATTGAGCATGATTTTTTCAATTATATACGAAGAGATATAAATGTAGATTCAATTTACTATTTCATTAATTTTGTCCAATAAGATATAAACGTTCATGTTACGTTATATTATATGATCAATAAGAGAATATTTCAATACAAATATATTTAAGTTGTTAAATATAAATAATCTTCATTATGTAACCAATGTATAATATAAATAATTTACATTGTGTTTCCTCATAATTTTATTGAAAGTATTCAGAATTGAATGTTGCATTCTAAAATCTATTGTAACATGCGTCATTAATATAAGCATATATAAATAAGTGGAATTTTGACATCTGAAAAAAAATATCTTCTTCAAGGATCAAATTTTCGATAAATTTTTACTTGCTGTAGAATCTTAGAAGCAATCAAGGAAAGATATATATGATTCAAATGACAAAATTTATATATACATTGAAATAATAGAAATATCGATCATCAGCAAATCGGAATTTTTGTTTAACATATATAAATCTTATCAAATTATTCGCTTTCATGACGTCAGAGCGCACGATATGAAACGACGCACAAATTTTTAATAATATTCGCTCATAATATCGCTGTAAAAAGACCATAAGATGCGATAAGAACGAAATAGATTATGTTTCATAAAAAGTATATATTCACTAATTGTAAGAGCTTTATTTATATAAGGACATTCATAGTAATCAATCATTTTCACACTTTATGTATCGTTATTAATTTTTTTTCCACTTAATTCACAAGTTTCCCTACATTCCGATTTTTAAAAGTCTAATATGAAATCCATACTGTTTGACATGTCTATAATTGAAGTATTGACTACTAATTCCCTTTCAACACACAATATCTTATCTTTTTCTCATCTATTATTTTTATCAACGATGTTTACACTTAGGGTATATCGAAAAGTATCGTATTATCGAAGTTTATTTGACATAATAATGATAAGAAATAATAAAAAGAATAAAATATAATCGCATAGTCATCATCATCGCATATCGCGTATTAATAATGACGCAAATATTAATGTATAAGAATCATAAGTCGTAGAAATTAGAACTTATGCAAACAATCTATAAAATCGGAAAAAAATTGTCATTGTCAACTTTTTGTCGATTTTCAAACGTCGTTTCATATCTTTTCACACGAGCAACGTTAGGAATCAAAAAGTTTTCTAGTAGATTTTTTATCGACATTTTGCAAGATATTTCTAAACAACTCTATATAAAATAAATCGGGAGAAATATGACGTAAGATTATTTAAAATAGTAACTTTTTTGTATTTTTTGTATTTGTATATTTTGTATTCATGCATATATTTTCTCTAAAATTAATTACGACACGCAATACTTTTTGCATAAAATGCTTTTCTTCTCACTAAAATGATATTGATTTTATATCATTATTCGGAATCACTTTTGATTGAATTTGAAAAAACTAAAAAGAAAATTATACAAATTTCCTTGAAATATTATATTTAAAAACAAATTATACGCAAAGCATTTTGAATTAAAGATAGAAAATTACAACGTAAGTTCTACTAATTCGTAAAGTATATAATTGGATATTTTAACATATTGTTATTCAATTAAACTTTACACAGAAAGTTATTATTGTTTGCATGTGACGCTGTTGATATTTTATACCAATGTAAAAGATATTTTGTTATCACTAGATATCATGTGATATCGATTATTATTTAAAAGGCATAAATATAAGAGGGCTTGATGATAGCGTTAATATATGTGTTCACATTATGTGACCTCGTGTCAAGTATTCAGGAAAAATGTATAGTTTATCGACATAACTAGCACAATTAGAATATTCTATTTATATCTGTTATAATGTATATGTGATCGCTTTAAATAAAAATATAACATCAATAATCACGCAATATTTTTAGGTTGATGATTTTTCAATAGAATAAATCCAGGACCTTCTAATTAGATTTTATTATATATAAGCTAAAAAACGCTGGGGTATATATAAAAGAATTATATATCTAGCAGATTGTTTTTGTTCTTTTAATTAATGATTTAACAATTTATTTAATTTACATATATTATATAAATTGCTGATGTTATATTAATTATATATATATATATATTAATCTTTTAATTATATTTTCTAATATCAATATTACATTTTGATAGCATATTTTCTTTACATTTTAATTAAATTGAACTTTATTTTGCTTAATACGTTGCTGTCGAATAATAAAGTGATTCTATTTATTTTACATATAATTCCATTCATTCTATATATATACACGCACACGTAAAATAAATTTATTAATATATATTCATTTTTAATTAATATAGTCGAATAGTGTTGAAATTATAAGCATGAGAAAATATTTCATACAAAAATTAAAAGATTTAAGAAAAAGTAATTTGCAATTAGCACCTACATATTTAACTATATGTATATATTTTCTTTAATCGATTCCTCTCCTTATTTTATACATAAAAGTATATTATATTAAGTTATGGAAAATGAATATTTTTAGGAGATATTTTATAATTTATGCAAAGTTATTAGTCACATTAAAGTACAAAAATATTTCCTATAAACTATTCATTTTTTGACCATCCTTATAACTTTTATGACAAATATTGCAAGGATTCGATTTATATCAAAAAATTAGGGTAATTCTACTAGGTTGACTTGAAAAAATTATTTTAAAATTCAAAATTTATCAACTTTTTTATCTTTGAAATTTTTTAACTTTTATATGAAATATTTTTTTATTTCAGCAATATTCAACTACAACAATTAAAATAAAATATCCTGTGTATATAGATTGTGTATGTACATAATAAATACATATCACATTAAAATGCTTCAACTGAATTCTTGATTCAATATTGGGAAATAACTTATCTCTATGTGTGAGTAAGTCCAAATTAAAATATAATAACTCGGATAATATTTTGCTTGTACCTTTTCAAAAAGAAGAAAAAATAACATTACAAGTAATTTATTGTATATACATGCTTGTATCTTGCTAAAAATTCTTTGACAAGCAATATTGCTTTGATTCACGTGTAAATAATATTATCACAATATTTAAGGTAAAATAAAATATTTTGATGCAGTACTTTTAAGAATTTTCTGAAAATTCTCTCTAGGAAAAGTTTTCTCTATGAAAAATTATGAAAAATATATATATATATATATATATATATATATATATATATGTATATATATATAATTTTATTTTACCCTTTATTCTCTTCTCACTTGATTGTTCTCGTGTAATAAAGCTTGCACATATCACCTATTATATATTTGCATCATTTCCGCACTCATGCGGAATATATAAGGAACATATGATTCACTGCCCGACTTCATCCTTATTTAACTCCTCTGCTCTCTGGCGAGCTTTCTCTAAAATCTGCTTGAGCTCCGATGATCGAGCTGTTTTGTACTAAAAATAAAATTTCGAACATTAGAAAGTGACACACGATTATATCATCATCTAACTTCAAATGCACTTACCCCGCATTCATTTTTCGCTAAAGTCAACTGACCATTGAGCCTGCTTCCCTCGGACAATCCGCACAATTGCTCCAATCTTCGCCGCGATAAATTAAATAATTCCATGCCGTTCATATCTTCCAATTGTTTACAGATTCTGCGAATATAAGATAAATCGCTGAGCAATCCAATCCATTGGATAATGAATTTGCGAGGTAGTACTGAAATTGATATATACTTTTCCGAGAATCCTTTGGCCTTCAACCAAGTTTGAATCTCGTGAGAGGTCGAGTATTGATTCACCCAAATCTCGTGTGTGTCATTGTTAAGAGAAGAATTCGCTTTTTTCTCTCGGAACATCGTCAAGACAAACTTGAGCTCCTTCTGAAATCCCTCTTCTTGCTCGGAAGTGCCTTTTCACAGAGAATAATTAATGACATCAACAAAGTAAAAGCAATTATATATTAAAAGTTGAAAAGTTTGAAAGTAAAAAAACCCCGCGTTAATTCTATAAAAAATTGGACCCTGATAAAATCAGCTGATTCTATGTCGCAGCTTTTGACCTGCTAAACAAACAACTATATATATATATATATATATATATATAGGATTAGCGCGAAGTCCTTTTCTCACAACTCACCATTAAAGAATTTAATACTTTTAGAAACATCCGTTTTATTGAGCGTGGAAAATGTTGAGGGCGCGGATTTTTGAGTTTGAAACTGCGGAGTGGATCGTACAGGCGTCGGTGGTGGAGGTGGCGGTGGAGGTGGTGTGGAAGATATCTTCGACTTTGAAGATACCTTCGACGAAGCAGGTGATGCTGGTGCTGATTTTGGTGGCGATAGTGCTGGAGTTGATTTCAATACAGACAATATTGGTGCCGATTTGGATACGGATAGTGTTGTTGGCACCGAATTCGATGTTGGTACAGACACTGGCGGAAGTTCCATTTTCTCCAGGACCTCCTTATCGGATATCACATCGTCTGGTATAAAATCGCGAGGTGGCGAATGCACTTCCACGATGCTCTGCTGCGTGTTAAGCTTGCTATGCGATTCAGAGGTGCTATCGAAGGAGGAAACACTTGACCTGCTGCTGTTACTCATGGCTCCGTTGTAAGCATTAATATTGTCTGTAAAACAATTTTGCAATGTTATTTTCAAATATAATATCGTAATAATGTTTTAAATAATGTTATAGTACTTTAAACTCGATTTATATTTTTTGACAGCTATCAGCTGATTTCTGTCAAACAATATAAATCAGCTGATTAAAGCGTTAATTTGATAATTTTTTAAATATGTTATAAAAATTAAAATATAGTCAAACTATATTTAAACACCCTGTATAAATAAAAATGTCAATGTAGAAAAGCTATTAAAAAACATGAAAAGATCATAACTTACCCCAAAGCTTTCACTAGATAAAACATACACATATAATCTTAAGATATATACTGGACGAACAAACATTAAGCATATATATAGTATTTAAGCATTGACAATATTTAAAATATTTTATAACTTGGAATTTAAATTCTATGAATAAAAATCTAAGTAACAAAAAATTATCGCATGTCAAATATTCATGTACAATTACATTTAATAATCGATTCACAGAAAATAGAAAAAAATAAAGGAGACGACGACGATATATCGCACAAAATACAATCTGTAACTGGGTATATTTATTAACAATAAGAGTAATATACATAAATTACAGAGTAATAAAATACTGGACATGAATCGCATCCCCAACCCGTGGACACACATACAAATATCGAATTAAGGCTTCCATCAATCACAAAAAAGATAGGAAATAGCGCCGTTATATATTTATATATACATTATAAAATTTCTTGTAGAAATTATATGTCGCGATTTTACTGTATTTTAGAGAATATTTTTATCTCATTATGGTTATAATTTATAATTATAATTATATTTATAATTATTTATAGTTTAACAATAAAGAAGTATGAAAAAATGCATCTGTGATATAAAAAAGAATTTACAATTGTTTATGATTATTATATAAACGATTATCGTCCACGCGCAAATATATTATTGTTCATTGACTTCTTGGTCCAACTTATTATTATCATTGCATTTAGGCCAACAACTCGATATGGATTTAAATATGTAGTAATAAATAATGCAAGCTATAAGAAGTAATGACAATATCAATTTGATAATATCAGTTTTGTATTTTATATGTTTGTATCTTCTAATACTAATCATTGATAGTACAGATTTAGAGTCAATGTATTATATACCGAAATTAATATAATTCATATAAGAAAATAATTTACAAGAAATTTTTTTGCCTTACTGAAAAAAATTACAAATATAATTTCTCGTTTTTTTAAATATCAATTTTACGAATATCATGTACATTTTGTATTTCTCGTTCGTTTTATATCTTCTTTTTCTTTTTCTTTTAACTATTTCCTTCAATCATTTTTGTACAAGCTTATTTACATCGATTTAATACATACAAAATGCATGTGACGACATGTACAAGCAGAATCGGACAAAAGATTTTTGTTTCAATAAAAGCTATTGATAAAACACAGTAATAAAATGTGTTAAAATGTGTTAGTAATACATCGGAAATTTTATTTGTTTCGCTTATCCTCTCCGTATTTTTCCATTGGATTCTTATCAAGAGCGTTTATCGAAATCATAAAACTTTTTCTCACATTGAAATTCCCAATAATGACAAAGGACAGACAAGCAATTCTGTTCTAATTTCAATAAAAAAATATAGTATAGATATTATAATCCGCCTAAGTTAATTTTGCCGTTCAAATACATCTCTCAACAAAATTAAAGCATTATTTCAAATCAAGTATTTAAATTTTATCATTTTTTTAATTGATTCAAATAATATTTTAATTTTTGAAAAATATTACACACACAATATATATAGATATATATATTCTGTGTTATATATAATTTTCAATAAATTATACATAATTAATTATATAAATAATTATATATAAATAAATTATATATTATTTGAACAACAAAATAACACAGAATGACCAGAATGTTCACGAATCAAAATACAATTAGCAGAAAAGTTCTCAAAAAAGTAAGTTAAAAAATCATTTGCGATTTTTTTATTCTAAGCAGTAATTTTTGAGATATAAGGACTTAAATTTAAAGCCTATTCGTGAATCACATTATAATAATTAATATTAATGATGCATTCACAAACAACTGCAACTGTCTAAATGGTCCTATGATTAACTAATGTTAAACCCTTATATATCTCAAAAATTAGTACTTGAAATAAAAAATTACAAATAATTGTTTTACTTAAATTTTTTGAGAAATTTCTTGCTGTAGTATTTTAATTTGCGAATTTTAGGGTACTCCCTGTATATATAATTTTATACTTGACATAACTTGCATTGCTTTATTTGTATGTACGTAAATATTCGTATGCATAAATATTTTCTAACGAGAAACTATTCAATTTCAATGGGTTAATATCGTAACATTTCTATGTAAAACATAATATATGTATAATATATATGTATATAACATATGCATGTATATGTGTGTATACATACATGTGCATTTCTTTCTCTCTTCTGCTTTTATAAAATTATATAATTAAATTTAGTTAGTCGATAAATACAGATATATAATAATATCTTCAATAATAATCATACAATCAATAATAATCAAAAATATTAAAATTAATTCGGTAACTCTCAACCACGTTATAGATATCGGACTTGACGCGATTGTCATTATCAATTTTTTTACTTATTGTTAATTTAAATATTGTTATTTAAATTTGTGGTTGACAGTCACTAACTATACTTGATGACTCTATTAGATTTCATTATTAGTCAATTAATTTCAGACTAAACGGATACTAAATATATTTATAACATATTCATATTAAATAAATTTTAATATATATATGTATATATTTCTATATATATATATATATATATATATATATATGTATGTATATTAGCTTTGATATAGTACATATTACGTTGAGAAATAGTTCTCTTAATATCTTCAACGTTATATCGTCCCTGTGCTTTTATTTCTGATTGTTACCAATCATTATTTCTCGGTCTGTGATAATTAATTAATTACGACGATAATAAAATAAAAGAGATTCAACGAAATAATAATCAATCTATATATCTTCGACAATAATAATTATTATACGAGTATCCACATAAAAGAGTGGACATTTATACTACTTAACTCTCATACACACATTTAGAACCTTTTTATATTAATTAATCAATAGCAATTGTGAGATTTACTATGACATTTCAGATCGTATGACAAAAACGGACGCAAAGGTGTCGCAACATAAAGAAAAAAGCAATAATTTTGTAAAAAAAGGTAAAATGTGTACCCCGTCACTGTAAATGTTAGAATAATCGCGATGCAAAATAAATTTAAAATGCCACGCCCATCTTATAGTATCGTATAAACGGCTCAGTCTACATACTATTTTCTTCTATCTCTGTATATGTACACGTTCAAGAGAAAATCATCAGATATTACAATATTCTTCGACGAATTACGCTCATTAGAACGTGACGTAGATGATGATCTAACAGTTAATTATACTAATTCATTTACATACTAATGTTATGCGCGTTTTCCTTATCTCTTATCAATTCCTGTTATTAAATATTGATTTTAAAGTCGTAATCGCACCAATTAAGACATCAGCTTTCGATTTTAGAAGACACATTCGTGTAGTTGCTCTAAAATCGAGACTTATTTATATATAAAAGAGACAATATATATAAAAGCTGTATCTTCTAATTTCGCAATGTTCAGAGATTGCCTCAATTCGAATAAAGACAATAATGTTTGTAAGCTGCAAAAAAAGCTTAAAAATATCGAAATTCACCTTTTTTTCCAAGTCTTTCTTTTCTCACCCAATCAGCAGGCGCTGGTGGCGGAATCGCGTGTGTTCGATGCGTAGCTTCCGGTCCTGGACTAGTACTGATTCTTTCGATCTCCGAATCCTATAACACGTGATAAATTCCATTATAAATATTACAAGTCTACAATATAATTTGATAACAATTTAACAATAATGTACATTAAGATTTTTAACTTCTCACTACAGTGTGATATATGTATCATTATAAAAATATATGCAAAAGTATAAAATAAAAGTAGAAAACACAAAATAATTTATTATAAATGTCTTAAGGAATATTAATTTCTGTAAATTAATTATTAATTGAATTATTATTTGTTCATTATTAGATTAGTATTTATTAAATAAGCAGTACTATAATTTATTTAAATATTACATATTAAAAAATTGAACAATTTTTATAAAACTTACATGAGATCTTGATACTAAAATAGATTGTCAATAAGAAAATCACATAAAATTTTAATGTATACTTAAATATTCCCTGAATCCTGATTAATTTCCACGAGAATTCCCTGATTTTTCAAGGTGAAACAAAATTCCCTGAGAATGTAAGGCTTTCAAGGTTTTTCTCGGGAATATACATCCTGTATAGGAAGAATTCCGCTTCTCAATAACTCTTACCTCGTAGTTGTAGCCGTGTCCCTGTCTCGGATATCTGCTAGTGTACAAAGGATTGTTGAAGACATCATTGTCAGCCGAGTGAGCGTTGGAATTATGCGATGACGTGGTGGTAACGATGGTGTGTGGCACATGGGCGATCTGTCCCCGAGAATTCCTCGCCTTCCACCATTTCCTGCTGTCGTCGAGGATCTCCAGGTACTCGCCCCTGACCACGGTGAGCTCCTTGTCGTTGTTGGCCGTTCGCGGATAGGTGACCTGCACGACCTTGGCGTGGCGCGCTGCCAATTCATCCAGCCAAGCTTCCTGAGCCCTGTCTATCGCGGTAGCCGTTCTAGGAGCCCTCTCGATCGAATCCACAGAAATATCGCTGTGCGCCCTGGTCTGATCCTGGACTCTCTCCTCTCTGCCGTATAGCTCCGAGCTAGGCCCGTAGTTTCTATCAAAGTACTCATTACCACCTCGTTCCTCCCGACTTTCGTACTCCAGGTAATCGCTGCTGTAATGCGATTCGTCCACGTCGCGGTGATTGTAGTAAGGGTCGTTTTGCTGTTCCGGTAATTCGTCTCTCTTCTGTTTATCCGCGTTTAGCAAGGACGCCAGGTGATCGTGGTCCCTATCTTCGGGAATAGGATACTCCGGTGACCAGCCATCCATGAATATCGGATGATAAGGCGGCACGTGGCCCTTCCATTGATCGCGTGGGACCAACCAAGTGTCTCCCAACGAGTGCCAGAGTTCAGTTTCCTTGCTGGTTACGCAATTTATCAGCAGATTGACAGCTTCTCGCGTCAGAAGCGGCGACACCACCTTGTTCGGTAGGTTCGGGTCGTAATTGGTGTCGTGAGACGCGTCTACGATAAGCGCGAGCGGCGTGAAGAGGAAGTGCACGAGTTCGGGCGCGTTGGGATCGTGAATGTGCGCCTTGAGCTTAGCCAGCAGGTTGAACGAAAGCTTGAACTTCTGGAAAATATCAATGAACTCCATCTCAGGCGGCGGTTTCGCCCTCATCGTCAGCATACCGTCGCCCAAGTTCCTCTTCTTCGACTTCCGGTTGCGTTTTCGACGCTCCAGTTCTCGTGACGCAGCTGCTGCATGCTGCAAACGCGCGATAAACTTCTCGATGTCGTCGAAGCAGTGGTTCAGAATCGTCACGTCGCGCTCGTACTTCTCCGACGACGTCGATGATACCTCATCGTTATTCTCTTCCCGGGAGATGTCATTCTGATTGTCTGCTGCGTTGTAAATATACACAAAAATATTATATAAATATTATATAAAGTATTATATTTATAAAATATATAAAATATTATGTGAAATATTAATCTTCAACAATTACATACCACTCGCCGTGTTGAAGGTGGACACCTGTTCCCTGACATTTACGCCGTTCAGAGGTGGTTCCGGAGGCGGTAAGGTCGGCGGAGGTGGAATGTGACCTCTGGGACCCCTGGGCGAATCACCTGTAACAAGTTTTCCCATTTGCAACATCTTCAGGTCCTCGACAAGGTCTTGCGCCGATACACTCTGGCATTGGAATATGTGCATCTCCGCTCGCTGGCCGGAACCGCTATCGTCGGCCACCGTGAAGACTAAAATGTTATTGTACATCTCCATGGGATCCCTCGATGTGAAGGCTGTCGGTTCCTGTATCAAGGAAGCCGGGAATCGTTCCATGACAGCCTAAAAAATTGCAATCGTATATTATTGAGTGAAGCTACTTTTTCGTATAAAATGACAAATGAAAATGTTGATACAAATTGTTAAGATAGCCCTCAACTATCATAAAATTTTATTTTAGCTTCAAAAAGAGAAAAAGAAAAGAAGAAAGATCGTAATAAGTCTTATTGAAGGTTGAGAGAATTTAGGATGAAAAATATATGGATTTAATTAAAAACGTTATTAATTCTCATGATAATTTTTGATTAGTATATTTATGGTAAAATTTTTAAGAAAGAGAAATCACCCCCGTTTCGTTGTCCATGATAAGAACCCAGTTTCGTTCCAGACGGAGCTGCATTTTTTGACTCCAGATGCCATTGCTTTTCTCTAATTGTAAAAGTCGTCGCATTCCATCCGCCGGATAAACAATACCAGTTTCCTTCGTGACGGTGAACGTGGCCAAGTGCTCCATCATATACGTCGGCTCCGAGCTGCTAGCTCGACCACCAGAAGTGCTCGATGGCCCGCTGGAACTGCCATCTAAAATATGACATTTTTTAAATTAATTCAGTCATTTAAAAATCTTTTTTTCTTTTGTCACTCAATTTTTGAAATATTACAGAATGTAATTTTTTTATAAACTTTTTTTAGTCTTTTAATTATAAAGGTCCGATAATAATCGCCTCACTTTCCAAGTCACAAAAAATGTATAAAAAATATTTAAAACTCATTTTCGACGATATTTAAAAAATTAAAAATAATTAAAGTTAAAATAATAACTTAGGTCCTTTTCATTAATTAAAAAACATTTATTTTAACAATAATGTAATATAAATATTTAATAAACGTTCTTTTAATAATAAAAAGGGATTTAACAATTATTTTATATAATTATATGAAATAATTGTAAATTAATAATTAATGAAAAAATAAATATCCAAAAATTCGAGCACAAAAACGCAAAGGAAATGGTCTAGTGTTACTAGATATTCAACAAAGCGTTAGGATTAATAATCAAGTTTAATTATGTATTACGTCTATATATAGCAACCGTCTAACAATGGGATCTTATATTGATAAGATTATTACCGGACACTCTCTGTACAACTAGTATAATTTCATTAAATTTTTCTTTTCCAAGTCTAATTTGTTCTTCCTTTATTTTTAAAATAATACAAAATATTTTTAACTTCTTATTCTTGTTTGTGATTTGTTATTCTGATTTTTTGTACATTTACATAAAGCTATTCCTTGTTATTTCTTCTGCAGTTTGAAATAATGAATCAAATAAGATTAGCAGAGAAATAATATAGGATATTAGTTGAAATTTACTTTAAAATGTGAAATTATACAACTTTGTTTCCGCGATATAATAAGATTACTCACCTTTATAAGCGGGACTGTGACTGCTATTATAGTACGGCATCATTAACAGGATGTACCGATCCTGATTATAACTGAAACAGAGAAAGAATGAGTTACAAATGTATCGTTGTGAAAGGAACTCTGAATCATATGTCAGATAACAATTCGTCATGAGCAACGAAAAATCTTAATTGACCTTCAAAGTTCGTGTTTGTCCGTTTAATTTATGTGCATCCAGTTTTTCGTTTCTTCATTCCGAACCGCATAATTAATCATAATAGACTCCGGATTACATGCAAAACATTATAATTTGTTCACATTATTAATGTGATATATGCAATTTGCATGTTTGTTACTTTTTACATATTCTAGCATTAATAATGTCAATAAATGATGATGTTTTCAATTAATTAATATTAATTAGTAGAATATGAAAAAAGTAACAAATATGCAATTTGCATATAATCCGAAGTCGAATTATAAAGATATTGATGTTACCAATCATCAAACAGTCAGACAACAATTTAATAGCTTAAATGACTAATATAATTATATGTATATTAATATAATAGTAACATATTTGCACGATATTTGTCCGATATACATATATAAATCCAACTATCGAATCAGAAGTATCATTTTTATAATAATTTTCCATTTCCTTGCCAAAGTAAAATTTGAAAATTTTTTTGTTACATGAGGGAAATCTATCACGAATTTTTATTTTTATCTTTTTTTCCTGGTTTATTAAATTTTATTATAAAAGTAAAACTTTACATTGAATGAAGCTAATTATTTGCTAGATATACTTCACTTGTCATTTAATTTGCAAGTAACTTTCATGAAATTCATTTTTTACACGAAAAATATTTATCAAAAATAATGTCTCAAATAATAATGATATAAGTGAATTATATTTATATTTATACAAAATTCTTATAAGGCAATTTTAAGTTTATTTCTTTAATTTTATCAAATTTAATGTACATTTAAAAAAAATTGGTTAACTTGACTGAACCTTTCAACTAAATTACAATTTTGTTAATATTATAATAGTATTTAAGTCAAATATATGTTTTATTAGATTTAATGTGTTATATTATATTTAAATCAAATAGTTTTATATGTTGAATTAATAAAATAATATTAGGTTGAAAGATTCTGTCATGTTAACAAATTTTTTTCAGTGTAAAAATAAATCTGAAAAAATATGTAAATTACGACAAAAAATGTTAGATCGTGTAAAATATGAAATATAATCAGTCGCTTTTAGTTCTCTCTCTCGCACCTTTTATAGGTAGCTATTCGACTGAACGTGAAAGAATTCCTGTGCACGGTGCGAATCTAATGCTCGGGCATAAGGATCTCGACAGCGACCTAATGTACAGTAATCATAGCAAAAAGGGAAGGGAAAAAGAAGGAAGGTGAGAGTAATATAGGCTTCAATGTGTTTGTCCCTCCATTAAAATGCGAATGTGTTTTCTTGCGTGCCAGAAATTCCTCGTCAACGCACCGAATTTCGGATTTCCATTTATATAGAAGCTTTCAATTGCAATTCTTATTAATATTTTTTAATCGTTCATAAATATTGGTACAGTTGTGTGGGACTTCACATTGCGATATAAATACATAAGCAAATAAGCATGCATGAATTACGTCAGTTTCTTTGACACGATAATTATTATTTAATGATACTCTAATACGTTATACCTATATGCAATGCATGTGGGATGCACATGCAAATTGCAGAAAGCATAGAAAATTCTCAATAAGAATACGTTTGCATGCAAAGATGATTCCACATTACGTTAATATTTATTAATCGATATCAAAATTAAATTTATTTCTTTATACACATATACATTTTATTTAATACATTTAATTTTAACGTGTGCATTTAATATTTTAAAAATATAAAATATTTTGTTCGAAAAAAATACTGGAATAAACATAATTTGATCTCTTGAACGAAAGATATTTTCACATGAAACTACACTGTAAAAAATATGCAAATTTACATAAATAATTATTGTAAAATTTCGCGATAATTAAAGAAAATATATATATTTTCATTATTTACGGTGTAATTTTACATTTACTATTTATGTAATTTTACATATTTTTATATGATGTATTACACATTTTTTTATAGTATATGTAAATGGAACTTATTAATTAATAATTGATATCAAAATTAAATTTATTGATTTATACATTTCTAGTTTCAACATGTGCTTATTTTTTTCGAAAAAAATATTTGAAAAAAATAATTTGGCCACCCAAAGTTGACCTCTTGTGCGAAAGATATTTTCACACGGAACTATATAAATGAAACTTTGATCGTTCCACTCTCATACATACATAAGATCGGAATGCCGGTCAGAAAGAGAGAGAGAGAGAGAGACATGTTGAAAGTAAATACATACATCGTGCGGACATGAGTATACATATATAAGCCTGAAAAAGTGGAAAGAAAGTTGCCAATACACCTCGCATACCTACACCGATCTATTCGTGTTGAGTTGCGAACGAGTTTTGAGCTGTGAATGAACTGAGCTGCAGCACCAGGAATCAACTTTTCAGTTTGACTCGCTGATTAATTATAAAGGATTCCCTCGCGATCGGTTAGATCTGTTTCTCAAACGTGTTTATTCCCACATCGCCTATTGTGCACCGAAATAAAAAAAATGTTAATTTTTTTTAATCGCGAGCTTGAAATCTCCTTTGCATTTCAAAAGTATAAAGGCATGAGAGATATTTTTCATAAACCTAGTTTTTCGTAGTTTGAATTGATAAATGGGATGATTCATTTTTTTTTATTTTAACACAGACTAATTTAAAAATCACGGAATTTTAGAAAAAAAATATATCAGACCAAATTTCACATAATTTCGTGACCTAGAATTAGCCTTGAGTGGTGTTTTTTAAGGTCATTTAAGAATCAACCTAATTTTTTTTTTTAATGAAAATAGAAAGATCTTTATGATTTTTTTATAATAATTTCTCTCTCCGTTCTTCAATATTTATATAATCCTTTTCACAAATTTACACAGTAATTAAACATAATATTTAATTAAATATAGTGAAATATGCGTGTTAAATGATACGTGAGACGTGTTAAACGTCCTAATTATAAAAATGCTAATTGTAGAAAAATAATTATAGATGATCTAAATTATGGCGTGTGAAATATAACAATATGTGATTAATGTAACATTTATCTTCAATTAATAATTAATAATAACATGTATTGTATATTAAAAGTTATATATAGATATAGATATTTTATACGAGCCAATTATATTTTTGTTTGTGTATTATTTAATTAATATTAATTTGGTATGTTATTACAAATGATATAAATAAATTTCGAAATCGTGTTTATCAAAGCAAAATTTGCAGACAATAGAAAACTGCCTTTCACTAATCGCTCGAATATATTAGCGTATTTAAGAGATGCACGTATATGTATATATGCAAACATATATGTTTAAACCGCAAGGAAGAACATCGCATGTCAACGTCAAGACGATTCGCTTATGAACGTAAACAATCTCTCGGAAAATATGCTCAAGTGGAATGTGTGACGCTTAAATATATGCCGAGATTTTCTAGATGGCAAAGCCTATCCAGGAAAGAAGGTGAAAAAAAGGCAGTCCCCGAGTCGACGAAAAAGGAATTCGTATATACTTTTCATAATGACAAGCATATAACTCGCGGCTTCCGGTATATCTTTTCTCTTTCTCTTTTTGCAATATAATGCACAGATGTGAAAACTTGATGATTCTATGAAAAACGTGATAGTGATATCTGTTATTAAATAAGTACTTCGGAATATTTCAGTATAAAAATTTGTTCGACTACTAGATATATATATATATATATATATATATAAAAAGATAAGAATTTCTGCTTTTATTTTGCACTGCTATGTAATAAGTGTAATAAAAATAAAAATATGCATATCGATAATTCTGCGATAAGTTCATCGAGTGAGTAAACATGTTAGCTAAATGACATACATATATAAGACATTATAACTGAATTATGTAATACAAAAATGCGGTAAAATTATATATTCATAGAAATATCATGTTCAATTGCAAATATATATTTATTAAAAATAAAAGAAAATAGAAAAAATGCTTTTAATGTTTATAGATAGACAGATGGTGTATGAAAAATTATACTGATGGACATTAAGAAATATTCTCGATGTGTGTCACGAAATCGCAGATGTATTAGGAGGTCAACAAACTATTGCTATATGCAGCTGCGTTTTCCATATGTATGCTACGTATGCTAGATTATAACTAGAACGTTATTAAAGCCAATGTGCACAATATCAAAACAACAATGTTACTATAAAACTGTTTAATTGAATTAAATAAATTTAATTAAGTAAATTTAATTTATAAATTAAATAAATTAAATTAAAAACTATATCACTATTTAATTAAATTACAAATAGAATTAAAATTTTCTGACTTTTAAAGTGCTTTGATTTTTTCTTTGTAATAATAAAGAAAAATACGTCTCATTTTATTTAGAGAACCATCAATAAAATTATTTAGGTCAATAATCTCTGCTTTATATTTTTCATCAAAGATAACACATAATCAAATTAATTGCATTACGATAAATCATCAGAAATATCAATTTGCCACAGTTTGTACACTGAAAAAAATTTATTGAATTCGAAGTTAAATATTTTATTTCAATACTACCTTATAAATCATTAATTTGAAACTAATGATTTGATTGTGAAAAAAATATCTATTTGACATAAGAAAATTCTCAAAATTCTTCAAAACAGATAAATTTGTTTCTAATAAATGATTGAATGATAAGGCAGTATCAAAATAAAAATCTTTATTAATTTAATAATTTGTTTTCAGTGTAAGCTCCTCAATTTAATCTATCGTGAACATATATTGAAATGACGAGAATCCATAAACGCAATAATAAGCATTCGCGAATCTGTGTCACGACTGGTCTCACGTGGGAGAGATCAGTCATCGTAGGCGTGAATTACAGGTGTCGTTTGACGATGGGATACAAGAGATGATACGACGGGATCATCGTTCAAATATAAACTCAAGCGGATTATATACTGTAGGAGTTTCCTTTCTCGAGCGAAGAAAAAATATCGAACTCTAACTAGGACTCGAGTCTAGTACCTTCTTCAATACATGTAGACTCTGCTATTGACAAGAAAACTTTACAAACCCAAAAATTCTGTCTTTTATAAAAATTATACACGTGTAAGAGGGATAAATAAATTTTTTAATATTTTTTAGACCTCAACTAAACATTTTTAATTCGTCTATTTATTTTCCCTACATGGAGAGAATTTTTTCTTATATTTTACCACAAAATTCTACTACAAATTTTATGGTTGGTGATAAGCTGAAAATTATGATTATGCTCCATGTTAAAATTTATAGAAAATATTTTATATATGTTTATCACTTTTTTGGCATCTATTCTATTTATAATACTTAAAAAATCATATTTTATTTTTTAAGATATTTATAATATTTATAATATTTATAAATATTAATAAAATATTTAATTTTTTAATATATTTTAAAATTATTGAAATTTTATTATATATTTTAAAATTAATCAAATATATTTTATATCTTATCGCGGTAGATATTATTTTTTATTGTGGTAAATATATTAATCAGAGAAACTCTTATAAAATTCTTTACGATTACTATGATTTTCAAGATAAATTCTAAGAGAAAATTCTCTATCACTGAATAAAAAAACCTCGCATACCCAAAAATTCTGATTGATGAAATTTTACACACATGTAGGAGGAATAAATAAATAAATTTTAAAAAATTTTTAATTTGGGCCGCAATGAAAAATTCTAAATTCCTCTATTTATCTCTCCTACAATTAAAATTCTTGCAAAGTCCGAATTATTGGGTTCGCCAGGTTCTTTGTGTCAATTGCATATCTAAAATGAATGTAAACATGATCCACGTAATATACAATGTATAATATGACAAAGTCTTGACGTCATTCTCGTCGATTATGTACGTATTATACATCATGCGGTCATTACTAATAAATGACGAACACAATACAGTTGTGTTGTGACAGAGGAATGCAGTTCGCAAATGTCACGGGCGAGCAGCGACACGGGATTAGGGCTTAAGAGAAGCCTGAGGAATGTCTGCATTTCTTCTCCTCTTGCGAGATATCCCTCGTTTTTACCTGCCTACTCGATAAAAAGATGCCGACTTTCGCGGTTCCGGGCTACAAATACCGATTCCTATTTATAAATAACCATGCGTTGCGCTTTTAAGCCTTAACGAATGCAATGATCGTTTTTTCACGAAGAACGAGACATATAATATTTTTTTTTTAATCCAAAAAGATAAAAAGAAACTATCGTGACAGGAAAAAATTATCGTAAATAAATAAAGACTGAAAAAAATTGTTAAATTAACTAAATTTTTAAACTAAATTACTATTTTATTAATTGGACAGATATTAATATTTAACTCACATAAACAGTTTTATTAGATTTTAATGTTATATTTTAATTTAAAATATTTCTATATGTTCAATTAAGAAAATAGTATTTAGTTAACAAATTTTTTCAGTGCACTGTTTATATACATAAAAAATAAATAAATAAATAAATAAATAAATAAATAAATAAATAAATAAATAAATAAATAAATAAATAAATAAATAAATAATAATAAATAAATAAATAAATAAATAAATAAATAAATAAATAAATAATAAATAAATAAATAAATATATATATATAAATTGTAAAACGCAAATTTTGTGATTAAATACTTATCGCCGATAAAAAAATAGAAATTACACGTAACACAATTACTGGATAAAATAAAAAAAGATGATCAAAGGTCGGCGATCGATGAATCATCAGAGATCATCGTTACAGATCACGATAATGATAGTCTGATAAGAATTGGCAAATCAATAAAAAATACAATAGTTAAAAGAATCGATGTCGGGCGTTTGTCATAGATATTATAGCATTTGTGTGTATGAAGGAATAATCTTTATGGCTAATTCTTAAAATTACGATTAGAAAATATTTTTTCCATAAATGCATCGCTAAAAAATTATTACTAATAATAAAAGACTACTAAAAAACATATATAACAATTTTAAAATATTTCTTACAAATAAAAATTCTTTCAATATTATAGAGATTTAGATTTTATATAATTGGATTTTTAAATATTAAATATTATATTAAATATATATATATATATATTAACATAAATATTCTATATTATAATTATAAAAGACGCGAGAAAAAACTTACTATGTATAATTTAGATAAAATATCTATGTCCGATAATTAAAGTATATCATATCATAATTGAAAAACTTGTCTTAATCTCAAAAGCACTTCCATCTTCAATCATTACTTAATTAGTTAATCGCGCAGGAAAACCGTGTAAAACCCCATTCTCTAATGTCATTGAAAATGCACAGTCGCACGCACACCATAGTATATAACAGCATCCTCTCTTTTCCCCCTCTCTACCCTGTACATACACATATATTCAACATTCCAATGGAATCATTCGTGAATTTATGAGGAAAAAGCAGCCGTATTTTTTATAATATACAAATTCTGTCTTTACACAAAATATCGAACTAATTTCCAAAAATTATTCTCTACCCCAAATTATTTATTTATTTATTTATTTCTCAGCTTATTTTCGCCAAATTATTTCATTTATTTATTTATTTGAAATTTTATGATATAAAAATAAAAGTAGTATATTTAAATATTATATTTAATAATACACATTATATATTTTTATACAATTAATTCTATATTATTAAATAATTATATCATATAATTAAATTAATTTTTATAAATAATTATATCATATAATTAATTTAATATTTTATTTTATATTATACACACATGTTTGCTAATACGTATATATGTAAAAGAATGAAACATTCACTTACATAATTAATTAGAATGTCAAAATAGGAAGGCCAAATTGTTAAAATATTCACGTCAATGAATTTTCCATCAATATTTCACTTCTCCGATTTTGAATAATACAGCTTCGCCATAAAAATTCTGCTTATTACTCGAGCAAATTGTTTCCACATTTTCTTCTTTAATCTAGGTTCTCATACTCGCTGCGGCTTCCCGTCGACCCGGTCGTGACCCGGAGTCTTCTAAAACGCAATATATCGCGAGCACAAAGTGTTACCTCCGAACGTCCGAATCTCAACGTCGTGGGCAAAAAAATGAAACAACGCGAACGACGCGCGTCTTTTATCGGGCCGATTTTTATCTGCCATACGTCTCTGCCCGCTCGTCATCGCTCGCAGAGGCCATAATAAGCACGCACAGGCACGCAACCGCGGCCATGCAGAAGATGGCAACAGGTGCGCGTGACCGGATGATTCGTCCCGGCTTGTCGAGAAACGGCGCGATCCTCAACATTCACAAATAAATATTAAATTCTCGAGAACTTATATCCACTCCATAATATTCGAAGCTGCACCCTGGGAGGAATTTTTATTATTATTATTATTATTATTATTACTAGGAACTCGCGTCCCCCGGGATCTGAAGTTATGCGCAAAGATGATGATGATGATGATGATGAAGAAGAGAAGATGGAGAATTCGCTCTTACCTTATTTACAAATTTGTCGCACCCAGCGAATGACAGACGGTGACAGATGGGCGGAGGGGAGGTAGGAGGGGGAGACTCGGTCCCTTCGGGTTCTCGAGGCGATGACGAAATTCCTCACGTCCCGAACATGCTCGACCGCAAACGCTCCGGCGACTGACTGAAGCTCCGATCCTCGTCGCCTACCTGCCTCAGGTGCGCCTGACGTAACGCGGCGCGCCATTGGCTGGACGCCGAGCCGAGACCAAGATGGCGGACGGATCGCGTTGGAATCTGCGCCGATCTACGTCATCAGGATCGTGCGCGCCGACGACGTTCCAGAGGATATTTTCGCTTCGTCGTGAAAATGTCTTCTTTTTTTTGCTTTTTAGGTTTACTATTTTAAAATAGATTGACACGATACTGAAGAAGCTGAAGGATAAATATATGGAAATTATAAGGTTTTTTTTTTTTTTTTGAGGGAAAATATTTGGCGCGAGGCGCCGCGATGACGTTACGTTACTCTGGGAAAGAACGTTTATCCGAGGACTGGTATCTCGAACCAATAAAACTACCTGTTATAAAGGAAGATTGTGAAGAATGTGATTCTAGAGAGGAAAAGGTGGAAAGCACCTGTTGAGCGCGGAATGGCGAACCGATTTAAAATATTGCGCGCGAATGTGTTACTATAATTTATTTAATTGATATGAAATATTTAAGTGGAATTAATCAGTTCGAGAAACATTACATTTACGAAATTTATGTGCTATGCCTTGTTTGTATTTCGTGCAAGAGAAATCAGTATTCATCTTTAATCAATATTAACTTTAAAAAAACTTGTAAGATTAACATAAACTAAAAAAATATATATATAATTAAATATATACATATAATTAAAATAAAATAACAGTTTTTCTAATTGTAAGATGTACGAAGTTCGATATAAACAAAAAATAAAATATTCTTTAATAATTAATAATTAATTAGATTCTTTTGTACAATTTAAATATGTTTTACATTTTGCCTAAATATTCTGCATAAAAAAAGGAGCAATGGATTTGCATAAAGAAAATCCAAGTTTTTTTTTAATATATACATTAGTTCACATAATTTTTTATTTCAGCATTGACGTTTCATCAGTATTTTACAATGTACTACTTGGATGTACGTATTATTTATATTACAAAAATCTACTCACTTGTATTTTACGTATCATTTTCATAATCTTTGGGATTTTTGCGAGAAAGAATATTATTCTTCTCCTTTGCCCAATTTACAAGCAAGTAGGAAAACATGAAAACTGTAAAAAATAAATAATTCTTCATTAGAACATTAAAATGCATTGTCCAATTAGAAAATGTGATTATTAACATATTGCGAAGTAAATTTTGCATGTTTTGCCACCTATGTCAGAAATTTTCACTATTAAAAGCGTATAATTTTAAAATATACAATATATAATTGAATTGTTGCCAATATTATGATACATAATGCATTTATCTTACTCTTTCTAGTTACTCTTATGTCACATTCATATACTTGATGATCTGTAAATGTAAAAACTTTGACTACTTGTTCAAGAGATCATTTTAAATCAAATATAATTATATGAATATACATAAATCTTATTTCAATTACATTTCAAGTTTATATTCGAGCTTAAAGAACACATTTTAAACATTTGTTATAATTCACATGTCAGATTATTTTCCAATAATTAATTTACAAGTAGAATGTTTTGTCTTTTGAATTATGTAATTAAAATAATATCTATTATTATTATATTAATACAATTTTTATCTCTTATATAACTATACTAATTGAAATAGAATTTGTTCGTATAATTCATTTTTTAATTAAAATGATCTCCTAAACAAACTGTTGAAATTTTTTACATTAATGTATATAACTCTATATTATTATTTAGAAGTTTAAAAGTAATATGACTTATATGCAAATGTTTTAATTGATTTAAATATTGTTACTCGCAAGTAATCACCATAGAAGAGTTAATTACTGGTCACTGGTGGCTCCCATGACATTTAACATGAATAATCTTGTAATTATCAAATATGCTTACAAGGTGCAACACGGAATACACGATCGTAGAATCGCCTTGCCAAGTTTGGTACGCCTTCAGAGATTAGCCCTTTGAAGGCTTTTTGTTCATATGGACTAAGCCGAAAATAGACAATGCCATTGATTTTGGCAAGATTTCCAAATTGTTTCCCCATGTTGGCAAAAATCTAAAAATGAAAAATTTTTGATTACACACATCTAATTGATAAAACATAATTCTCGAACAGTCATAATAATGTAAATGGTTTTTAAAACGTTTCGTTTAAATTCAATATCCTGAAATTAAATCATGTTTGGACACTAAATAAAATATATGATAATATTATATAATTATATATAACCTTCCTCCGTACACTTACTCAACCCACAACATACAAGAAGAATTTGCAGTCAATTCTCTTCCATATCGATTTTTCTCCAAAAGCGCCATCTGGTGACTATCCGATGTATTTAAGGTTTGTTCTTTATTATGACTGAACTCTCTTTCCTAATACTGAAAATTTTATAATTTTATTATAGTCTAAAATTAATAAATTTGCTTATTTTTGATAATTTAAAAAAAATGACAATTTTGACAACTAATAACGTCTCTAGACATCAAAATGACATATATGTTTGCTACTTGTCTAATTTTCTTAAAGATAACATAATTTTGATATTATATATGTCAAAATGACATTAGCTTGCTACCCAGATAGACATATATCCCAGATAGCACCATGTCTAAAATGCACGCATAAGTCATCATTAAGAAATTTTTAAGACATCTTTAAGAAATCTTATATGATATCCCAAAGACATCTTGAAAACATCTTAAAAATGTCTTAGGGATGCATTTTGGACATGGTGCTGGGATATTAACAGATTACTTGCATAATATTTTAAAATTGAAAATGTTTGCATAAACATTAACAGATGCATATCTTCATGACATGAGTATTATCATGATCTTATATTCTAATCCTGTGAAAATTACGAAAATATGCTGCTTATTTCGTCAGAAATATAATAATTGTAGTTGTGCGTTTATAGTAAAGTAAAACATATTGCTATTTTATAAAATATATAAAATATATGTTAACAATATGACATTATATACATAATGCGCAATTAAAATTTATTAAAATGATTCGTAATTTTATGCTGTTTCTAATTGCATTACAAAGTATATACATAAAATGTTTGCATACTATATGTTCAGCATACATATGTCTATCTGGATACTCGTCTAATTTTCTTAAAAATAACAATTTCGACATTTAATAACGTCATTAGCTGTCAAAACGACATATATGTTTGCTAATTATATAATTTTCTTAAAAATGATAATTTTGACATTTAATGACGTCACTAGCTGTCAAAACGACATATCCTCGCTACTTGTCAAATTTTCTTAAAAATGCCGTATGCTTGCAACTTGTCTGATCGAAATGTCAAAATATGTAAAGAAACTTCAGACTCAATCCACAACAGTTACCCACTTGACAGCTCCGACTCGACCAATCAGCTGATCGGTAGCTGCGCTCTGATTAGTGGATCCACAGACAGTCCATCGCTCAAACGTCAATCATGCGAAGAAGCCTTTACCGAAGAATCCAATCAGAAGCCTCCGCTGGAGGTCCTAACTTTTACTTCGCGGATCTACATCACACATCCTCCAGCAAGTGAAGAAGTAGGGGAAGCAAGCGAACACACGGAGGAGTTCGGAACGGAGAGTTACGTGCAGTTACGGTGGCTCGTGTGGGTAGGTGTACGGCGTACCCGTCAATGTTACGTCCGCGTGATCTCTCGCCCTCGTCGCGCGTCGTTGATTGTCAAGCAGCCCGTTCCAGGTGAACGCCTTCGCGAAGATACACCGGGGTAGCGGAACATGGTCGGTCCAGAAGGCTACGCGGTGACGCACTCGCCAACAGCGGGTAGTCGAAACTGAACGCGTCCAGGCGAAAAGGTAATCCTTATCCGCGAGAGAGAGACTCTCCCGAGCGCGTGCATGCGTACGTACGTGCCAGCTAGCAGCCAATCAGCCAACCGGAGCGTCGTCAGCAGAGGTAGCCGAGGTCTTCCCCCGTGGAATCATGGGCTCGCGGAGCAACGAGAGTCGTAACTCCGGGACGAATCATCATCATCATCAACAGCAACATCATCATCATCATCAACCTCAGCAGCAACGTTGCGCCCAAGACATGGCCTGCGAACGCGCAGAGAACGACTTTGAGTTCCTGGTACCGCCCGAAGCACCGGTGTTCGAACCCACGAACGAGGAGTTCCATGACCCTCTCGCCTACATCGCCAAGATTAGGCCGATCGCCGAGATGTCCGGCATCTGCAAGATCAAACCTCCGCCTGTGAGTAGCCGAGAATTTAGCGGAATCGCTAGAGCCTGTCCTCGTCCTCTTTCGTCATTTCGATGATGATAATGGGACCTTGTAGGAATGATGCCACTGTAGAGGGTCATCGTCATCGAGGAGAACGAAGGATGTCTAGAATTATTTTATTTTCCTCGAGAAAGAGAGGGAAACGACACTTCTCTTTAGCAATATTATGCATGCGAACCTTTTTTCCTCGTACTTGTATTTCTGGTAGTTTTTGTTCTACATTCTTGGGATAACTAGAACTGTCAATGATAATAGAAAAAGAACGAAGGCAGGAGAAGGAAACAAGGACTCGAGGCGTTCAACGACGCACGCCATTTCATACATGTATTCCATATTTACCTCGCATGTGAAATAATTAAGCATGTTGCGTCGTTGCATCAACGGGCCGAAAAAATGAGGAAAAAAGGTTCTTGCAATTGTCGAGAAGACGCTAGATATGAAACACAGATAGAAAGGAGGAGTTTCGCTATTAATTCTTCCTTCTCTTTTCCGTTCTAATGTTTTATCAGATAATGTTTAATGGGTGTATCGTGACTTCGATGACGACGACCGAAACAGTGGCAATATATGAAGAAAAATAAATATGTCAATATAAATACGTTTTAAATTAAATAAGGTCTGGCAAATTATAACAACGTTTATTAACGATACTAACGACCGAAACGAGACAACAACGCCGTATAAAATGGCCGTGATAATAGGAGAATAAATGTCACGTTGAGGAAATGTTACAGGAAGTGCTCAATAAATGTGGAAAAAAAGGGAAATTGGGAAACGTTGTGCTTTTTCGAGAATTTTTAAACGTCAAAAGTTTGGTTTCGACAAATGTCATGTATATTTTTCAACTATTTCGCATAATTATAAATTTGAAACAATTCTTTTAAAATCTCGATTATATATTCCTGATGGGATCAGAATCTCTCCACGCGTTGCATAATTTTTTCCCCACGCTTGTCATCTTTCACTCCGCAAAGTTGCCGAGTAACTCTGAGGAGGCCTGATGTTTCGGATCTGAAGAAAGGAAAATTCTTTGCGCGAGACTTTTCTCCACCTAGGCGAAAGCGGTGTCCTTTTTAACAGAAATGTCCTACGATTTTTCACTCCCACGTCATTGATTTACGCCACCATTAGAAACGATTTGCGACCACCATCTTGTTTCCGCGAGCAAAGAAGAACAATTCGGGCCGGAAATCGAACCTTTTCTCTCTTTATTACGGAACAGGCGTGTATTCGCGACACGAATATACAGATTTGGACGAATCCGCGAATTATAGGTATAGGCTCGCGTAATCGATACGAGATACCGATATGTATATATATATATATATATATATATTTAATGTAAAAATGCTTTCATCGTAATTTCATAACGCCGCTAATAAAATATAATCCGACTATCTCGAAAAGTCGTCGTGACATTATTATATTTGACAATGAGTGTTTTGCATTGTGCCAGCCTTAATTAATGAACGTATTTGTCACTTTGACATATATATATCTAAAATATATATATTTTTTATTTTATTTTTATTTTTTTTTATTTTTTATATATGTATTTAATTTTTTTTAATATTTGTGTTCTAAATAGATTTTTCTCACTTTTTTGACTATGCTACATTTTTGTCTGTTCATAAAATTCGCATTATTTTGACTTGTTTTGCAAGATGCAGATTGCGAGAATTAAGAGTGTAATTGTTAAAAATGAGCGAAGTAATAGCAATTTTTAATAATCGAAATCACGTATTTACATATTTCTTGAGAAAAATAGTCATACATAAATGCGAATAAATACACGCGATTAAGTATATCCTTGTCATTTTCTCTCAGTGCCAAAAACAACGTTAAAGCGCCACAAACTCGAGTGATTATTGATTTTTATTTACGTGGCTAAAATCAATAGTTGATAATTAACTATTTCACTACAAATCGTTAATCCTTGTACAGAAAAATTTTAGAAATTTGCTTCATGATATATGCATTTTTTTGCTCTCTTATTAATTAACAATCAAATTTATGTGAGTAATGCTATATAATTTAATTACGAATTTGTATCGTTTTTATCTAATCATTATTGCATGATATTGAAGAAAGATTTAAAATTGTTTTGTTTATCTCATCAATAAGTGTAACGTAATGTGTGAATTTCATTGAAGACGTAGTTTTTTATTCTGATGCGATTAATTCGTAGTGTTATTTATTCTTTGAGTCATTTTTAGTATTAAACAATTAATACAGAAACTAAATAAATTTAAAATTCAATTAATTTTTTATTTTGTAAAATATAGTTTCTCGAGATTTTTGAATAATTTTTTCAACTTTTAATAAAACTTTAATACAGTTCTGATAAAATTTCTCTTTTATTATACACGAGAAAGTACAAAAAAATGGTGCATGTATAAAACATAAAATATGCAATATTTCATGAGAATGAAATTTATCTGGGGAAGCAGTAAAAAAAACTGCGAAATATATTTGATTATTTATTATTTATTTTTACTTATTGCATATATATTATATTTTTCTTGTTTTGACATATAGAGTTATCTCAATAAAATAAAATATGATAGACTTCGAAATTTTATTAAATATTTTTACTCTTTTAAATATTTGTATGTGTACAATTTATCTTAATTTTTTTCTTTTTAGAGTATAATTTGTGTTCATTTATCACTGTTGGATTTATTGTTAGATTAATATAAGAAAAAATTATATGAGATAAATCTTGTGGGTGGAATTTTTTGAAGTTTATGTTTTTTTTTCTTTTATGTTCAGCTGCTGTAAATTTATTAACTGATGCGTATATTAATATTTTAGATATATGTATAATGGAAGAATATGATTACTTTTTTGCAACAAAATGGCAGAAAAAATGATTTTTTTATGATAAACTAATAAAATAAAATAAAGCACTGCCCGAATTAATTCGAGCTTCAACAAATCTTGATGTATTAACGCCAGATTTTTTCTATTCGTGAATTTAAAAGTCAATTTTTTTTGCAAAAAATATTCAAATATTTATAATGTTTAGATAATGCAATAATCACAAACTTCACTATTTTTAATAATTTCGAAAACGGTTATATCTGTTATCATAAAACCTTCTTTTTCACTTAAATTTTTTAGAAATTTTATTTTTCGGAGTAATTTAAATGAAAACACTATAAATTGAAAAGTATGTACATACATGGGTGCATTAAAAAATATGATTTGACATTACTCACAATTCTTATATCTTTTGTCATCAGAATTATAAATTTATTAATTTAATTAATTAAATAATATTGATTTAGAAACTGAATTTAATATATAATTTCTTTATACAGAAAAAAGTGCAATTTAGTTTGAAAATTAAATCCAAATCTTATGACTCAAGATTAATAATTAACTCGATATTGCCAGATAAGATCACATATACATACTTTATACTTTTAAGCTACAACTACGTTATGATATAAGGAAGCTTTCACAATCAGAGCGTTTATCGATTACCTCATTTCATCGTTTTAACAAATAATTCCGGATGGTTTATATATGATGTACACATATTGTTTTATGGAATATATATTTAGAAACATGATTTGATTGTGCATTATTACTCGAGCATAAATTATGCATTATTGATTAATATTCGACGAGATATATAATTATAATTTTACTGCACTAAAATCATAGAAAGGACTGAGAGTCATAAAGAAAATATCTACTGCGCATTAAAATAATTTAATTGCCATTTTTTTAACAATGAAACAATAAGATGATAATCGTATATCGTGTCTCATAGAATTTTCCATGAAACATAATATTTTTTTTATAGATTATTATCGAGTTACACGATTTTTGAAATTACATAAATCTGTATTTTTTAGAACAAGATAAATTTTTTTTAAATGAATGTTATTTATTATATATATGCATGAATTATATTTATTAATTTTGAAATCAATCAATGTTTTTAAAATTTTATCCTTCAAGAAATAAAAATAATTTTTCTCAAGTCAAATTATTTTCCTGATAAATCAAACTTTTTGTAAAATATCTAAATAATTAATTGTAAAATAAGTAATATATATATATATATATAAATATTTATAAGATTCTATGATTTGTTGCAGAATTGGCAGCCACCATTTGCCGTGGACGTGGACAAATTCAAATTTGTTCCGAGAATACAAAGATTAAATGAATTAGAAGCTAAAACCAGGATAAAGCTTAATTTCTTAGATCAAATCGCAAAATTTTGGGAGCTCCAAGGTTCATCCTTGAAAATCCCGCTTGTAGAACGAAAGGCACTGGACTTGTATTCCTTGCATAAGATAGTCACAGATGAAGGTCAGTTTTACTTATATATTTTATTTATTATGTTTCATACGTTTATAATTCTTATTTATAATTCTAATCGTCATATGCAGGAGGCATAGAAACTGTAACAAAAGAAAGAAGATGGGCAAAAATTGCCAACAAATTGGGATATCCATCTGGACGAAGCGTCGGCAGCATATTGAAGAATCACTATGAGAGAATTTTATATCCATTTGATGTCTTCAAACAAGGAAAAATATTGTCAGATATTGTAAGTTCAAGTTTGATTTGCAGAAAAATCTTACAAGAAAGCATAAAATCAATTATGTTTAGTTTATTATTATATTTAGAATTATTTGTAAATAATTTTATTTTAATATAATTTTGTTCTATATAGAAAATCGAACCAGACTCGGACGTTAACGAGAAAAGGGATCGAGATTACAAGCCACATGGTATAATATCTCGACAGCAAATTAAACCACCGAACGAGAAATTCTCGCGACGGTCCAAACGATATTCCGGCCAAGAAGAAAAGCAAGATGTATGTATTAAACAGGAGGACTGTAAGGAAGAATGCGATTCAGATAACGAGTGCAAGGAAAAAGTTAAAAGCAGGTATTTCAATTTTGAGGACAAAAGCAAGGAACTTAAAAAGTTACAATTTTACGGACCAGGCCCGAAAATGGCCGGCTTTAATACCAAAGAGGGAAAGAAATCTAATAAGACACGCGGCTTGAAACTCGTATACGATTTCGATCCTGTAAGTATGATTCTAGTATTCTATTTAATATTATGCTTTTATATTTATTCTATCTTCTATCTATTTATTTATTATTACAATTTCTAATTAAAAGCCTGTGTATATTTAATTATTTATCAGGTAACTTTTATTAACTAAGTATTAATTGTCTTTATTTTTCATTTAGTTGGCAAAATACATTTGTCACAATTGCGGAAGAGGCGATAATGAAGAGAATATGCTGCTGTGCGACGGTTGCGACGACAGCTATCACACTTTTTGCCTTATGCCGCCATTAACGGAAATACCAAAGGGTGATTGGCGATGTCCCAAATGTGTCGCCGAAGAAGTGTCCAAGCCTATGGAGGCGTTCGGCTTTGAACAAGCGCAAAGGGAATATACGTTGCAACAGTTTGGCGAAATGGCCGATCAATTCAAAAGCGACTACTTTAATATGCCTGTTCATGTAAGTCTTCTCATTACAAAATATTTTTAAAACTATATATTGAACAAATTAACACACATATGTACGTGTATGTATGTCTGCATAAGAAATACTTAAAAGTTATGGTTTCACAGAGGGAAAAAGTTGATAATCTCGAATTTTAATTAAAAATAATGACGGGAATCAATTTTTATAAAGAAAATACATGTTTGTTTTTAAGAAAAAGGATTTAAAAGTATTTTCTCGCGTTATACAATCATAGACTATATTAATTAAAATGAAATATTATGTATATTATACATATTTATATTTACCTTTATTTTATATTTAATAATAATAATAACAAATAATAATAATAATTTAATAATAAATTGTTATTTGCAGATGGTTCCAACATCACTGGTGGAGAAGGAGTTTTGGAGAATAGTCTCGTCTATCGACGAGGACGTGACTGTAGAGTACGGCGCTGATTTGCATACGATGGATCACGGATCTGGATTTCCGACCAAGACTAGCGTCAATTTGTTTACCTGCGATCAGGAGTACGCCGAATCCTCGTGGAATCTAAATAACTTGCCGGTCCTTCGCGGCAGCATCTTGGGCCACATTAACGCTGATATCAGTGGCATGAAAGTTCCTTGGATGTACGTCGGCATGTGCTTCGCCACATTTTGCTGGCACAACGAAGACCACTGGAGCTATTCCATCAATTATCTACATTGGGGCGAACCAAAGACTTGGTACGGTGTGCCTGGCTCTCAAGCAGAGCGCTTCGAACACTCCATGAAGTCCGCTGCACCAGAATTGTTTCACAGTCAACCTGATCTGTTGCATCAACTTGTCACTATCATGAATCCTAATATCTTGACGCACGAAGGTACGTCGTTGTTCACTAAACTGAAAACTAAACAAGAAAATTTATATACAATTTGCTAGATTTTTCCTTTTTAATGAGAAAAAGATATTTTTTTTTAATTAATTTTTTTTTAATTTTTATATATATCAAAATAATTTTCTAATTATTTAACAGGAGTGCCGGTATTTAGAACAGACCAGCACGCGGGTGAATTTGTTGTAACATTTCCGAGAGCGTATCATGCAGGATTTAATCAGGGTTACAATTTTGCTGAAGCTGTCAATTTTGCACCTGCAGATTGGGTAAGTAAATCATTGCGATTTCGTCTTTCTAAGCTTTATTGAATGAGAAACACAGTTGGTGATGTTATAACATATTCAAGAATTCAAATTAATTATTTAAATATAAATAATATATTATAATAAAAATGTTGATTAAATTTGTACATTTATAAACTATACAAATTATACTAAACTATATCTTTTTCTCACCCCAGCTGAAGATTGGACGAGATTGTATCACGCATTATTCGAATTTGAGAAGATTTTGTGTATTTTCTCACGATGAGTTAGTTTGCAAAATGTCATTGGATCCAGATTCGTTAGACATCGGTGTCGCAACCGCTACATATTACGATATGCTACAAATGGTGGAGGCTGAGAAAAAATTACGAAAAAACTTGCTGGAATGGGTAAGTTTATATTTATATTATCAATACTTTCTGCTAAGTAACATTTAAAGCATTTATAAATAATTATTCTCTTAAGTTTATAAGTGAAAAATTTATGACATATTACATTTAAAAAATATGACAATTTAATAGGATTTTTCTAAAGTTTTTCTAAAACTGTTTCTAAGTATTTTGTTTTTTTATATTGACCATCACAATTAATTTTGATTTTTTATTCTTTAATTTCTAATATAAAACAAATATAATTTATTTTTTATATTATTTATATATAATTATATGCACATAAAATTATATATCAATTATATATACATTGAATTAATTTATATAATTTATATATAATTATATATAATTGACTTATGTATATATTTATAATTAGTAACTTTATATTACTAACATTATTGTATTATTTATTTATGTTATAAGTATTAATATATGAAATATATAGAGTATATTTGATATATAATTTCTCAATATTTAAAATCATTGTACATGAAAAAGTTTCAATCGTAATGAAAATCCTCTCTATATGCAAATTGACTAATCATAGTCCAATATTCTTATTATATTATAAGAAGAATATTATAAGAATGTTTGATTGCGACTGATCAATTAGCTTACAATTTACGATTAAAACTTTTTCACATGCAATGACCTTTGTAAAAGAAAATTTATTGAAATAATCTATATTCCATTATTATACATACTTTACATTCAATGCTAAATATAGCTGATTTTATTTTTTATTAATTAAAAAAAAATTTTTTTAAATTATTATTTACTTTTAATTTATTTAAATTTTTAAAATTATTTTTTTAATTATATTTTTAATATTTCTGTAATTTGCTTTACAATAATATAATCTGTATTGTAATTTCTGCATGTAATTTCTATAGTGTAAATCTGCATGTAATTTGATTTTTTGCATGTAAAAATCAATACGTTCTCACAGCAGAATTTCATTTCTCTCCATAAAAGGTATAGGAAGAAAAACGAACAAACCTAAATACGCTATCGCGCTAACATGTAAATCTTTCGAACACACACGGAGGCTGAATTCTACATACGGAAACTGGTAATATATTTGCCGCGAAGAGAGAGTCAACATATTCAGGCTAAGCAGTACACGCGTGACACAAAGCGCGCGCTCTCACGCACAAACACTCGTACCGCTCGTATGTGTGCGTGTACATACGGACGCGTGCGGATAAAATCGGCGTATGCGATATTGTCGATTTATAGACGTGTTGGAGTTGGCGTAAAACTGACCGACGTCCACGTTTTTATATATAAAGCTAATTAATGCCGCCACGTATATTTTCGACGTTCTCGGCTCTCGTCGAATCTGTTATGTCTCGATAATACGAAATAATACGAGTAGTACGCGTATTTTAGTTTTCGGCCGACCGATGCCTGCTCCAAGGCACCTCCGCGATCCTCGGATTATGTAACTTGGTACATGTAGGTGAGTAGACGAGGTTATGTTTTCGAAAGCTTTGTGTGCCATGTTGCTAAACACGCAGCTTGCTTCGCCAGTTGGATCTTCGAGGACGTTTTGCGCGACCGAAACTCGCGCCGGTCCGTCTTAGGTTGCTCGCGACAACGAAGGGATACATTTTGGACGCGTGTGTGTGAAGGGAATAGTTCTTCGACGTGAAGTTCTAGAGTGGCGAGAACAAGGATCTCTCAGCATTTCAGATTTTTCGGCATAGGGATTCGACCAGTAATTTTCTTCAGATTTAGCGGCAGGTATTTTCGCAAGCGGCATAGGGGCTAGCGGGAGGGGAGGAGGGGAGAGGTGGCAGATTGGACAGGATGGAGTAAAGGTGTGATTGAAAAGAGAGGAGGGATTATTAAGACAGATAGGGGGATTAAGGAAAGGGGGGATATTATTTAGATATTGAGGTTTTAAATAAATATTATATTAGATATTTATTTTTTAAATATTTATTTAAAAAATAAATATATAAATAATATAAATAATGTAATTAATAAAAATATATGTATTAAATAACAAATTCATAAATAATGTAAAATATAAAATATATAAAATAAATAAAATGAAGGTAGAAAATGTGAAGATTGAGAAAATAAATGAAGATAAATATAAAGAAAACTACTTAATTTCTGAATTTGTAACTTTGCAATTAGCAAACTGATGTCATTAAATGTCAAAATGATGTCATTTTGATGATATCATTCGACATCAAAATGACATACACTTGCTATCTGGGTTGTTCCATTTATGTTTTGTATGACAAAATTAGGGAATAGTGCGATAAAAGTTTTTCGTAATATTTACGTTCATATTAGTTCATCTTATTTATTTTTAAATGTGAATAACTTGTTTCTGCCTAGGGTGTGACGGAAGCAGAACGTGAAGCATTCGAGCTTCTACCGGACGACGAGAGACAGTGCGAAGCATGCAAAACCACTTGCTTCTTGAGTGCAGTTACATGTTCGTGCCACAAGTCGCAATTGGTTTGCTTGAGACATTTTGCTGAATTGTGTACCTGTCCACCAGAGAAGCATACGTTGCGTTATCGGTATACATTGGATGAATTACCGATCATGCTGCAGAAATTAAAACTGAAGGCCGAGTCATTTGACTCGTGGGCGACTAAAGTGAAGGAAGCGATGGATCCCAAGAATGACAAGATTGAACTGACCGAATTGAGGGAGCTTCTTAATGAAGCTGAGAATAAAAAGTTTCCCGAGAGCGAATTGCTCACGGCTTTAACCACCGCTGTACAAGATGCTGAGAAGTGTGCGAGTGTTGCGCAACAGCTGTTGAACAATAAACAGCGCACAAGGTAAAATACAACATTTATCGTAACACTTTGCACCATGATTTGTACATGTTTTATTTACTTTTGTGTGATTTTTGTATAGGACTAGGCAATCAGTTGAGACCAAGTATAAACTCACTATAGAAGAATTAACACTTTTCTACAAAGAGATATCCAACTTGTACTGTGAACTCAAAGAATCAGATGGGGTAAAGTTTATACTCGACCAAGTGTTGCAGTTTCAAAAGGATGCGGAAGAATTGGAGGCCAACGAAGAAGATTGTGATGTTGAGAAATTGAAGAAATGCATCGACTTCGGGGACTCTATCTGCATTGATCTGCCTCAACTTGTACTATTGAAACAAGTATGTAATTAGGGTGTATACTTCGACTTTGAAAAATCATGAAATTCTCATAGAATTTGATCGGGAGTCAGGGAATTAAAAAATTATCCTTTTGTTAATTTTATGCTTATTTAGTATTTAAGAAATATATGTCTAACATATTTTAGCAATAATTAAATTTTATAGAAAATTGTTAAATTTTTTAATAGATAATATTTATTAAATAAATTAGTACTCCTTATAAATAATTCAACAAATAATAACTTAATAAATAATTAATTTAAATAAATTAGTATTTCTTGAAGACATTTATAATAAATTATTTTTTGTTTTATATTTTATTCTTATTAGAGAATTCTCAGTGAATTTTTTTACAAAATTTGAATAGGCATTCTGGTAACATAGAAGTATATAATTTGATACGAATTACATTTTTTTTAATTTCACAGAGATTAGCGCAGATACAGTGGTTAGAGGAAGTAAAAGCCCTCCAGGACAACCCGAAAACTGCCAGTCGCGAAGAGGTGACAAAGTTAATCGAGAAAGGTATGACGATACCGCCTCATTTCAGTATAGAAGCTACACTGGCGGAATTGCACGCGTTAACGCAAGCAATTGATACGTGGGAGGAGAAGGCCAAGGTATTCTTAACACGAAAAATAGACGAACCATCGCCGATGTGGAAAAGTTTATTCGCGAGGCGGATGACGTCGAAGCGTATCTTCCGAGTCTGGATAATCTTCAGGACATGCTGAACAAGGCGAAGAATTGGACGAAGCTCGTCGATGAGATACAAGGGAAAGAGAACTTTCCGTATTACGACACTTTGGACGACCTGGTAAGGAAGGGTAGAAATATTCCGTTGCACCTGGACGCCCTTCCGATGCTGGAATCTACGCTCTCGCAGGCGAAGACATGGAAGGAGAGAACCGCGAGGACATTTTTGAGGAAGAACTCTCATTATACGTTGATGGAAGCTCTGTCCCCGCGAATTGGCGTTGGCGTTCAAGCGATGAAGACCAAGAAGCATAAGGGTGATGAATCTGTAGGAGCTGTTTATGTCTGTGATACGAAATTGGATGACTCCAGCAACTCGGCGAATGTCGTTGCCGCCTTTAAGCTTGCGGAGCAGCGCGAGATGGAGGCAATGAGGAGCTTAAGGGAGAGAAATTTGTTGAAAATCAAAGACGACGTCGAAGATTCCAAATATTGCGTCTGTCGGCGACCAAGATTCGGCGTTATGTTCCAGTGCGAGCTTTGCAAAGATTGGTTTCACAGTAAGTATGGTGGTATATATTGTAAATTATAAGAAAAAAAAATTATTACTATTATTATCAATTTTTATTTTTGCAGCAAATTGCGTGCCTTTGCCTAAGACACCGTACAAGGGTAAGCCACCAGGTCCGAAGGACATAAAGTTCTTGTGTCCATGTTGTCTACGTTCTCGACGACCTCGTCTGGAAACGATACTAGCTCTCTTAGTGAGCCTCCAAAAAATTTCAATTCGATTGCCAGAGGGAGAAGCGTTGCAATGTTTGACTGAACGTGCGATGAATTGGCAGGTACGTGTGTATTTATCAAATACGTTCTTGATAATTGTTCAACTAATGACGTCTTGACACATTTAATAAGCGTATTTTAATTATATATTGCAGGATCGAGCGAGACAGGCATTAGCCACTGAAGAGATCTCGTCCATATTGGCAAAACTTTCTGTGATGTCGCAAAAATTAGTTGAAGCAGCAGCGAGAGAAAAGACGGAAAAGATAATTAGCAGCGAATTGAAGAAAGCAGCAAATAATCCTGAACTGCATCAAGGGTGCAAGCCATTGCGCCTCTTAGCGGAGTGCATTCAGACGATAGCGCTCTTAGTACTGCTGTGAGTGCCAATTTGTAAATCTATATCTTCATACTTTTCATATTATGAACAATTATTATGATTCATATAAAGAAAAATAAAATTTAAAAATTTATAAAATATACAAGATATATATTAATATAAAAATATATATAATTATATAAAAAATATATATAAATATATAATTAATAATATTTCTAATATTACAGGATGACGATGATGATGTCATTGCTATGGATGACGAACCAACGTGTAGTACTTTTAACAGTAATGAACATGCATATTCATACAGTACGTTTCCAGTTATGATAAAAATATACGATATATTTAAATATTATTCGATCAAATAGTAATAACACATTTTATGTTATTATTTCAGTCTCAAAAGTTCGGCGAAAAGGACCTCAATCGGACGACAGCGGTAGCGAATCGTTTGGCCTATTATCGTCAAACGCGAGATTACGTTTGGAGGAACTGATGATGGAAGGCGATTTGTTGGAAGTTGCCTTGGACGAGACGCAACATATTTGGCGTATCTTGAGTCATATGAATAATCACAACACTATGCGAAAGTATAAATCATTCGAGGAAGTTCAAGTGAATGCTAATCAAGAGAGCAAGGACATAAAGAAGCGTGGGAGGAAGCGAAAGGAAGAATTCGAGTTGTTGAAAAAAATTGGCCGACAGAAAATCGAAGAGAAAAATACAGTTAAACGAAACAAAAACATTCCTATCGTTAAGGAGAAGAGACAGAGCAGTTCGCCCGTTCCTATGAAACGTGGGCCTCGCAAGGTATTTCTAATTTCTTATTATTTTAATCAAACATACATGTTAGGAAATTCATGACAAAAAATATTCAGATCGATTAACACTTAGGGTTAAACACTAATCAGCCATCTTCTTCATATCTTTATATTTTTAAATAATGTCTTGGAATAAAAAGTAATATACACTTTTATTACTTAATTTTTCATGAATTTAATATTGCAAGCTTATCCTCGAACTTTGAGACACCCTATATATGTATAAAATTTGATATTTAAAAAACATCATAATTTTAAATATGCTTTTACAGTGATAAAAGAATTATATATATGCATATTTATTTATAATCATATAAATATTTTTAATTTCCGAGTTTTATGACAAAATTAATGCAATTTACGATTTTTAAAATATCAGTTCAATTTTAATCACATATGACATATATTACAGATTAAGCGTAAGAGTGAGGGCGAAGAAAGTCCAAGGAAGCGAGGTGGTAATCGCACGAAAAAAACCAAACAAGAAAGCTCAGATGAAGAGGATGATTGTGCAGCAGTAAACTGCTTGCGGCCTAGTGGTAAGGATGAATTTAATATATTTACAAAACGTGGTTTGAAATTTTTAAGCGTTATAATATGCTCCAAATATAATTATATTATTAATAATGATATATTTATTTCTTAATTCATGCCTTGCAGTCTCAGATGGCTTCCAGTTTATATATTTGCAATTTTTGTATCTATATTATTTCTGCTATAGCATGTCTGCATTTATACAAAAAACATGGATAAGTTATTTAATTAGTATCTTTCTAAGATTATTCTTGTAAATTAATTTTTTTTCAAATCAGGTGTCAAATAATTATACGATTATGTAGACTTAATTATCTATATATAAGTATATGCTTTAAAAATTATACGTTTTTCTTCCAATATTTCAAAATTTATTATTTTATTTGTTATTTAGGTAAAGAAGTTGATTGGGTTCAATGCGACGGTGGCTGCGAAGGTTGGTTCCATATGCATTGCGTCGGTTTGGATCGCACAGAAATCGCCGAGGAAGATGATTATATTTGTAGCAACTGTAAAGAAATCGATCAAAATGCATCGGTAAGAGAAAAAACGTTGGATAAAACATAAAATGTATCCCGCTCTATTTTTTTTGTTAGCTTGTGTAAATTATCGCAGTATAAATATTATTATCACATATCTCTTATCCTACTTTTATATTTTATTTTATAGATTATATTTAACACACACATACACACTTTTCTACAATGTTTTGTTTTTGAGATATTTATGTCAATTGATTGATATGGGACTCTCTAGATACACCTAAATGTTCCAGATTGTTACTTTTACGTTACATTATTCTTCTACGTTATATTCTTCTTTACATTATTTTCTCGATTATACGCTCTCGTTTGTATAATTTTAGAGCGAGGATCTTCTTTTTCTTTCTTTTTTAGCATAGTAGTCGAGATCTGCGCTAGATTCGACTCGATCATTAGGTCTGGATGCACTTCTTTCCCTTTCTTAGCCCCAGGGATACCAAGGCAGCACCACCGACACTGAAGCGGGCGTCTAGAAAAGCGATATCCTCCTCGTCTCCTAGGACAGCTTCACTAGCCCACTTCATGTCGTCTGTTAGTGTCTGCACCGAAATTCCGGGGTGTTTGCGATAATTGTGACTCTCGATCTAAGAACTCTCTCTCTTTCTCTCTCGCGATATGAAATTAAAACATGTTTACGATTGTTTCTTACCGTTATCTAAGAAACTAAGCGACATTATTCGAGGTTGTATGTTTGTTTATTTGAATTACTGCTATTTTACGAAACAGACGAATACTTAAAGAGAAGTAAAGTATCATATAGCATAGTCGAGTTTACAATACACATTATTATAATAAACGTTTTTCTTGTTAACAGTAGCTCTATATTGCGATTATAGGTTAATCACAATCATTCTTTTTGCATTTATACCGATATATGATTAAATCTTCATTCACACGAAGATATAGTAGAAATAATATTGTACAATATCAATTTTTTTTTTTCGATTATACAAAAATTCGATTATACAAAGATAAAAGCGCCCGTTTTACGTCATCTTCACGACTGTAAGAGTATTATTCGTCTATATGTATGTTTCATTGAATTTCTTTCTCTACTTTTTTTTAATTAAAAATTACCAGTTTTGCGCGGACGAATCACGGATGAACCGTTGATATACGCCTTCTTCATAATTTTATATTAATTTGTTTAGGTAAAAAGAAAAAATATTTTTACTTATTTACTTATAATTTACACATATGTCGCATCGCACTGTGAATATGATCGAACAAAACAGTTTCCATGAAATATCCGCAATCACGGATAATTTATAGATGCTATAACAGCACGATCTATCTAAGTGTGTATTACCTTACCTTATCTATTGACATTTGGGGAATGAACATAACTCCTGAAATGGGAATATATATATTATATCGCGAGTTGAAGTGATCCGGATGATGAGTGAGATCGTCGCGAAAACGTATTATCATTATATTATATATTGATGAATACTTAAAATCGCAATCCTATGTGGAAAACTGTGTCGCGTTATTGATGGAAAGGAATTCTGTCGGTCTTTTGTATCGACTTTCTCAAGCGTTTCTTGAGCGCACAAAGCGAGAATTTTCTTTGCGCCGAGTACGTTATTATGTACAGAAAATTAAATAAGAGATATGTGTATTATAATTATGTATACCTATATATGATGCTCAAAAATCGGATAGATTTAATAGCAATTTTTTTCATTTTGTGAAAACAATTTTTCCTTGATGAAAATGTTTAAATTGTACTTCTTAGGGTTAAAAAGATTAAAATTATAAGAAAAATGTTTTTATTTATTAGAAAAACATTCAGATTGAATTTAATTTCAGGCTTATTGTTAGTTACATGAAGATATTATATTATTGAAATAATAACAAAGTTATTGACATTTTCTAAGAAAAAATTCAGTTGCAAAATGTTTCCGACGAATTTGCTATTAAAAAATGTCCGGAATTTTTTAGGCACTATATATATATTAGTATATTAGAATGCATAGAATAAATAAGCTATAGTTTGTATAAAATAAAAAGAAACAATTAACAAGCAGATTAATATAGCATCTACTCCGCCTTTTCGAAATAATAATCTATTTAAAGTATTTGCTGTCGATTTTGCACCAGAGGCTATACAACAATTGTATTGCGTTTTGCGTTTGCTCCTCGCATTTCTATTATCGATTCTATATTTCTTTCATTATCTTTTCCTGTCATCTTCATTATTTAAAAAAGAAAGAAAAACAATGCATATATAGTCTCTACACAGTCTCTTACAATAATAATCCTAATTAGCTAGTAGTTGTGTACATTTATTTTATTATATTTCTTGACACATATTTTGAAAAAGAATGATTAATGTTTGTGTAAATATCGTTCACGTAACATTTATATATGCATTATAAATAGAGGATCAGTTTTCCTACATTTGTTTTTCCTATTATATCATTTATTGAATAAAAAAATTAAAAGATGAATGAAATTTGATTTTTATTCATCCCTTTATAAGTAATAATTCAACGAGTTTTTTTTTATTTTTTGAGTACATTTTTTTAAAATATAATAACCAAAAATTTAAAGCTGAAATTTGATTTATTCATGCCTTTATAATTAATAATTTAAGTTATTTTATTTTTGAGTGCATTTTTTAAATATAATAATAATTAAAAATTAAAAGATGAATTTTGATTTATTCACTTCTTTATGAGTAATATTAATTCAACAAGTTTTATTTTTTTTCGAGTGCATTTTTTAAAAATATAATAAATATATAATAATTAAATATATATTAAATAAATATGCATATTTTTCGAATGAAATGAGCGAAGTGTCAGAAATTCCGGGGGCGGCAAATGTCAAATCGCCGCCGGGCGGTTCGCGGCGACTCGGGCGTCTTCGGCAAAGCTCGGCTGCCGCTCGGCGCCTCGGCGTGTTTAGCGCACGCACGGATCTCTTCGCCAGTACTCGCAGCGACTCCGAGTGGGTGGGATGTTGCGCGCTTGACTTCTGACTGGCCGATCTTGGAGTTCCAAAAAGAAGAAACGTTTCTTTCCCCGAAACACGCGCACGTCAAGCCGCTTCTAGTCAGTCATCTGGTATCCGCGCGTTCCCGTTCGCGTTCGACGACATCAAGTGGGAAAATCGCTCGCTTTCGTTATCAGATCGAGAGTGCAGTCGCACGTTGCGCGCCGCATTGTGTCACGGTGTGTATCGTGAAGGGAGAGAGAAAGAGAGAGAAGCATCGACCGAGGTCGCCGTCGCGGAGAGAAAGGAAAGGCGAAGAATTATATATTCGGACAAACATGGCCACTGCGATCGACGACCGGCAGGAACTATTGGAGCAATTTCAAGCGGTAAGTGATGTTAGAGACATTTTTCTGGCCGTCCTCGCCACGACGATTTTTTTCACGCGGTACCGGAGCTGTGCCCAGGGCACGGTTTACTCTTATCGATCACCGGGTTTTATCAGCGTGGAAACCTCTGCCCTACCCCCTCACAAAAGCGCCGACGCCGGTTGTTGCCGCCCTGTCAGTCGGCGGCACCTCCTGCGCACCTGTGAATCAGAGAGCTGATCGAGAACGTCCTTACTCGACGTGAATCATACCTTCGAGTCACATTGTTTAGCGAGGACAATCGTACATATTCATTCCAAGTTAGAATCGGAATTGTACATTTTTCGCTAATCAAAATAATATATGGAAAATAATATATCGAATATATATCAAAATTATGAAACGAATTAATGAATCGTAAGAGAGATAGAAAATTCCTTCACAATTCCCCCGATTTTTCTCCCTATATAAATATATATAGCTTCTGAAATACAATATATGTATTATATTACTCTGTATTCAATTCCATTAAATAGTTTTTAATAATAGATTAATTTTTAAAAATATACATATATTGGGATCGATATTACTTTAATATATAATTTATATGTATTCTCTATATACAATTCCATTGAATAATTTTTAATTATTAGATTAATTTAAAGAAATATTTATTGTGATATTACAGTTATTAATTATGATTTCAGTCGTACACATATTATTCATTCCAAGTTGGAATCGAAATTGCAAATTTTTTGCTAGTAAAAATGATATATCAAATATAATATTAAAATTAGTAAATGAATTAAAGAATTATAAGAAAGATAAAAAAATCCCTTGACGTTTCCCCGATTTTTTCCCCTATTTTATATTTAATTCCATTAAATAATTTTTAATAATAGATCAATTTAAAGAAATATATATTGCGATATTAATTATTAATTATAATTTCAGGGTGTGTATTCTCACTATGAAAAAACTGGGGATTGTCAGATTTTTTATCTTGAAAAATTCTCATGGAATTTTATTAAGACTCAAGAAATAATTTAAAAAATTATGTGTTTGATATATAATTTTACTCTGTATATTGCAAGAGGTCGATATTTCGATTGAGCAAGTTAACAATCGTATATAATCGCTTTCTTTTTATACTTAATCGTATGAATAGAAAACATTAGAAAGCGTAAAGACATTTATTTCAAAAGCTACATTTATACAAATTTTCTTATTTTATTTGGAATTTTAAGCAAAAAATTTTACTTTTATACTGCAAGAGGTTGATAATCCGATTAATCAAGTTAACAATCATATACAATTGCTTTCTTTTTATAATCGTATGGACAAAAATATTAGAAAGCGTAAAGACACTTATTTTAAAAAGCTGCATTTATAGTTTTCTTATTTTACCTGGAATTTTAAGCGTATTAAAAATACTTGGAAGATCAGGGAATTTTCAAGGAATTTTTTTACAAGATTTGAATAGACATCCTGATGATACATATATAACACAAAGTTATATAATATTTGATAATATGTAGAAGATTGCGCTAAGAAACTTATACGAAATTTCAATCATATCGTGGATTTGAAATCGCAGGAAACAGGAAATTCCTTTTAATTCTGTTTTTACGATAACTTGCGGACCGAAACAGAAAAATGAGGAACAAGATAAAGAATATCTTTCGTTTTTTTTTCAATTCTGATACGAGAAAACTGTTCAATAGAAAGTTAAGTAGTATATTTCGAACTGGTCGGACACGTGATCGCAGGAGACCTGATCACTTTTCGCACATGTTCTTACACACGTGTACGTATGTATACATAAACAATGGCACATTTAACGCGTAAACTACGACACTGCATGCTTTGTGTTTATACCATATCTCGCCTCGTGTTCCATTGAACGCTGCAGTCTAGCTAATCTCCTCTCACTTAACTAAAGAAAATTAACGACAAAGTTTTTTGATGCAAGACTGACAATGAGTAGAGAGTGAACCCGTTCACAAGTTAAAATTAAGCTATTTTATCAAATAAATTTTTATACAGAAATCAGTACATTTTACTGTAAAGTGTAAATTTTTTCATTTTTAATAAATTGCGTAATAAATTTAAAATTAAATTATTTAAATTATATACATTATTTTGAATAATATATATTAATTATATTAGTATGTAATAATAATTCGAATTTTTATTGAATACATTATTTAAATTTAACTTTTATATTCTATTTTTCTGAATATTTATTTCTTCAAAAAATTTTAATTGAACCATTTATAATTAAATTGCGAACAAACATATCATATAGTTTAAAGTTTTATATGTGAACAGTCTAGAAAAGTTTGTAGAAGTTTGATCAGTGCATCATTTGTCATCTATGCATCTGTGGACGATATAATTGGATAGAATTTGATGATACAGATTAAATATCTTTAAACTTTAAACATTGATAATGATGAGGCGCACGTGGACGTGCTTATGTACTTATATATGAGTCAATAATATTTTTTTAACACTATTCGCAATTGTAAACATAGATTACGATATCTGTAAAAGGAAATAACGAGATTTGTTACAGAACAAGAAATAATGCAATGATTCATAATTAATAATTTTACGATATTATAAAGGTAATTCGAAAAACTATTAGAGCAATGATTTCTGACTAAGAAATAATTCCCATAATATTATAATTGTCAGTTTTGTGAAATATTAATAACTTACATGTGATATGCACAACTAATCTAATTAACGTTTAATCCGATTATTGGAATATCGACTTATACTATACAGGTATAGCTAAATTCAGCGATAAGTTCTCGGTTTTGCAAAGTAATAATTTTCGTTTTTTGCAAATCAAACTTTAAAATAATAAAAATAGGAACTGTTTATTATTTTTAATATCGAATCCACTTTAATATAAATTTTTATTTCAATTTGAATTTTTAATTTCAATTTTGGCTAACTAATCTTGTACATGTAACATGTTAAGACAAAAAGATATTTTGTTTCACTCTCTAAATTTCTCGGGTATAAAAAGAGATTTCACTCTTTTGGAGTAAAATTCCACTCTTTGGAATGAGATTGTTCGGTTTCTATTCCAAAAAATTGAGAGAGTATGTTTATGCGGATATGTGCAATAAAATTGCGAGAGCGAGGCCGAAGGCGTCTTGAAAATAATGATCTTGCGTTACTATGAGCGAGATGGTGGAATTGTTCCTTTCCGTCGAGATCGTATACCGTCGAGAAAGTCTTCAATTATCTTATTGATCGCATTACCGGTGAGAGGCACAACCCCTTCCTACATCCTGCGTAGCAAAATTATATACGAATGATACACAATATAAAGGGCCATTCTACGAGCTAACCCTTTTGCCACCTCTTTTGCGATGCGCGCGTGATGAATCATCAAACTTTCAAATCAATAAAATATAATACGACGCGCTGCTTGGAGACACTTTTCCTTTTTACATTCGAGAAATTCTCATTGGAAAGGAGTAAACACAATTATTCGTAATTATTATTTTTCCTGCTTTGCTCATTTATATACAGAGTGTTCGATAATATTTTTCGATTTATTATTTTTTATGTAAAAATTGCTTATATTTTTTTTATATAAAAATATTATCTCTTACAAATATTTGAGATTCTCGATGATGGAAAATATAATTTCCTTTAATATTAAAATTTTGTTATAAAGTAAATAAATTAAATTACTATATGATAAAATGATGAAATAATAAAATAATTCATTATGTATTATATAAAATTTATTTGATAAAATCAGAATGAAATATAACGAGCGCAATTTTAGAGTGTATAATCTCTCTTGAAAAGATTTGTTCTTGAAACTTTAGCTAGCTATAAAGGCAAAAGTGTGAATGGACGATATTTCTATACAACACGTATTCAGGAATGCTTTTTCAACAGATTACGCATCACCCTTTCATCATTCTTGACTGGATGATTCTCAGTCCTTACGCATTCGAGTGTATGCACTTTTTACATCGACAAATTAAAATGCACATATTTAAATATTGGATCAGGAGATTAAAAGACACACATCCGAGAACTATATTTTTGTAAATAAATAATTGAATTTATATTAAACAACGGAAAAATTTATGAGTATGCAGAATACTCAGTTTTCTTTTGCGTTGATATCAAATTCTTTGATGATATACGAGAATGACTATTGCATGTTATATTTTGTAACATTTAGCAAATTTCTTAATTAAGTGTAAAAATTTTTTTGATTAAAATCGGAAAATTATATAATACAGAGATAACGATAACAAATATTTAGTATTAATAACTGTCGAGTTATTTAATAATTTATTAAATATATAGCTATACGGAATAAAAAATTAGCTATCATAATTGAATTTTAGCTATCCCTGTATTTTTGAAATTTAGTTATCATGCCTAAATTTTAGCTTTGATAACTAATATTTTTTAGCTACAGTTTAATAGAGAATTCTAAAAAATAATTAAAAAATATCAACTATTATAGCTAAAATTTAGACATGATAACTAAAATTCATGTGTAATATATGAGCCTAAAATTTAAGTGATAGTTAATTTTTTTATGTAGATCTATTTAATAATTTTTGAAGTTTTATTTTATTATTCTTAATCTCTAATATTTAATATTTTCATAATTAAATGTTCATAATTTTTAAAACTTAATTAAATTAAGAGTGACTTTTAACGATTTGTCATTCAGATTTGATAATGAAAGCTGATAATTTTATAGACATTGCAATACGTCTTTCAAATATGATTTTTTGCAGATTATTGAAAATGTGATAACGCAAAAAATATCTCTAATTATGAATGATGAAAGAGTCAGACACGGAATAAAGCCGAAGTGTTTGCACGAATTCGAGCTGTCTGAACTCTCGTATTTCTGCGCTTCTGGAATTTTGCACTTTATTTGCTAACTTAGAAGATAATTTATCGTATCAGCACAATGATTTTTTTCGCATCACACTATCGAGTCGTAAAAATATTCAGAGATA